TTTTTTTTTTTTTTTTTTTTTTTTTTTTTTTTTTTTTTTTTTTTTTTTTGGCGGGGCATGGCTTTGGGGGTGTTTTCTTGTTTTCTTGCTTTGGGGTGGTATTTACGAGATTCTCTATTATCTCTTTTTTCTCCTATGGGGTGGTATTTGATGAGACATGCTCGATTTACTATCTATTGTTGCCACTTGGGCATTGGATCTGTTGGACCTGTTTGTTGATATTATGAAACAGGAGTCTGGGCGGTTCAGTGTCAGCCCGTAACGACACCTTCCACTACTCCGCGATCGTCCTGCACCTAGGGCCCAAGCATCATCGCGTGCTAAAGCGCGAGGCCTGGCGTGGATCGGTGCCGATGAGCGAGTTGAGGGAGGCGGAGACGCTGAAGCTGCAGGGCCAGAAGCCGGCTGCTGAGCAGGAGGTTGAGGAGATCGAGGAGGTGATTCAGGTGGATGAGGCGCTTGGGTGGGACTTTGTGGGGCGGGTTGATCAGATGGACCCGTTGACGGTTTATCGGCCGTTGACGTCCCCTGAGGAGGAGGAGGAGCAGAAGGCGTTTGTGGCGATGAAGAAGAAGGAGCTCGATCTCAAGGCGCGGGAGGAGAAGATCAGGGAGGAGAAGGGGGATGCTGCTGCTTATTGGTTCAGGAAGAGGAGAAGGTCGGAGTGGATTGATTGGAGGGAGTTCAAGAAGCAGTTGAAGCTGAAGAAGGAGGAGGGCCCTGAGGGGCAGCAGGGTGTGGAGAAGAGGGTGGTGCCTGTTAGACGTGTCGAGACCTCGAAACGCCCTATTAAAGACCGCCGTGGGACGGTGACATCTACTGTTGAACATGTTGAGGCGTCGACATCTCCTGTTAAACGTGTTGAGACGTCGACACCCCTCATTAAACATATACCGACGTCGGTCCCTCTCCGCATTAGACTCATCAACAGCTAACCGTTACAATGAGCAGTACTGCACATGATTAGTCGAAGAATGGCGATGGGCGAAGTCGTGTCTGGGGAGGGATGGAACGTTTCTGTGGTGAATTTACATCAGGCATCTTACGGTAACTGTTTGTTGTCGGGTAGCATATGTACAGTGTCTAATAAATAAGATTACCACACTTCAAGCATGGCCACTGTAGTACAGTACAAGGGCTTCACCACGGATGAGCCTATCTTCGTTAGCCCACATGTAGCCAATGCATTACAACCAACGAGAGGAAAAAACTTACCCTGCCATCCCAGCACCAGAAAGTCCCCGTATCCTTCTGGTGCTTTGCCTGGATAACCTCCAGCATCCCCCGCACACTCTCGTCCACCTGGATCGAGCCTTCAATCTCCCAAGGAAGGTCCACGTTCGCCATGTCCCTGTAGATACCCTCAAGTGTTAGCTTCATCCCCAGCACTAGAGCTCAACCCCATGACAGAGAGATAGACGTACGTCTCGACCTCCCCCGGATGCATGGCCAAGATACACGTCCTGGTCCCCTCTTTGATGCGGGATTCCTCCCGCTCAAGCTCAGCAGCCAGATGCCGAAGCCCCTGGTTCAGCGCCGCTTTAGTCGCGGCATACACTCCGAATCCGTCCTCTTGGGCGCGGAACAACTGCGTAGATCCTGAGTCTGACGAGATGAAGACGATCTTCACTGGTTTGACGGTGGTCGGCATAACGCGCAGAAAGTGCTGGGCGCAGATGAGGGGCCCGATGGTGTTGGTTTGGAGGTGCTGGGTGAAGGAGGCGTAGGAGCTAATTGGTGTATCAGTATTATTGCTTGGGATTCCGCTCCTTGGAAAGAAGGGCGTGGAAACATACATCTCTGCTACTCGGTTAGGATATTCGTTTATCCCTGCATTTAGGATAATGGTTATCTCGTTTGTTGTGGTTGGGTCGATGGTGATTTTCCGGGTGAAGGTCTGCTTGTGCTTAGTCTGAAGTGAAGTAGGAGCTAGAAGAAAAGCTTCATACGATGATACTCTCCTCACTCAGCATATCGCATTCCTCGATTCGGCAGTTCCCTTCATTGGGATGGGTAGCCACCAGTTCGTCGAGCTGCTGCGCTTTAAACGGATTGCGAACACCCGCGATGACCTTATGGCCCTGGGCGAGAAGTTGGCGCACGAATTCAAGGCCAATGCCGCGGGAGGCGCCGACGATGATCCAGGTTGATGCGGGGGCCATGGTGGGATGAGTGCTTGGGTAGGTTGAAGATTGCGAGGTGGTTGTTTTGTGAAAGTGCATTGATCAGAGAGTTGGTTGCCTTTCGTATATTAGGTGGGGCTTGATTAGCGGCGTATCTTTGCCCGGATGGGGTTAAGTGTCGATCTTTGAAGCATCCTTGATATCAGTCTTGACAGCCTTTCCGGTATGCTTGAGTTCCTCATGAATACCCTTGATTTGGGTCCACAAGCTGAACTTCTCGGCTTGCATACCACTTCTTACCAACTTATCTACCTCCGTATTGTGGGCCTCGCGCAGCGAACGCCGCGTCGAGAAGAATGATCTTCCCCGTCGAGTATGCTTATGCATGGCCCTTCTCGAGTTTCGAAATCTGCTGCGTAAGCAGAGAGTCCATCTCACGACGCTTCGTTTGAAGAAGAGAGAATTCAAGATGTTTGGTAAACTTTGATGAAGATGGTCGATCGTTGCCACCGCGGCTGGCGAAGAGAAGAACATAGGCGTCATCTTAGGGTCTTTCTCTCATCGATGATGGCCACATGATTAGACCTTGTTGTAGAAGTAATGGTCTTTGATATGAATCTTCCCGAGAGCTGATGCGCACGGCTTGGCCTGATGGGTGTATGTCTGTCAGCCAACTTCATAACAGAAACATTGATCTGGTCCGGTGGGCTCAATTTTACCATATTGCTCGTGCATCTTCTCGAGCTCCAGCCTGGGCCCCGAGAACCGACGCAGGGGTGCCAATAAGGGTGATGGAGGCCTCTCAGAAGGAAGTAGCCTGCGAGCGACCAAGCAAAGATTAGCCATATACTGCTTTGCTGTTTGCAAGACTGATGAACTGCACCAATTCATCGATCAGTAGAGTGATCTCCATGAATGACCGGTGTGGCTGAGACTAGTCTCTTTGTCGGGTGAAATGCTTCATGCAGGATGATCAAGCGAGTCCTTCAGCAATGACTCGAAACTCTATTCCGCGCTTGGTCTGAGCTGGCTGCACTGAGTCTGCAAATAAATGCAAGATTCAATTGCAGACGTCCTTCTGATTTGATAATCTTTTTGTGGCGCGCCAGAGCATTACCTGTGAGACACGGGTAGGCAGCTTCACCTAATCATCCTGGCCTGCTTCTGCCATTATGCTTTCAAATGAAGACCGACTATCTATCCAGGCCTCGAGAATACCCAGTTTGTTTACCTGCATAATCTTCCTGCAACAAACTAGGGAGATCAACTCTGTCCATTCTTGGTTTCTGTGATACCTAGTTTCCACAGAATAGGCCCGGTGTGAGCATTCTGGAACATTTCCTCCGACAATCCCTATATTTCCCCACAACTAACCCAGTACGCAAAGATATGTTGAGTAGTCAGGCTGTCGATACGGCTGTCACGATAGAATCTTGCTTGCTTGTAGCGCGTTACACAACAAGGTATATAGAGCCCACTCAGAGCCTGGTTCTGGAGAGCTGGACCTTCTCCCAGATAATCACCGTCCCACACCGCTGCAACAAAAATATAAATCAAAGCGACCTCCTTAAAAATGATCGAAGGGCAAACCTTGCAGGTCCCGGATCTGGTGGCATCACTATATTCAGAATGGACCGTCGAGAGACATCCGGACGAGGAGCAACTGCGGCATGAGCTGGAAGATGACTTTGTAGTGCGGTACGGCGACTTACTTCCTTTGACCCCGTACCTGTAGACACTATGTCTTGCTGCCTACTGCCTAGGTTCTGAGATAAGCTACAGATGGTGTCCCGATCCCGAAAAGCGGAGGAAGATGAGGAAAGGAGACTTTGCCCAGGTGGCGGGCTACTTCTGGGCTGGTAGTTCGCTCGAGCGAATCCGTCCTCTGGCTGAGTTTATGTATTGGGTAAGACCCAAAGAATGTTTGCTTATTTCTGCCTAAGCCTTCAGATTACCTTCTCTCAGTAACTGACCAGAAATAGTATTTCATCTGGGACGACGGTAAATCTCCAAGTCCGCGAGAGCATCAACCCAGGGAGGAAAAACCACAGTCCGCTAAGCATACACCCGGGTATTAGAGATCGACTGCGGCGACCTCCAATCCGATAAGATCGGAAAATCGCTGCAGACGGGTCACTCGAGAGGTGCGTGATTCCCTCACAGATTACTTCCGTCTGCTTTCATCCCCTTCCCTCCTTCTCCATCTTTCTGACATCTGTATAGAAGCCCTAGCCCGCTACGCAGCCTCAATGTACAACTTTGTCAACGCCGTCTGCAACGTCCAGCAACAATGGATGACCAATTTCCCTCCGTGGGAGGAATACATGGAGACGCGGATGCAGACCGTTGGGATTTACCCTTGTCTCATGACTATGGAGTGAGTAGTACCGTTGTGGCCTAAACTCCCTATCTCTTTTCATTTGTAATGAAGTTTTGTTTCGGAGTGCCAGCCTACTAAATACTCGTGAATCGCATTTCGTAACGACAGGTACGCATACGGCCTGAATACTCCCAACTGGGTGTACAACCACCCGTCCATCCATGCTATGTTCCAGGAAACGGCCTTCTCGTGCATCATGTAAGTCATTCAATTCGATCAAGAAATGCCCGCTTAGGAGATGCTGAGCGAACTAACATATAGAACCCGCTAAGAGTAAATGACATCGTATCTCTCCAGAAAGAACTAGTATGTTCTTGTATCTCCGGAACCATCCAGATCGCCATTCCGACAAACAATACTGGGCACAGAGCTACGCAGATAGTAGACCAGATCGACAGCGTGATCCCGTTGAAGATGTTCCACGGGGGTCATCGAGATGCGCAGACTGCGTTGAACGAGGTCCTGGGTGAGCTAAAGGAATCTAGGGTCCGGTTGGATGAAGCTGAACGGTCTTTTTTGTCATCCGCGGAGTATTGCGGTGTAGAATGGAGGCAGCAACGAGATGATATTGCGGTTCTGATTCAAGGTTGCAAGAATGCTATTCTGGGGAATTTGAAGTGGTCGTCAGTTTTGTCTGAGATTGGTTTGGATGGGTGTGGAAGGCTGACTGTTGATTAGGCTGTCGAATCATCGTTATTTGGTGGACGGGTGCTCCGAAGGTTGGACTGTGTTGGTTCGATTGTGATCGGTAATGGTAGGTGAAATAGAAAGTAGGGGCGTCATACTTGGAAGGGTCACAAGAGTTTTTAGGAAAAATATGTTACAATTAACATCGCGCCCCCAGCAACCATTGAGGCTGACGAAGGATCGAGAGATTTCATCTGAATTTTAAAATACAATGTAGGTAAAAACGATATCAGAAAAGTAAGAAATCATTGATTAGAGCTATCCAGGCCTTTCCATAAGATCATGTGCTCATAAAAGCCAAGGTCTTCACAAAAAAGTTGAAACACCTGGTGCAAAACACCCTTAGTCGGATCTGCGACATCCAAACGACGAGACAGGTCACTCGCTTGCGACGACACACGATGGAAATAGACGCGCCAGTTCTCGGTGTACGTCTTCTGTTTCTTCTCGCTGCGCTTCATATTTCAGCTGGATGGAAGCGTGGTTCGAAATATCTCGCGCACACCGCACACCGATCTTATTGCGGTCGAGCCAGTTCCAGAAATTCCACCGAGGTTGAACATCTCTCGAGTGGCCCCACGACGCATGAACGACAAAGTCGTACAGGGCGAGATATTTCCGCACTTCGACCCTGCTCTCGCGCGGGCTTTCGTAATCCCACTTGTCCGTGTTGCAAGTCGTCCAGAACAACAGGGGCGACGAACCTGTCGCGAGGCAACCCTGGTCGAGCAGCGCCTCCAAGTCTCCCAGCCGTACGTGATGATCACGCTCGTCATCAGCGTCGTCATTAGAGTCGTCAAACTTCCACACACCGTGAGTATAGTCCAGCCTCATGCGATCTCTGGAGCTCCGTGAGACAAAGATGCGGAAGATGGAAGTCGGCGGCTGTTGGAGAAGCATCAGCCTCCAGCTTGCTTCGGGGCGGGAGTATGCCTCTTCGCGCTCTCGAGACGCTATGATCGGTACACTCGCGTCTTCGTTCTTGGGCCGCTGGCGAGTGTGAAGACGTCGCGCAAGGAACTCGTCCCAGATCTTCTTTACCAGCAACGGATTCTTGATGCCCGGTTGGCCGACTATCGCTTTTTCGTGCGGAAGGAAGAACAAGGCCCGTAGAATTTTCTTGCTGTTCTTGATCAGGTTAAACCAGAAGGGATGGACCCGAGATGCTAGTAGCAGAGTGCGAGTATCCAGCTGCATGAGGATCTCCTCCAGTAACTCGTTAATACCGAAAACGCGCGGGTATTCGACTGGTTCGGTTATTGGCACGACTGTCGAAAGGTTCGTCTCGGAGGAGGTGAGATTCAGTTCGTCTGAGTCCGTCATTGCGGCGTTTGGGAGAATCGAGTTGTTCGGGTATGGATGAAGGAGTGGAGAGGCAAAGAAAGGACGGTAGGTCTGGGTGAGTGATGAGCGGAAATATGACTGAAGTGGACGCAAGATCATGCTTGAGTTGCTCACACAACACTTCAATTTAACCCCTCCGTTTCTCTGATGGCCTTTTTCTTCGGTTCACAGTCTCGGCGCCCAGTCCTTTCACTCACATACTTACAGTCTCGAGTCTCCAACCTCAGGCAACAAGATGCCTTTCGCGCATCTCAACCCTTTTCACCTCGAGTCTCCTGATAGCCATGGGCTTATTCAGTCAGATACCAGTCTCTGCCACTTGATCATCATGCTATCTCTCTCTACACTCACTGGTCACTGTTCACTCGCAACGATGACCATCACTACCGTGACCGGTATAGGCCACATTGTAAGCAGTAGGCTTCATGGACGTGGGGCTCGTGCATCATATTCGAATCGCAAGTTTGCGCCTCCCTTACGGTTTCTGAGCTGAATGTCTCTTCTCTCGTCAGCTGAAATGGTGAGTGGAAAGGACAAGAAGAAGAGGTCGCAATGAAAAGCAATAATCTCTTGTGCTACTGTAAACATCTCTTGTGCTACATCATAGACAAACGAGCAGAATCTTGTCGATTGGTCGATTGCTGCCTGCCTTTCGATTACTTCCCCACCTGCTCCCTATATATCTTTACGCAAGAATCTCACACAAAGACCCCTGCCGGGATTTCCCCTTTGTTAATAAAGAGCTCAGATGGGCCGCCTGGATATTTCATGTTCCGGTTCTAGATGGCTTACAGGCATCTATCTGCCTTTGACAGCGTGGGAGGAGCGATTTCGAATTGCCCCACTGTATGATCTGGATAAATTGGATAATCCGGGAGACCAATCCAAGCTAAACAAGCTTGACATCCCAGGCCCGAGCGTCAGTGATCCTGTCGGTTGGGGGCAATGGGGAAACCAGCGCGATGTAACCACCAAGAATCGCTAAAGCTGATCTCCTCTTTAAAAGTAAGCTTCCCCTTCCTCCCCTTCTCCTCCTCTTTCTTTCGAACGGCAGACTTTACTCCATCTTACTCTGTCAGTATGGAGACCCTTCCAACAGAATTAGTGGAAATAGTGGTGGGCTGGCTAGATTTCCCGGATATCTGCGCTCTCCGCCTGACTGGCCATACCATCTCATCCAAAACCTCCACTGCTGTTATCTTGCGACGGCTCTTCTCTTCCAGAAGATTGGAAATGACCCAAGCCTCCCTGGAACAGCTGGTTCGCTTCACCCAGCCAGGACAGGTTGGTCTCTGGCTTCAACGGCTCACGCTATACGACTGGCCGGAACGCGAGCAGACCGGTGCTGATCTTACTGCAACCGAGCTACTATCGCAAGCATTGGAAAACATACGCGACCGGCCATCGCCTCACCAGGATAGCTACTTGTCTATCTCGCTTGAGATCAACAACGACGAAGATGACCGAGACATCCCGGCCCGGGTGTTCCACGTGGTCATCTCCGCCATCGCGACAACCAAGATCCCCATTCACGGACTGGAGATCTTCACAGAAGCCTATGAGCTGGTGGAGACAAATATGGGCAGTTTGGCATTCAGTGATATCACCCTTGCTCTATCACGCCACAGGGAAAACCTGGCAACGTCATTGCAGAACTGCAGGAAATTCAGCCTGAGCCTAGGGCACTCGACCCGCGGATTGGTTTATGAGAGCGGAGTGTATCGTTTACCGCTGACCCTGGATGACGCCCGACAAAATACCCAATCACTTTGCGATCTCCTAAACATGTGTCCCCTACTCGAAGAATTACGCCTTGCGTGGGTGTATGAAGACTACTTTGAGGAAACAGACGCGTCTACTGAAGAACTAGAGTTTTTTGGTCCGGTGGGCATGTCGTGTGTATTTGCGAACCTGGAGAAGTGTTCTCTTCAAGGAATTCTAGCTCCCGAGACTTCAGTCTTGACTTTTTTCCGCAGAATGCCTCGGCTGGTGAGCTTGAGCCTGGATGATATGTATATACTTCCAGGAAATTCTAACAGTCTTCTTCATTTAATATCTACAGCTATGCCGAACTTGGATTTCTTGGGGCTTCGGAGTCTGTATGACGATATAGGCCGTCTTTGCTTTACCAGCCAGCCTCCAGAGAAGAGATGGTACAGGCGGGGAGGCACTGCGCTATATGGTATACAGCTAAGAGGGCCCGATGCGAAGAGGCTTGTTGTACCTAGCAATAGACAGAAGAAGTTATCTTTCTCTCTCTGATTCAGAATCCACGTGAAGGCGTCGGCCCAGCCCTCGATCAAAGCCTCTGCACTACCAGAGACGATGCCACGCGGATCTACTTCATGCACCCTCGAAGATTATGTTATTCTGCAATCCTTTCATGCCGAACAAGACAGAAAAAGTTCAACCGGCAGCTGCGTGCTTTGCTCGGGAGCAATGGAGCTCTGCCCGGACGGAGCCCCCATGCCTTCAGTATTGACCACGTCGGGTTGCTCCAGCTCTTTTGCACAGGCAAAGCGAGAAGGCTGCCGGTGAACGCCAACAACGCTCCCAACGCCCCCTAATCCAATCTCACTTTCTTATTCTCTGCCTCTGCAATTGCTCGCATGTATAACGGAGCCGCTTCCTGTCTGGAGTTCACAATCTAACAGTGCTGGTAGCTTCAGGCTGTTCTCTGTTTCGACAGGACCGGATCGCCGACTTTGGCCTCGTCGGATGCAGCGCCACTTGTCGGGCATATCCAACTCCTAGCTATATCGCTAGCATTCATGTCTTATTCTCTAAGTAAGATCTACTCTCAAGATCCATAACTCGCGGGTGATGGATAAACACCAGGACCACCATCTGGGCCTGTCAACAAAACGGCCTGGCAGACAACTAAGAACACAACCTCAACCAGCAATTCTTTCGCTTTCGAAGGACAAAGCTCAGCATCTTTCAGTTTCCATTCTCCAGACCTAATCGTACCGTACGACACCAGTGCTCATGAGCGGGTTCATTGTGTTATTGGCATCTTAGAAAGGTCGCGTAGTACGATATTCCCCTAGTCATGGTTGATACCGTGAACAGAGCTTATTTATAATCAATTAGAGTGGCCCTGTTTACCTCTCTATGGCATCATGAATCCCTTCGGCAAACCGAGCGGCATTTGGAGTGATGAAACCCGCGAATCATGTTGGTGCGCAATCCATGACGCTACCCTTACGCATCGCACACCCGATCCCGATTCTTGCGATGATTGCCGCTCCCGGGGTTAACTCCACTGCATAAAAGAGCATGATGCAAATAGAAGAACTCGGATCATTATTTACCTAGAAATCAATCCTAGAAAGCATTTCCCCATATTGATTTCTCGTTACTATATTCAGATTACTACAATCCTATCAGCTAAGAACTAAACTGCCATCATGAAATTCGAAACAGTGGCCATATTCGGGGCTACAGGCCAAATAGGCCAACTCATCGTGCAAGCCTTCCAAAAGTGCAAGAAACAAAACTTCAAACTCATCCAGGTCGTGCAGCCGGGTCACGACGAAGAAGCGCGCAGGAACCCCGGTGTCGACGCGAAGTTCATCGACATTACTTCAGCAAGCAAAGAGGAGATCGCCACTGCGCTGCAGGGGGTGGATGTTGTGGTTAGTGCCCTCGGTGGCAAAGGCATGGAAATGCAACCTCTGATCCAGGATGCAGCGGATGTTGCCGGCGTCAAGAGGTTCTATCCGAGTGAGTATGGCATGCATCATATCTACCGCAAGCCGGGCGATGATTGGGGGTATCTTCATCCTGTAAGTTAAGTTGTTCCCTCATCGGGCATGAAATTGCAATGGCGCTTGTGGACTCATATTACTTTTGTATAGATATGGGACATGAAAGAAGTTTCGAATGAGAAATGTCTTCACCACCCTGCCGTGAAGGAGGGGAGGATGTCATACACACTGATCGGCTGCGGCGACTTTTATGACCAAGATCGTGAGCCGACATGGTGCCCCTGGACCCAGACGGACGTCGACAAGTACACGCTGCGGATAGTTGGAGACGCCAACGCCAGATGCGACTTTACGAACCGCCATGACCTCGCCGCTTACTTGGTCGAATCTTGCTGCCACCCGGAGAGATCGGAGAATGCGACGCTGAATTTTGTCAGTGATCACATCAGTTACAACGAGATTGCAAGTCTGCTGGAGAAATATGCCAAGCGGCCCGTCGAGAAGGTCTTCATCAGCGAGGAGGACATGCATGCGTATATCGCAGACCCGTCGTCGGCGCCAGCGGCACTGCGCGAGGGAAGCCCTTTCCCGCTGGATTTCTGGATGATGGTCAAGGGTGCCCAGGGACAGGGCCGGTTTTGGAGGCCCCCTGGTCAGGTCCATAATAATCTTTTCCCGGACGTTGAAGTGACGCCATTTGAGGCTTATTTCCAGAGGCGCTTCGCTTAGCTTGTGTTATTACGATCTCTAGGTCGTTGAGGGCTCAAATGCAGGAATTTAAGGCTCCCGCTCGTCGAGGGGTTTTAAGACTTGTTTGTGATGTCTTGGACGGCGGCCTCGACTTTGTCCTGTTATATGTTGATATATAAAGTCGGAGTCTGACTCGGGATGATGTCGGGTTAGATTGTGCGCTTTCACCTTGGAACGAGATGCTACGTAGATTATTACCCCCAGCGGCATAAAGAATCTTGACTAGCTCCAGACCAATCCCCGCGTTTCCGCCCGTCACGATATACACTCGGCCCTGTAGCGAGCCGGCGGGAACATGGGCTCCAGTGAAAGGTGGCTTTGGGGGGTAAATTTGACTCAATGTGGCCCGCAGGCTGGAAAAGGGCGCCATCGCGGAGTACCCTAGACGCTGTACGTGGTATCTTTCGATTAAAAGTGTTCGTCCGATGTGAAGGAGTTGGGGCAAGCTAAGTAGGGCATGGTGATAGCTAGCCCCCCAACTGTCCAGCTTCAGATGGATTTGTAAGACAGGCGAAAAGATTGCTAAGCGCTAGACAAAGAGACATGCATGTAGTCTGTCTGGTTTGATTGCGCAGACTGTTCCCGGAGCCGTTGCTGACTGGGTGTGATGGGATGAGCCGCAGGGATTCGCTTCCCACAGTACAGATGCGAGATGCGCCGTGGAAAGGGCGGCAAGAGCCCCCACAGCCTCGAGAAGCTTATCTCTAAGACTTACGATAGACTTCCACATGGCACTACCCTGGCCCTGGGAGGCTTCTACAGCCTACACGACCCCCAGATCTACGCCCCCTGCGGCCTTGACGGGATGCACCCGCACACCCAACTTATATCATAGAGCTCAGTCGTGAGAACAGCTCGATGTTTAAGAGTTTGATATTGATGACTGACTCTTCATACTCGGGTTCCCTTTTCTGTGGCCTTCCTGAGACTTCGGTGAAGGAATCTCCACCTCTTGACCCTTTGAGCACGCTCACTCGATGAGTAGGTATCCGCATTGTAGCTTCGCTGCTGGCGGAGTCGGTTCATGGCGAGCCTTCCTTTTTTTTCTCATCTCGGTCGATCTTGGAAGTAGAGGGTTGTATGTGAAGCTAAAGGCAGCTCAGCAGGTGAGATAGAAACAAAATATCGGGCAGGGCTCGAGAGACGACTTCCAAGATGTATGCGAGAGAAGATGCATGATTGACATATGTCCTAGGTGAAGCGGGCAGACGCTATCTCTTATGTTCGCGATGGAAAAAATACCTCTGATCAATGATCAGCAAGCGTCCGTCATCCTATTCTAGGCATAGCTTCATGTTTTGAGCCGCAATCCAAAAAAATAAATGGCCCTTATCTTGGTGATGTCCTCAGATTTCATGGGTTTGTACTGTAGATCTATAGTTTTACATGGTTTGTGGGAGTTAGGTGCGTGCTCGTGAGCAATCGGTGAGTGTCCCAAGAGCACAGACCTATCGCTCACGTGCTGCCCTCATAAAAGCGGCGGCACCCCAATTGGGTAAGCAGCTGGGATCAGTACCTTGTTCTTCATGCAGCAAAGCACTTCACTTACACACTAGTTCTTACTCTTTGGATTGTGTGGCTGACCCCCCGTCATTCTGGTCGCAATCCCAACTTCATGCTGTTCGCTCCCCTCCTGGCCTGCGTTGTAGGGCCCTCCTTCGCCGGCTCTGTGGCCGCCAGCAATGTTTCAACTTCCGACACCACGCCACTCGATCAGATCATCCAACGCAATGCGCTGATTGAGTCATACCTGGGACATCGGCCCATACGAGGGGTCAGGAAGATGACCGAGGACGAAGGGGAGAAGTTCTATCTGGATTACTGGCAGTTTGACGACGACGACAACTACACAACCGGCAACAACTACTCGTTCAACACCTCCGATGAGTTGAGTTCACCAGCCAGACGGTCGGAGAGCCTGCAAACAACCGAAGAAGTCGACTTCCAACCGCAGTCGTACCCCTTCCACGCCTCGTACTCGGGGGGATTGGGAAGCGAGGGCGGGCGCGGATGGGGAGCGGCGTTCTCACCGCTTCTTAGGCGGGACTTCCAATGCCCGAGCGGCACCGCCAACTGCACGGCGATCGACCGGCCCGACAGCTGCTGCAGCACGGACGATACGTGCGTGCTGGTCAAGGACACCGGGTCCGGGGATGTGGGCTGCTGTCCGAGGGGCAAGACCTGCTCGGGCACCATCGGCGCCTGTGCCGACGGCTACTCCAGCTGTCCGTCGTCCCTGGGCGGGGGGTGCTGCATTCCGGGGTATGCATGCGTGAGTGGTGGATGTACGTTGCCCTCGTCCCTTCGATCTGTCGGCAAAGGCTGCAGTACTAATGCGTGGTCGCGTGAGCAGGTATGCGCGTCTTCACCATCACGGTGACCGTGAGCTCGACCGTCATGCTGTCCACCTCGACGCAGACCGTCGCCGCCACCACCAAGACGCTCTCCACGGGCGATCTGATCCCGCCCGCCCGGCCTACGAGTGTTTCCACGGCCACCAGCTCCAGTACCAGCAAGACTACCGACTCTGCGACCGTGTCGGTCTGTCCGACGGGGTTCTATGCCTGCTCGGCCTATTACCAGGGCGGTTGCTGCCGTACAGGCCGCGACTGCGACTCGACCTCCTGTCCCGCGATCCCCTCGACTACCCTCGCCAGTGACGGGGTCACCATCGTGATCCCGGAGGCCACGGCAACGGGGACTGCTACGACCACCACCAGCAGCAGCAGCAGCAGCAGCAGCAGCACGGGCCGGTGCGCGAGTGGGTGGTTCAGCTGCGCGGATACGGTCGGTGGTGGTTGCTGTCCGACGGGATACCGGTGCGGCACCAGCTGTACGGCGGTGTCGACAGCCACGGAGACGGTCTCGAAGGAGCAGCCGACGAGTGGGGGAAGTCAGACGGCGAAGAAAGTCGGAGGGAAGACAGGGGTGAGCATTGTAGCAGTAGTGGTGGCAGGGCTTCTCAACATGACATGACGAATATGAGTATAACGAAGAATCACGACGGTTAAGTGCAAGCAGTTTTCTGGGCCCATGCGGATAAAGGTAAAAGTAATGCAAGCGATGCGGATAAGCGAAACTCGAACCATCCACCAACGGTGACAGGCGCGTAAAAAAGAGCCCCGTGGGGCGAGCGAGCGGGCACGTGCGGGGCGCATTACTTTACCCGATCGGGAGCAATCCCGGTGAAGCCTGAGGATTTATGGAGGGATTGAGGGCCTCCAGCCCCGACCCGCTCCGATGCCGCCCTTGCAACTCCGACAGTCAACCTCCTCCACAACAACAACTCCTCTTTCTTCTCTTGTCTCTGCCCACCATCCCTTCTTCTTCCTTTTCCTTTTCTTCTACTTTACCTTTCTGCGTTCTATCTTTTGTTGTTGCATCCTTTTTTTTCAATTGCAGTACACAAAATGTCGAACAACAACCAGCAGAAGCCCCTGCCCTTCCAGTACCAGTTCATGGCTGGTGCGGTGGCTGGTGTGTCCGAGGTAGGAGCGTGATCCCCCCATTGACATTGGGCATTCTACTCACACTATCTATCAGATTCTAGTCATGTATGCAGCGGCTCTTACCTGAATGTCGGTCAGGACTAACAGCAGGACCAGGTACCCACTTGACGTGGTGAAGACGCGAGTGTAAGAAGCACCCTCCGGACTCCGATCCAACCACCACAAACTAATATCGTTTGCGTGAATACAGCCAGCTACAAACCGGCCCCGCGACGGCAGGCGGCGACCACTACAACGGCATGTTCGACTGCCTGCGCAAGATCGTGAAGAACGAAGGGTGCGTGTGCTCCCACTTATCCTCTCCCAATTTCCAGATAACCCCCCACGAACTAACACCACCCCCAACCCAGCTTCTCGCGCCTATACCGCGGCATCTCGGCCCCAATTCTAATGGAAGCGCCTAAGCGCGCAACCAAGTTCGCAGCGAACGACAGCTGGGGCAGCTTCTACCGCAACCTCTTCGGCGCAGCGGAGCAAACGCAATCCCTGGCCATCCTGACGGGCGCCACAGCGGGCGCGACCGAGTCGTTCGTGGTGGTGCCGTTCGAGCTGGTCAAGATCCGGCTGCAGGACCGCGCATCGGCGGGCAAGTACAACGGGATGCTGGACGTGGTGCGCAAGATCGTGGCGGCGGAGGGACCGCTGGCGCTGTACAACGGGCTGGAGTCGACGCTGTGGCGGCACATCCTGTGGAACGCGGGCTACTTCGGGTGCATCTTCCAGGTGCGGGCGCAGCTGCCTGCGGCGGCGCCGGGCAACAAGGCGCAGCAGACGCGCAACGACCTGATTGCGGGCACGATCGGCGGCACGGCGGGCACGCTGCTGAACACGCCCATGGACGTCGTCAAGAGCCGCATCCAGAATACCGATAAGGTGCCGGGCCAGGTGCCCAAGTACAACTGGGCGTGGCCTGCTGTTGGGACGGTGATGAAGGAGGAGGGCTTCGCGGCGCTGTACAAGGGGTTCATTCCCAAGGTGCTGCGGTTGGGGCCTGGTGGGGGCATTCTGTTGGTCGTGTTCACTGGGGTTATGGATTTCTTTCGCAAGATGCGCGAGGAGTAGATTTTATTCATTGATAGACGGACAGGATAGGAGATTAGAGGGGTCTCTGTGCAATAGACGGTTGATTGCATTCCATGCGAATAGTGTAATTGTCACGGTTTATCAAGGGTTGAGGTTGCCAGGAAGCTGAAAGAAAAGAGGGGTCCGGGGGTTCTCCCCCGGAACGCTTATAGAACTAGTGTAAGAATTGAGCTTACCAGGGAGCTGAAGGAAAGGGGGGTCCGGGGGTTCTCCCCCGGGTCGCCTTATAGAACTAGTATAAGAGAACTAGTTTATGTAGTGAGGTGTCTGGTTAGGTCCGTACTAAGTGACTGACTACTGTATGTACCCCGGCACCACGACTGACAAGGGCGTTAAATAGTATGCGGCGATAAGGGCATCTCCAGGACTGCGCACGTGGGATCCCCGGGGTTCTCTCGTCCATTCACGGCTGCCATGGACCTACAGGAGTTCGTCCGAGTGGTTGGGATCTGTCGTCCTCTTAGATGCGTCTGCGCTGTGATCTATGTGCATTGCGGTGCCCTATGAGACCCGTCCACCAGTCTTTAGGTTTTTGGTTTTACTATACCAGTCCCGGGTGTAGATCAATGCAGGTTTACTTAGTGGAGACTTGGATTATCACATGCATAGTGATATGAGACTTGTATTATAAATATCGAGAAATCAGATCGTGAAATAACGCCCGAGAAATGGGAAGCCAGCAAAAACAACAGTGAACCAAAACTTCAAGCGTATAGATTAAAGGGAAAAGGGTATCGATGTAAAACACAAGAATAAGAAAAGATAAACAACATGTACGTCAAGGGAAAATCGAGCCCGACATCAGTCACCATTAAGGAGAGCGAAGAGTCCAGAAGCAGCACAAAATAAGCCAAAGGGAAATCCATCCAAAACCGAGATGCAAAAGCAGAGAGAACAGCAGAAATAAAACAGTCCCTGAAACCAACGAGACAAAAAAGACATCTCAACCATTAACCTCGACGAGATCTGTCAAAACTTCCGTGTACGCCCGTCACCCATATGACGCCTTTGTAGACAACAAGGTCATGACATGCAATCGTGGAAGAAATGGAAGACTGAGCTCGGCCAGAACGCAGCTCTAGTTCATTTCCATTGCGTATTCATCCTCCTCCTTGAAGCTCATGCCAGCATGGCCCGAGCTGTTCCAATACTGGGCTTGTCCGGTGCCCCCGCCATTGCTGCTGCTGCCACTGTTGAAGGGTGGACTCAGACTCTGGGGGCTCAACGTTCCGTTGCCGCTGACGGAATCCCCCGCAATGTTGGTGTGCTTGGGGACCCGGAGACCACTGCCTGGCGCTCGGCTGTAAGCGAAAGAGCTAGGATCGTTCTTCTCTAACGCATCGAGGATCTCTGTGCGCATGCGCTTCTCTTCCTCGGTCTGTTCAAACGGCCACGTGCCGCCAAGCCTGCTGATCAATTCGGCCAGCTCCGACTCTTGCTGGAGCTTGACATGCAGAGCCCACATCAGGTCCCGCATCCAACCGACGGCTCCGTTGAGGATATCTCCTTTGTTGGGACCTTTCTCTTTCTCCTCGATTGGCAGGCCCATGGTGATGTTACCAGCAGTGGCACGACGCCCGTTCCCTCCTGCCAGCAAGGATGTCGCCGCGTTCGCAGTGGCCCCTGGGCCGGACATGGCAGTATTGTTGACGAGCTGCTTGCGAACTTTATCATCCTCCAGGCGATGCTGAGGAACCAAATGAGACAGGTCCTGAATACGTTCGTTGATGTTGTCTCGCCGCCGGCGCTCGACCAGGTTGTGAGACGCTCGACGACGGCGCCGCTTCGCCTCTTGCGATTCTAGATCCTGGGCAGATCCGGGCATATGCGTATCAACCTTGGCCGGCAAGGACGCATGCTTGCCTGATTTAAGAATTTCAGAAATCCCAGCGTGGTGAGATGGATGGCCCGGGGACGAGATGGGAGACTCCACATAGGAATGCGCACTTCCGGGGGTACCATCCCACTGGTTGGACAGAGTCTTCTGGTGCCGATGCTGCAGGCCAGTCCGGATGGGTTGCGTGGGGAAGCTTCCGGATTCCGGAGTTCCGAGGGTCAGAGCGCCCAGCGCAGGGGTCTTTGGGGTCATCGGGCTGCGTCCATCGTACGAGGCACGGTCGAGCGCTTGTATGCTGGGTCGGGCCTTGGCATTGAGGTAACCCTGGTCAAAATGGGATCCATTACCCTGGAGATGAGACCCCGCTTGTCCTGGCTGGCCCATGCTCCGGAAGTGGTCATAATTGAAACTGTGCATGAAGGGACTGTGCATGGGAGCTCCATCTGGCGTGTTGGAGTACATCTGTGACATCGGGCCAGGATGACTCATCGAGATCCCCGCGCTGGATTGTTGGTCCTGAAGGTAATTCTGCTGGACGCCATTCTGGCCGTTGATCTCCAAGTCCAGCAACTCATCGGTATCGATCCCAGAGTTGCCGAAGTTGAAGCTGGAGGAGAGGTTCTGCTGCGAGGAGAACGGGTACGACATGAAGCCACCGTTCTGCATGCTCAACTCCGAGGGGTCAACCCCATCGTTGGGGTTCCCGAATTGGTTTGACATTGAATAGCCGGATTGCGACATCATGAACTGGTGTGGGTCACTGCTGTGATCGTTAGGCTCAGTCTTGATGAGAATGCTAGTTGCCGCCATTTCCCCGCGACTGTGCGCCGGCCTTCTAGTCCACGCCAACGGTGTTATCAAAAAGGGTAATCTTACGGTCCAAAGGCGAACCTGGTAGAGAGGATGGCTTGATGGGTACCAAGCCTAGGATTTCAAGTATGATCAATAGCTTGTGGTGGAATGATAAGTCTCAGCGGCAGAGCAGAGAGTGGAGAGGATGTTGTATAATCAACAAACGGTGACGTCGATTCATCAAAGGAGTGCGGCAGAGAGAAGTATTCGCCGGAGATGATCTAATGGCCTAGCGGAATTCCCAGCAGTTCGTCAGCGTGGTTCATAAACAAGGAGAAGTGGGCGTGGCAATGAGCCACCGTCTGAATCGGCGGACACCGACGGGGGTGGCTCAGACCCCCCGACAAGTATGGGGAACGCTTACCAAGAACAAGATAAATTCAGTCTAGCAATGGAAAGCCAAGCCTGGGGATGCCTCCTGGATAGATGGAGAATGCGATTGGTTTAAAGGGGGTCAGAATGGCACGAAGGTGATGCGAGGGGTTGTCGCGATGGCCAGGGTGCTCGGCGAAAGCAAGATTTGGAAAGCGGGCAGGAGTCGTTGGCGGAAACCAGAATAGTCCGAGGTATTTGTGCTGTCACTGGTCGAGCGCACCGAAATCAGAATGTCTATTTAAGGTTGAGCTGGGTAAGCGACTGGGGAATGGAAGTCCAGAGCTGAAAATGAACCCAAAAAAGAAAAGAAGAAGAGCAGGGCGGCGATCAAAGGAGAAAGCTCCGTTGGGTGGCCATAAGCGAGGCAAAAGGGAAAAAAATAAAGGAGACAGAAAGAAAGGCGGGCAAGAGTACAAATGGGGCCGCGGAGGCGACGGACTGGACCGAAATTGGGGAGAGGGGGGGGAGAAGAGAGAAGGAGGGGAGGATCAAAGGGGAATGAATCAGTGGCAGTGGCAGTGGCAGTGGCAGTGGTGATAAGGACAACCCGATAAATAGAGGTGTCAGATCAAACCAGAAATAGCCTGGGATATGTGACCACCGAGGAAGAGACTTCGAGTTGAGGAAGAATAGGAGAGAGCCTTGAACTTGGAAGTGAAGAGGAAGAAGAGGAGGAAGAGGAAGAAGGAAGGAGGGGAAGATTGGGAATTTGAGGCGTTGTGAGTTTAGTTTGTGAGGCGGCGGGCGGTTCGTGTCCGGGGTAGTTTTAAGGAAGAGCGTAGTCCGAAGTGGGCTGTGGAGGGAGAAAGAGAGAGAGACAGAGAGTATCAATAGGCGCAAAGAGCGCAAGAGGCGGTGGACAAACTGAACCATTGTAAAAAAGAAGTGAAGGCGGTCACCCCCGGCAGTATGCCCTCTCTGTCTCTCTGTCTCTCTCTCCCTTTTGTCTTTCTCCCCCAGACATCGGATAACCCCGTCCTGGATTGACACTTCGGTTCATCCCGCCACCCAACCCCAGACAATAAATGTCTTGGTGCGCATAGAGAATCGTGATAATGATGGCAATGCCTCGAAAGACATTCTTCTGCCCTCATTCATCCATTCATTCCTTTTTGGAACCCCCAATTGTTCTCAGTCTCCTCATTTACCCCTCGGTGACCATTCCCCGCGCTTCACGCGAGACGGACAGATCTTCCCGTTTCGGGGTCCGTGAGACAAGGACGGCTCGGCCACCCTAAGAGATGCCCCACGGACATTGTCGGACCACGTTGGATCGTCACCCAGGCGCCAGATGGTACTCCCAATGATTCGGGCTTGATGGATTTTGGGCCCCCGCTTAGAGCATCTGCAGGGGCTGAGAGGCCACCCCTCCTGCACCCTCCTCTTCCTTCGGTCTTACCCCAGACTGTTCAAGCTGGTGACGTAACAATCGATATTATTGTTTCGCTCTCAAGGCTGCAGCCGAGGGTTTCGGCTGCCGGTGCAGGTCTTGGCCCAACTGGCCGCTCAATCTCGCGGTAGGGATGCGGCCGCAGGGAGCGCGCGCGCGAGAGAGAAAGAGAAACTGCGCAAGTATGTGTGTGTGCGCGCGCGCGCGCACGCATACATGGGTTTGTAGAAGGTAGATAATAACATCACGAAAAACAACATGTGCCAGGGAACAGAAGGGAAAAAATAAAGATGATCAAACAAAATGAAAGTCGCTGCACGCTTACCAGGTATTGATATAATCGAAATAGATAGTTGGCTTCTTCATAGATCTCCTGGGCGACAATCAGTATTGGCGTGAAAACTCGATTGCAAATAGAGACAAGAGTACGACGTGGAGATGACAAAGAGGACAGCAAAGTAACAAGGCAGACGGAAACAGAAGCTCACACGTGGAGGGGAGGCTTGAGCCGCACAGGCTTTACATACAAGGTCAGGCAGAAAGTAAAAAGCAAACAGCGTGGAGGACAACAACGTGTTGAACAGACAGGCAGCCTTATCGCAGTGGCAGAAGAAGGCTGGCTGGCTTATATGGGCAAGTGTCGGGGCGTTCGGGGTCAGGGAAAGAACAGGACACCTAAGGCTGTGAACACTTACATGGACCCTATGGATGCAACAGGTCGCAACAGTGAGCAATGAGGGGTTCGTGCTCAGCGCAGGAGCAAAACGAAAGAAATGGCGTAATCCGGAAGACCAGTGGGAATGAGCAGATGGCTATAAAGTCAGTGTCGTATCAGCTCAGCACAGCTGGGCAATGCAGTCACTCGAGAAGGGAAATCCCAGCGTTATCGGCCAGGAACACAATGGCGAAAACGAAAAAAGTAAGTTGGGAGAAGGGTATACTTTATAGGTACAAGAACGGGAACCGCGAGACCTAGGGCTGGCAGTGCAGAAGGAAAAGAAGATTATAAAGGACATCCACGGCGTTTCTTCACTTCGTCTCATTTGATATATCATGGTTCAGGTCATGCAGGGCGTCGATCCTCAAATCGACGAGGCTTAACACACCATCCACAGAAATTATTTGCGTAAACCGGTTCTTCAGCCAGGTAGAATGTTACTAAAATGATTATGAGAAATTCAAGGGGGAGTCGAGAAATAAAAATGACTATTAATTTCTTTTCTCTCTGATGAAAATAACAAGTAGATCAAGTTGGAAGGGAAATAACACTGCAGAACCAAAACACTGGCAAAAAGGGTGGGGGGAAAGGTAGAGCTAGGGGAGGACAAGAACCAATCGTGAAGCAGCAGCAGGCAGACCAGACCAAAGAGACACTAACCAAATTAAGTGATAGAGAACATTGACTAAATCAGGCCAATGCGAGACGCAAGAAAGGGGGGAAGGTTGTGGTTGGAGAGACTTGGGAGGGGAGGAGGGGTGGTGATGGTGGTGTGTGTGTGTGTGTGGGTGTGTGTGTGTGTATGTGTAGTGGAGGGGAGGAGAACTATAGAAAGACAATAGCCGTCAAGGAGGGTAGCACCGTACGGAAAGAGGAGAATAACGTCCATCCCGAATCCCATGAGCATCCCAAGTACTACTATATTTGTCACCTGTTCCACGTCTGCCAGGGAAGTTCATGACTCACCCGCGTCAGCCTCTGGTGGATGATTACTAGAGCCTTCTCTCCTTTTCGTTTTTAATAGGATGATTCAGATTATTCGGGTTATCCAGGTTATTATCCTTCATTCGTATCTGCCGCTATTCACCTGAAAACGGAAGAGAGGCAAAGAAGCGGGGGCACAATGTCTTATCAACACTGTCGGAGATAGTCCCGACGCTTAGGGAAGGGAAAGTATTTGATACGAGTCTCAAGCTCGCTAAGAATGTATCAGATGCTAGAACCACCCTTTACCTCAAGCATACCGGATCATGTACCCACACGGACAGAAGACTAAATGACCTAGGAGCGTGAGGTCTCGAGTATAGCCCGTCTGCTTCGAGACCAGAGCCTATGACATCATGATTCATCTGAACAGGGAATGCAACAACCTCCAGAATATCCAGATATTCTAAAATGCACAAGGAGAAGGTGTGGGAGACGCTAGAATGCCGAGATTCAATGACGGTGGAATATCGCTCCAACTTGACGCGGTGGCATTCATCGCGGGTATCGAGGAATGGATGGATGATCTAGATAGGGCTCCCATGTGGAAAGGGGAATCTTCGGTCTATCAGTTGGCTGCAAACGGTGAATACCCGGGTTGGCGTTGGCGAAGTACAGTATTATTATTATTCTGGAGGATCGCTGGACACTAGCGGGATCGACGGGCTGGAGAAACCATGCCGCAATAATATTTATTATTATTCATCTCACCTTACCACCATTGCAGGCTGCATTAGAGCCCGAACAGGGAACACAGTTGACTCGATACTAGAGCCTCAATCTTCATCAGTCGCTGCCTTGAGTGACTGTTGTTTTGGTGTCTGTCGGTACGTCGTCATAGGTCATAGGCTACCGAGCAGCGACAATTTATGTCAAGGGAAGTACGATGACTTCCTTGAAATGCATGCTTTCCATCTCATCCATTGTCCGTCCGAGCACAACGGGGGCTGACACAGAGAGGCGGTCCGTGACACTGTGCAGCCTGTAGCTTCCCGAGAAGGCGTGCATCTGCCTATGCCATCTGATAGGCTCCCCCCACCAAAACAGTGGCAGGGGCCTTTGCGACTCACTGCCTAATCAGGCATTGAGAATCTTGGGGTGGTCTTAACGCATGGATCTCATGGCTGGAAATAGACTAAATTGGCACCGTTGATGAATTAATCTATTCCCTTTCTCCCCTCCCCTTCCCCTTCCCATCGTTCTTCATGCAACATCAACAACAACAACCCCGGGCGTTCATGCCCCCAAAGCTCTTCAATCATCCGACTTCACCTTTGCAAGGGAATTTAGGACATAGGTAGTGATGATATCCTGCGATCCTTGCCCTTTGGATGCTGTTACGACTTGGAATACGGATGACTCCTCAGGAATGTGGAGGGAGCTAGGTACCGTTTTAGCTACCCTTTCGTGTGCTACTACGTACTCCATCAAGCGTGCCAAAAACAGACAAGAGTCGACCCGCGCGGCGATTGGAATGCTGTCAGTTTATCAGGTCGCCAATCAACTTCGAAGATCAAATCAATCAACAGCCCTGCGTGGCCGCAAACGGCCAGTCCGCCAGGGAGCTTCTGGGAAGCATATCTCGCTATCAACCCGCCCACCTTGCAGCACGGTGCTATCGCAGACCAGACCGGCTGGTATGCTACACTCCTGCCTAGTTGATCAGGTATAGCCGACAGACGCGATGTACGCGAATTCCTGTAGTGGAGGTTATGCTTTCCCCTCCTGACGGACCAGAACGCGGTATGTGCATTGCCTACGTATACCACCACGAACAAAACGATGATACAATCGTGCATGCGGTCAACGATAGAATGATAGGGATGGATGACCAGAGAGCTGGACAGTAATCAACGGTTGAGTATGTCTGAAGTTGCATTGGCGCGAGAAACTTAAAGAAAGCAGTGCAATTCTGTTAGTTATGGAGGAAAGAGGAGTCAACAGCATTGGCTCCCGCAATTCGCGCCCGCCCCGGCCCGTCAAGGTTCGGAGTGCGTGGCCGATATCCACGGTTACTGCAAGGAGTTTGGCTACACAACATACACTCAATTTCAGACTCGACTTGAGAGCAAGCAGTCAACCAACACGAAAGCTGGGCTGCCATGGCACACCCGATTGACTCGTTACTGCTCAGGACTAGTATAGTCGAACTAGTGACTAGCTGCTGGCCGGAACGTGCAGGTGACAGCGCGCGCTATCCATCTTTCATGGACGATGATGTGCAATTCGGCCGGAAGAGGATCGCCGCGTTTGCCTAGCCGACGGTGGCAAGGAAGCTGATATCGTAGGTAGCTTAAGAGACTCGGGCTTACCCTCAACTACGAGCTAGGCTGACGTCGGGGATGGGAGAGTTTTATTATCCGACTGGCCATATGGCTTGGTGAGATTGACGACCACCATCATTGATATCAATGATAGGCGGGCACGACTGAAGTATGCTCTTCCTACCATCCACTCCGTTCCTCCGATTGAGAAGCCCAGGCTGCCATTTACGTAGTGGGTGCCCCGCTGAAAGTTGCCTGATGCAACCCAAACCGTCTGATCCAGTGTCGACAATCGGGTGTGTTCCGGTAAAAGAGGCAGACGTCGTTGATCCCGAAGTCTGAGTAGGCTTCTGCCTTCTGCAATCCACGGAAGCTCCACCCGAGATCGACTGGGCTACTATGCTGATCGATTCGACAGTTGAGAAGAAGTTAGCGATGCGGCTAATGGCTCCGATCAGGTTTTGCCTTGGATCAAGAACCTACTACTCGGCTGGTGGCTGATGCTAATGCGAGTAAAGCTCAAGACGAGGATGTGATACGACGAAGGCGATCGGTAAGCTGTGGTATTCGCGTGGTTCCAAAAGCCACTTGAGTAGTATGGAAGACGTTACTAAGTAAGTATTCAGTCGGGTGCTCGGTACGGGAGTCTAAGGTAGGTGGAGAGTAACAGAGGTCAGCGGGAACAGCGCCAAATGCAGAGCGAGTGTGGGTGGTGGTGGGCGGTGTGGCCCGTCGCTCCAGAGGTCTACGGTCTCCTGGAGCTGGATGATGGCTTTAGTTTTAGTGGATAGCCAATCAAATGTATCCAAACTGGGCGGTGATGGGCTAGTCTCAATTGGTGATTGGGCGATCAGAGCTCAGCTGGGGCCCAGTCGCTCATTTGGGGTTTAGCCTAGTTACCGCCTGACAGGATCCCCCCTGTTTGACTCTCTGATTGGCGGACGGGGCTATCGGGGCTAATGACCCACACTCCACCCCAAGTCCGACACTCACTCAACTCAACCTTGAACCTACTAGGAACTGCTCCTTCCATTCCACACTTCGCGCCTCTGCGATCAAGCATGATAACAGACCACCTGCGTGAAGTCCTGAACAACCAACACTGTATCAGATCAATCTCGTCGATGCTTTGAATACCTCTCCAGTAACACTGAGTAAGTCGAGGTCTTCCTTGTTGATGCCTTATCCTCCCAAACAGCCAGCTGCTCAACCACCATCACCAACGCTACTACCACCATTCCCTCCGACCTCCTCACCCTCACACACACTTTCACCATTCCCCCCCCCCTCCCCTCCCACACCCACTCACCCCCTCTTCTCGTCGGTCAACCTCTCTCTCACCCCTCTCCGCAGTCATCTGACGACTGGCTAATCTTGGAGACTGTATAGAGACGATCTCCGTTGCTTTCGACAGAAATAGGGTGGCCCCAGCGTTACCCCCATTCACCACCTCTATTCTTCTTCCTCCTCCTCCTCCTCCTCCCCGGCACCGTCATCGCACTCATCATCTTGCAGCTCCTATTCCCTCCTCCTCCTCCTCCTCCTTCCCCCCCACCCCCACTTCCTCCTTCCCTTTCCCCTGCCATTCTCCGGTCTACGCAGCTCTCCACCTTACTGCACTAGCTTTCCATCTCCGTCTCTACATTCCTTGCGCTGAGGTTGGAGGTTAATCGTCATTCCGGATCGTGGGACAGGGCTTGGACCATAGAACTGTTACATCAGCTTCCTCGGAGATATCGTACTGTTTCAGCCGACTTCACTCTTAGAGAGTAGAGTCACGTCCGCTGTGGCTGTCAGTCAGCAACAGAGCCGGCTGCTTCAGACAGATAGCCCCCTCCTCCCTTTCCCCTCTCCTTCCGTCCACTCCCCCGGGACGGGTTGATACTCTCATTACCTACACATACCGATCTGGAAGGAGTCACAAGCTTATCAGCTTCACTTTCTTCGACGTGCGACTAAGCCCCTTTGACTCGATTAGCGGACTCTAGGTTTGCCCCGTGCCCAAGCTCCTCGGGAGGCTAGTCCGGTTGCGCAACAGTCATCTGGCCCGCTCAGGTCTCGTCCTATCACCGACGCACCCTCTTTTTCTTGCGTGCAGCTGTTGTGTTCTGCCCCCCTCCACCCATTCATATTTGCAGATCATCTGCACGCGCATATCGGTTTCCGTCGTGCATAGTCCCTGCAGAGGTCGTCTCACCTTGACACCGCATTATCGCGCTCCCAGTGGTCTGCTTCGTTATTTACGCTCCCGCTGTAGTAGCAGTGTCAGCTTCCGAATCCGCCTCTTCCCTTCCGTTGTCGCAGCCTGCCGGCTCTTCCAACTAGGACCATCTTTTTCAGTTTAGTGGTGAAGCATATCGTGACCATGGCCACCACTTCGTTCCGTGATTCTGTGAACTCATTGGGTTGGTCTCGGAGAGATCCAGATCTACCAGCGCGCACCAACCCGTCGAATGCTCCTTTCCTATCACGGTTGCAATCTTGGAATCCATTTGGGCAAGGGGAGGGCTATTTGCAACTACCCACTCACGAAGCTCCAGGAGCCCCTCTGCCAGCAGCAACGCGACGAGAGGAGGAAGACAGTTTCTTTGCCTGTGAGTCGTCCCAACGCATGACCCGATTCTTCCGACGTACTGTCCATTTCCTTGATTTGCCGGACTGGCTGGTCCAGGTGACAGACCCAGTTCCTGCATCGCATCGGGGTTTCACCCAGGCCCTAGTAACGGGCGATGGTGACGCCTTTTCCATTGATTTGCAAATCTCCTATATGTCCGTCATTTAAGTTTCAGCTAATGCTAATCATGCATCCCCTTCTAGTAAGCCGATGGGATCGGATGCTCATTTTTATTGCCTGCAATCTGGGTGCTGCCGTCTGCTTCCTTATTTGCTTTTTCCTCTTTCCAGTCCTGTCACTCAAGCCCCGCAAGTTTGCCATCCTGTAAGTTGCTTGTCCCCTATAATCTTCTGGAACCTCGACACATGGGGAGAGGGATGAGGCGGTGGTGTGTACTTCCTACCCTTACTGGGAAGCATGCACGACCAAGCCACATTCCAACTTCCGTGCTACACTCTATTGCGACTTAATCCTCTATGCGCCAAGCCCTGCGTGAATGAGAATCTGTGGCTGACCCAACCGGTTTTTGCTTGGATACTAGATGGTCCGTCGGTTCTCTGCTATTCTTGCTATCATGGGCAGTCCTCATGGGACCGATGGTCTACGCCAGACATCTGGTCTCGGGATCACGACTGCCATTCACAGCAGCCTATTTCGGGTCGATCGCCATGACCCTGTACTTTGCTATTGGGGTGAGTACCTACCAATCTCCTATAAGCTTCTGCCGTAGCGCCAAGATTCATCCCTGTTGCTCCCGTGTCGAGTATGCCTGCGCTTTCAGCGCCAGCTGCTCTGCGATCTCGGTAACTCCTGCTAAGGGATCTCGCATGTCGCCGGGGGCGTACCGTGCATAACGCTCGAGGTCTTCTTCCGACCAATGATCTATGACGTCATGATGCATGGGAGCGCCCGGGCGTTGGACGAGGTGATCTCTCACGATAGCGCTTTTAGTGTTGCGGGACCTTCAGGGATGCCGGCGCACGTGCACGTGCACAAACAACGTCCAGCTTGGAATGGGAATAGCGGCTAACATGTTTCGCCCGGTCTCACAGCTTCATTCCACCTTGTTGACCCTGATCTCCTCGATCTTCCAGCTGGCCGCTCTTCTGTGGTATCTTGTCAGCTACTTCCCCATGGGTAGCACCGGTCTGCAATTCATGGGACGTTTCGGCGCGCAGCGTGTTACGGCATGGATGACCAGCTGATAATGTCGCGTTGATTGTGTATAGTATAGAGTAACGAAGCGACGCTTCTCTTATGTGCCCTGTTGTAGAACTCTTGATGTATAATCCCTCATACTTCCATGGTCAGAACGAGAACAAGGTCGAGCCTTGTCGATGCAGCTTTGCTAGCGGGTTCCTGGTTTTGCTTACCCTGGTCTCCAATATACTGTATAGAAAATCCGGTCCAAGATCTTTCTCTCGGGAAGACAACACCAATTTGACATGCGTTGCTTCGCTTTCAACTAGTCTATCCATCATTCCCAGTTCTTTCTCCCTCAGCTCTTCCCCTTTCTTTCAAACTCCATCCCCATCTCCATCTCAACCCAACCCATCCCTCTCGCACCGACGATAGAAATAGTCGTCCGCCTTCCTTTCGCAATATTTCCCATCATCATAAAATCAAAAAGAGAGAGACCAGAACCTTAATCCCAAAACCCAGATGGGAAACACTCCACAGTAAGGTACAGGGATCTTCCCACGAGCGATTCCCTATCTACGTACTTGAATATCATGGATCTCCTATCCAGCCATGTGTGCTTGCGTAGGTTGTGCGGTGTGGTGTGGTGTCTGTGTCCCCTTTTCTTCCCTGTTCCCCTGTTTGAAATTTTATTCTTGCCGTCTTGGTGTTACCCCCGTGTTTTCTATTTGGCGGGAGGCTGGAATAGGAAGGAGATTTGGATACTATCTACTTCCACGGTGGGTGTGGGTGTATGTATCGGTTGGGGTGGGATATGTTTGGTGGTTGTTACTCGGATGTGGGATGGATGGGTTGGATGAGGATTTGGGGCTTTTTGGGATTGGGATTGGGGGTTGAGGGTTGAGGGTTGCGTGGCGAGGGTGAGGGCAATATCTTCAGGGATACGGGTTGATTGAGGATGAGAATTGGGCTCAGTGCAGGGGATTAGTCTGGCCTGTGGATGGAAATCGGAAAAGGGTTCCTGGGGGGGCTTGTTTGGTTAACGCGGGTTTGTGAGAGGTACTGTACTTTATACTACGATGGATGAGTTCTTTTGCTAGTGGCTGTAGATACTGGACTTGGGTTTGGTTTGTTTGAGGGAGCTTATGCTGGAGTGGATGTCCTCTGATAGTCTGTCTGAGTAGCATACTCTATGGCTGTGCTCTACATGTTAATCACATCGCTGTTTCATCTGAAAGCCCATATCGCCACGTCAATCAATCAACCTGCTACTTCCCTCGGCTCATCACCATCCCCACCGCACCGTGAATAACCTTGACGCCTGGAATCTCCGCTTCCCAGATGCCGGTGTCGCCGCCGGAACCAACTTCATGCCAGCGCTTGATCAAATCGTTGCTCTCCTTCGGCTTGACATCCGTAGAGACGGTTCCCACCGTGACGTGCGGGGTCTCGTTGGCGCACGGCCAGTCGCCCTGGCTTCCGTCCTCGGGGGGCATGATGCGCGCGATGAAGGCCATCAGGCGGTTGTCCCAGATGAGGCGCTCCAGGCGTACGCGCACGGGGGCCAGAGTCGGGGTGATGGTCAGGTCGGATTCGGGCTTGTTCTTCATCTTCTCGATGTACTGCCGGGTGTATCCCTCCCAGATGTCGGGGTGCTCTTTCTTGGACGCGCGGTGGATCAGCGTGACGTGGAAGGAGGGCTGGATGCGGCGCGATTTCGCGAGCTGGTGGTAGATGCGGGCTCGCTCGGGGTCGGTGGACGGGGGGAAGAGCGACTGCAGCACGTTCGACACCTCGGCCGCCGGTAGGCTGATGCAGAAGTACTCGAGCTTCTTGGCCAAGTCCTCAGCGCTGGGTGCGACTGCGGAGTCGGGGCTGTTGGTTTTGTTGTTGAGGTTGCTCTTGTTCTTTGATTTCTGGCCCCCGGAGCTGTAGGCCTGGCTAAGGTCCAGCTCCACCTGATAGTCATGCATTGCCCAGTTGATTGCATCGTCGAGCTGCTGCGCAGTGGGGACCTCCCTCACGAGCTTGGGATACGATGCGTGTAGGGCTTTCACCACTGTTTCCAGGTTCTCGCGCGAGGAGGCTGCGACATCTAGGTCGATGACCTCGTCAAAGTACGAGTCGGGTACGCGGTCGGTGTTGACGCCCTCGAAGCGCGTGAGGAATCCCTCCATGATCCCGATGATTTCTTCGCTGTTTTTACTGCCTGCGCGAATCGTCTGGTGGTTGTCACCACGATTCAGGACCCGCTGTCTTGTAATCTCTCGAATCCCCGGAAGCATCTCTTGCTTGGGGTCGTGGACGTAGTGAAGTGCGATGAATCGAGCCCGAGGAATAGCAGTAGTAACGTCCTGTATGATCTGCTCTCTTTCGCGCCTCTGGTGGTTGTTCCGGTCCGCGATGACCACGGGATGTACGGCAAGCAGCATGTTAATATCCGTGGCGAATTTCTTTGGCTTGTTCTTCTGCTTTGGGATGTTGTCGTTCTGCACTTGGCCCCAGTTGAACAATTTGGCCAGAGCAAGTCCCACGGTGGTCTTTCCGCATCCCAGCGAAGCCACAGGGACCAAGACAACATCTCTTGTCACTTCTTCCTTTGAGCCTTCCGATTCCATCTGGATGATCTCAGATCCGTTCAGACCTCGTTCCTGAAGAAACCCTTCTCGCATAGCGATAATTCCGTGGTTCTTGTTGTACTGCTCCCCGAGTCGCGGGTTTTGCGCGAGCTGTCTTCGAGCATACTGCAGGTACTCTTCCGTGATTTTTTTGTGTTTCTTGATGTTGGGGTATCTTTTGGCGATGATAGCTTTGGTGCACTCGCGCCACTGTCTGTACATCAAGTAAGGCTCCTCAAACTTGTATTTGAAGAACCAGTCATGGTAGGGTGGACGACCACCTTCACCCATCTGACAGCGAATCACGAAACCTTCGGTCTCGCGGCCATCCCAGGTTCCGGTCTCTGCACACTCCTCAAGAAACTCCTTCACCTGGTCGAGGTCCTCGTACACAACGAAGTTGGCCCTCTTGAAGCCCCACGAGTCGGCGAATGCGTGAACCTCCGAGCTAGAGCAGGTCGCGAACTTTGGGACATTGAAGTTGAGGCCATGGAGGTAGATGCCCGAGACCGACTCGTCGTAAGCAAGGACATGCTCTTCGAAGCTGTCGTCGCAGAGCTCGCCCACTGCCGTCACATTCAGTCTGCGCAGCTCTTTAGCCAAATCCTTGACGGACTTTCCGACGGACTTGACGTGCTTCTCCACCCACCGTTCACCGGCCTGGGCGTGACTGACTTCCGTGTCATTTCGGACACCTGTCGAGTGTTTGCTGCACACCAACAAAGTTCCGTCTTCGAGGCCGGAAATGAAGATGATGCATCCGTTCTCTTTCACGCTGAGCTCATATGGTCCCCGTGTATTCATCTCAATGTTCCTCCACTTTGTCGCATTGACCTCCTCGATGTTGAAAAATTTGTCATACCCCCGTACCGCAATCTCATGTGTACCATCTTTCCTTTGGGTGGTAAAAAGCCCCCGGGCGTAGGTGGGGAGATCGGGGCGTCTGTAGTCCCAGTCCTGGAACTTCCAAGAGTTTACCTTGATGCCTTTTGTCTTGTCCACATCAAATGTTGACTTTCTGCAGCCGAATGATTTCTTGCTCGCAGCTTTGCCTCTCTTCGTGGCTTCCTCCAGGCTCTCGACTAGCTGAGCTACCTCCTGCTCGTCCTGCTGTACTGTTTTGATGTTTTCGTAGGACATGGTCGTGAGATACCGTTTCGAGTTGCCTTGAGCTGCAGGGATCAAGAGCCGCGAGCGGTGGAAACGCGCCTGAAGGAGCTGAGGCCGGCGGCTTCGAAGGGAGATGGATGTCGCTAACGTGTTTCGCCTGGGCCAGAGAGCTATTGTGGTTTGAAGTAATCGCGCTTGCTTCATGAAGGGAATGAATCTTAATTGGAAGAAAAGCTCAACGAATCATGATTCGAGAGATTGTAGTGGAGGGAGAGGGAAAGAGTAAGGAACGCGTTACTGTCAGCCTTGCCGGGAATTGGAGCTGCTTATCGGCTTTGTTCATATGCGGGGCAGAGCTTCCTCTTTATACTGTTTTAAAAAAGCACCTTTTTTTCCCGCTCGCCGCCACCTTCGACCACCCCTCATTCACTTCAGCCTGATACACCTCCCAACCCGAACTTACAAGCTTTTCCTGGCTTGACCTATTCACTTACCATATATTTGTGACTCAAGGTGTGATAATATTCACTAAATTGGCTCAAATCCGCCTGACTGACTCATTCTCAAGTTGTTTAATCACTTAGCCGTCACGATGAGTCAACCCAACCCCTACATTCTCGCCGCCGAAAAGCCCTCCGCCCTTTTGACGCTATTGCGCGCGAATCCCTCCATCGCCTCCGGTCAAGATGAGCACGGTTACTCATTACTCCATGCTGCGGCTTCCTACGGACACATCGAGCTCCTGCGCGCCCTGGTGAAAGAGTTCAACGTGGACGTCAACCTTCTCGACGAAGATGGCGAGACTTGCCTGTTCGTCACGGAGAGCGTTGAGATTGCGAAGTGTCTTATCGAAGAACTCGGGGTCGATTATAACAAGAGAAATGATGAGGGCCTAGCCGCCTACGAGACCATTGAGAATGATGACTCGTTCCCTGAAGTTGCGGCCTACCTGCGGCAAGTAGCCGGTGTACCAGCCCCCGCCCCTGCAGATTCGTCGGCGGACGCAGCCCTGAACCAACCCCCGCCTTTGCCTGCGAACCTGCAGCTGAATTTGGGCACAGTGTCGGAGCAAGAGGCCAACGCAGGGCTCGACCAGGTGGATCCCGAGTTCAAACGCCGGATCGATGAGCTGGCCGCGCGGGAAGACTTCCACAGTGAAGCCACGCAAAATGAACTGCGGCAGCTGGTGATGGACGCCCTTCGGGGCTCTAGCATTGACACTGACGAGCGGAGTGTGCGTCAGAGGACGGATTAAGAGGTCTCAGCACACGATCAAATAAACAATGTGGCTTGTCGAACAGCTCTCACTTGTCTCCTCGGAGTCCAGTCAAACGAATTGGACGGGTCGGAGCAGCTTGTGAGATATTCAGCGCTCGATCTTGAACAATTATTGACCTCAACCTTTTTCAACGCTTCGAAGGGTAGCATTGCGCCGCTGTCTCTAACAAGGGAACCAGGAAGTAAGCCTACTTCCAGGTTCCTTGAGAGATAGCAGTTTTGTGTCGACGAGAGGTTCAAATCAGGCTTTGATGAAATGCGCTCGTATCACCAGGCTATATACCCCGCTTGAGAAGTGGCAGCTATGAGGGCCATATTCTACAATAATTGGACGATATCGTGCGCTGGTTGATGAACACACCGCTCTTCCCGTACTCGCATAATAGAAAGTCTACCTCTCTCATCGGCTATCGTTTTTGATCGATACCTTCTTGTAGAATAGCAACAATTGTTGATGCTCCAGCATGTAGATCGGGGAGATGTCATCCCACGTGATCCGGCGCCTTTTCCCCGCATCGCCCGTCTGTGCTTCTGTTGTTGCTCCAACCATCCAATTACCTGCTTTAGCCTGTTCAGGTGCATCCATCCTCTCGTTACAGCCCCGGCTGTCTGACCAAAGTACCATTCTTCCAGCGCTTGCTCCTAATCGGATACCCCTTGTCGCCATCATGGATTACAGTTCCGACACTCCACCTCCCCCGCCTCCCAAGCCCAGCAGCCACGAAGCCAGTCGAGGAGGCACTCCCCAACTCAACTCGCCCTTGCCAGGAACGCCACAACAGCTTCACAGACCCTACAATCCACAAGACAGAGCAAGCATGTATCCAGGGAACCGGTATTCGTCGCCGGGGGTCTCTCTTCCGGGCTCCCAGAACGCGCTGCCTCAGCCCCCACCTATCGAAGAAGGCTGGCTACCGAGCGGTGTGAAGGATAAGACGTATGACTCCTTCTCTGTCCGCTATCAATCCCTGCTTTTCTTCATGTGGATTACGGCTTTCTGACTTGGGTTTCTTTTTACAGGACTGTGGATCTGCAAACCATACTCAAAGACCCAAACCTCATTTCGGCACTCTCGAGCCAACACCCCTCCTACGCGGCGCATCAGCAACATCTCCAATCCCTCCTGACATATAACAAAGACCTGGCGAACCGGCTCCTGGAGCTACAGTCGCAAATGTCCGAGCTGCGGTCGTCAACGGAGACTCTCCTCCTGACCCACCAGTCACTGGAGGTCTCGTGGCGGAAAAAGCAGTCGGAGATGGACGCCGCGTTGGCCCCGTGGTCGCCGAAGGCGTTGTATCAGAGACTGGCTGCTTCAATCGCAGAGCAAGAGGCCGTCTGTCGTGCGGTTGAGGAGAGTTTCCTGGAGGAGGAACACCATGGCCGGGCGTCTGAGAAGGAGGTCGCGGATTGGGTCCGACGGGTCCGGGCTGAGTCGGCCAAGTTGGCCGCCCGGCGAGAGGCGAAAGCTAGATGGGATGAGGGAAGAGTTGGGGGTTGGAGATAAATGGGGTGGTTGACTCAAATAAAGGGATCTACTACTCTGGGTCTAGCACTGTGCCACTGATAATTTAGGCCACGGTATGAGTTTTCTAGACATTCGCTAAGCGTATCCCGAAGGAGAAAGGGCACCAGAAAAACAGCAACAGCACGATATCCTACAGCAGCCTTGCCAATCACCCCTGAATCGTCACAATCTACACTTTACTGAAATGCTCGCAGCTGTTCGGCCCGGACGTGGGGATATCAGTCCCTTGCTGCCTTACGGCCACTCTCAAGGTCAATATCCTGGCCTCGGTCTCTGTTCTTCACTCTCGTGTGTGTATAATTCGCCGTTGCCCAATTGTCTGCGCAGACATGACTCGGAAACCCGACGCTCCGGAAGAAAGCATGGCTTCTGTCCCTGGCTCCCCACGACCAGCCTGCTCCGCGCATCACGGGAAGATGGTAGAGCCGAAAGCCTGTCCAAGCGAAGACTATCCCCATGACCGACCCAAAAATGATATCGAATCCATGATGGCGGTAGTCAAACCACCGCGAGGCAGCTATGAAGAACGCCACTGCAATGGGCACGAAGACAACAATGAGCAGGTAAACCGGCGGGGCTGCACCTTGCTTCCGGATGGCGCCCCGATCCTGTCTCTGCAGATCTTGGCTAAGCGGCGAGGGAGCGAGATATGGGAACCCGATGGACAATTTAGAACAAAGCCATAGCGAGATATATGTCAATCCGGCGAACGCGACTATCCACCACTCCATCGTCAGCGACCATCTCCTTTCGCGTTATCATGGCCTTTTTCTTGGGGGAACGAAGAACGACTCACACGAAGAATGTCCACTGGGAAAGCTAGAAAAGCCATCATGCGTCAACTCCCGTGCTTGATTCCGACATATCTCCCACGTCACCATTGTAGGAGCCCCATCGAGTCTCGATCCCAGGCCGCTCACAGCAAAGGAATTGACCTTGGAGAGATCCGGATCGCATCGCGCAAGCATATCCGGTCGCGGCTTCCCGAATAGATCCTTTAGTCCCTCGGTGGCCATCAAGGCCCCCGCGAGTGCTATACCCAGACCCAGCCATCCAGCATTCCACTCCCACAGCTTATACCGCCATCGCCGTGCGCGCGCTGCGGTTCTTGTCGACGTTGTATCCTCCTGGCTGGCTGCCATCGCCGTCGGGCCCCGGATGAGTACCAATGCCCCGAGGACGATGAGCACGGCCGGTACGATCAAGGCCACCACCGCCACCACGGCGACCGACACGGTATCATGGTCTCGATGGGGGAAAGAGATGCTCGGATCGATGAGCGAGAATGGCCTTTGGCTTGGCGAGACGCGGGAGAAACCAAAGCCAATGAGTGCGATACCACTGCCGAGATATGAGTACGCGTATACGAGGATAAGACCACTCGCTAGCTGATTTCTAAGGAACGGGGAACGATGAAATGTCACGATGGGGAGATACGCACATGATGAGTACCCAGTCAATGATATACGAGGCGATCAGTCGCTTAGAGTAACGCCCGTGTGTTACTGCTTCTGCGTTTGCTCCGGTCGCTGTCGCAGATGCTTGTTCGAGTCTGTTGGTGTTGCGTGCCATTGTTGATGGTGATGATGTCATATACGACAGTGCCTAGTAACGAATAGATAGTAACGGTTTTAGCAGACGAAAGCAACACAACTCAGTGTTTTCGAGCAAGTAGATTAAGCTTGCCGTATGAGTACGAAGAAGAGAAAATCATTCCTGTGCTCGTTTTTCCCTCGTATGCGAGGGTGGTTGAGCTGAAGCTGCAGCAGCATGTAAGCCTGGACCTTACCAGGTGACCGTGACATTTCTGTCTCAGGCACTCAGGCAGCCAAGGGAGCCACTCGTGCACTCTTCGTATTGGCACACACACTCTAAACCCCATGATCTGCACTACAACTCTAACATGCAGATCTTGCAGGGGTGATCGACGACAGGGATACAGAACAAAGCAACCGAGCATGTTTTCCTCGCATATGGATTTTTGACACATCATTTCATTGACTCATATACATAACATTAGCTAGTAGATTACATTAACAACGCTTTTGCCTTCTTGGTGAAGCGTGAAGTTGTCACACGCGCTGCGCCGCGTCAGCAAGTTTATTTCTTGCCGTCCAAGTCGGAGAAGAAGTTCTTGCCGAAGCTCTCGCTACTGTCGTTGAAGCGGAGCTTGCGGTCGATGCGGCGGATCTTCTGCATGTCCTCGTCGCTCAACTTGAAGTCGCCTTCCAGGTTGGCCTGGATTCTGGACGGGGTCTTGGACTTGGGGAGGACGGAGTGGCCTTGTGTGACACCCCAGGCTGTTCGACGAAAGAATGGTGTTAGTGGGTGTGGACTTTGTGGTGAGATTGAGGAAGGGGGAGAAGCTTACCCAGTGCAACCTGCGCGCCGCTCTTGTTGTACTTCTTGCCGATGTCCACCAACACGGGGTCCTCGATCAGCTTGCCGATGGTGCCCTCCTTCGAGTAGAGCTCGTTCTGGTTGCCGAAGGGCGAGTAGTGGGTGATGTGGATGCCCTTGGACTTGTGGCATTCGTCGAAGTCGGGCTGCTGCAGCCAGGGGTGGCATTCGAGCTGGTGCACGGCGGGAACCACGGAGGCCTCCTTGAGCAGGCGCTCCATCTCGACCTTGGCGAAGTTGGACACGCCGATCGCCTTCACCTTGCCGGTTGATAGGAGCTTCTCCATCGCTTTGTATGTCTGTACAATGGGATGGATTGGTTAGTACATGCCATGTGCGTTACTTGTGGACGAGGATGAGGTTGGAGGGTTCTTACGTCGACGTAGTCAATGTTCTCGACAACCGGCTTGTCGTTCTTCTTGGGGAACAGCTCATCACCACGCTTCCAGGCAACGGGCCAGTGCATCAGGAATAGATCAATGTAGTCCAGCTGTAGGTCGTTGAGCGAGTCCTGCAGGGCCTGGGGGACATCGTCGGGGTGGTGCTTGTTGTTCCAGAGCTTGGTGGTGACGAAGAGCTCCTCGCGGGGCACGCCGCTCTTCTTGATGGCTTGGCCGACGGCCTTCTCGGTGCCGTATCTAGATACAGGCCATCAGCATGGGCAGGAGATGTGGGAGGATTCTTTGATGGAAACGTACACTCTGGCTGTGTCAATGTGGCGATATCCGGCCTTGATCGCTTCGAGCACGGCATTCTCCTGGGCATCGGCGTCCTGCCAGGTACCGAATCCGACAGCGGGGATCTCTGCACCGGTGTTGAGCCTGAACTTGGTTGCCATTGTGTAGGATGTGAATATGTAGGAACTGAGTATGGAGGATATCAATTGAGTTGTTCTGTGCAGGTAAGTATGGTCTGTCTGATTTTATGCTCGCTGCCCAAAACAACGGCCAACTTTATATCGGCGACGATAGGGACCGACGTCAATTTGACGCAGCGTCCTGCTCAGACAAGGTGCTTGTCCCTCCCTCGCGGTGTGGCTAATCATGACGTCGGGCAGGCCACTGGAGCTTTACCGGAGGTTCCACAGATTGGACCCAGCAATGGGTCCGCGAGAGGCAAGACACATTATTTAAACGCCTATGGCCCAGGATGGTTCGATAGATATTCCTGCTCGAAATGACTGCTTTAAAGCTACTTGGATTGAGTGAGTACTGAGTACTTTCAGAAGTTTGTCGTGCTATCATACACAATAATGGTCAACAGTAGACCCGCATGGAATCCTCGAGCAAAGAGGCAATTCGCAGGATGAAACCAATCAACATGTTATATGCCCGTCTGCTCGACACCTGCCATGTGAAGTGCCAATGAACAAAAGCACACTGCCTTGAGTCATCAATCTCGATGTTCGAATTCCAACTGCAACCTCGCGCAGAGAGTTATCGGACGCAAGCTACAGTACATGTAAGATGAGGAGGAAAGCTGCTGAGGCTCCCGGAGCTTCGCGGAAACGGTTAGACTGCCGGAGCTTGGGTTGGTTGTTTGTCCCGCAATCAAACAGCATTAGTGGTAGCATCCACTCCCCGTAGCTGATACTTTCTATAAATTTTGGGCGCAACCCACAACAATTTTTTTTCTTCCCATCATGATCTTGCAACCACCATCAGCAAAAAGCTCAACCAACAACTCGACACTTCGAGGCTGTCTTGTCTAATGGCGACTTGACACCCTCAATTGCTCTTATTAACAATTGTAAAAGGTATGCGAAGACTTTTTCTTGAAGTTTTTGATTCCCCCACCTCTTGGATGATGACCCTATGACACGCTTTAAGGCATTCCTCAAACTTAATCACTATGTGGAATTCGTGTTTTAACTCAAGTTTCAGCCTTGTCTGACCTACTTCATTTAATCTTGCTGTTTATTCATTTAGCTCGTCAATTGTGACTTTCCACTAACTTGCTATCTGATAGGTAAATACCACCTCTCGAACTCCTTGCCCATCTGGCTGCCGATGAAGAAATCTTGAACGAACGGGCGGACATAACGTGTGCATGGACCTACACCCATCAAAAGCGAGGCGTACAAACCTTGCGGGTGTCAGGAAAGTGTATAACTTGTTGAGATCTTCGTCACCTGAGCTTTCATCATTCATCTTCAGTTGTTGGATCTGTTTTGGCGTCGAGTCATACTAACAGGGACTGACAGGTATTTTCACACTGTCTGCATTATTCTCTCCTGGCACACACCAGCATTGCACACAAGTCAACTTTATATGATGAACACATTTATTCACACTGTTTGATCTGTGTACACTGTACTTGGAAATGAACTTATTACACAAAATTCTGATTTAATGAGGTCAGTATTCGGAAATTTTTGTTTTCTGTGGGCTTTCGCTAACTTAGTTCCAGCCTGACTTCAGTTGACATTTTAAATATTTGAATCACTCATAACATGTTATGGATGTGTTACTGATTCTGTTGTCAAAGGTTATAGGAAATTGCAGCGACACCGTAGTTCATCGACTGGAAAATTGTGAGTTGTGCCCTTGACAACACCCTGCCCTTGCATGATGATTCTTAAATTCGCTGTGTTCTTACTGAACTACAATGTCGAAACAACAAAGATTCACCTTGGAGAACTGATCTTTTTGCCAATCACTTGATTGTGTACGAGATGTTTTGCCGTTTCAATTGCTAACATCCCTTCCCAATAGGTGCCTTCATGCTCAAAATCACAATAGTCATACCCTTCATATGGAAAAAAAAAACTGATAATTTTCAAATTTCGTGCTCATGTAATCACATCTCATCCACATTCGTAACTCCGTAGTCCCTAAGTTCTACACCAGGGCTTTCGCTCCCTCATTCGAAGAACAACCCATGCTTGGTATGCCACCCCTCCAAACTATCACTCGGATACCCCTCGTGCACCTGCTTCTTGCCCTCGGGCCAGCGCACCCACGCGGGCTTCGACCCGGCCATGATACAGACCATCTCGTCAGGCACAGGCAGCTCGGTGTCGATCGCCGACGCGAACGGGTGAATCAGCTCCGGCCAGTGCTCGTCCCACAGCCAAAGCATGGTGCTGCAGTTGGAGCAAAAGCTCCGCTGCGACGAGCAGACCTCCTCTTCGGGAGTGCCGCGGGCCTTGATCGCGGAGTATTTCCTGCGCCCCATGTTGTCAGTTGATTGTATTGTAAGGTGAAGAAAAGCCATTTCTTTGGCTAGGTTCAATTTTGGGAGGGACATTTCATCTCACTTGATTAGATCCTGGCCCTTCTTGATCTTAAGGCTGTCGGCGATTCCGCCCAGGTTGACGCTGCCGCTGTACCCGCCCACCTTGCGGCAGATGCTGCAGGCGCAGTGCTGGTAGGGCACCGGCGTGGAGGATTGGAGGGTGAATTCAATACCGCCGCATTGGCAGCTTCCTTCCAGTGTCCTGTTTTTTGGTTAGTGGGTGGTGGTTTAGAGGAGGGAGGGGTGTATTCGTTGAAGGTGGGGGGATATGTTTGGTATGGGGTGGAGTGAAGGGGGGCTTACATCGGCATTTTTGCTGTTACTCGTCTGTTCTTGTGGTCGTGCTATATTAGTAGTTGGATGCTGGACGTGCGTGAACTGCGAGTTTCTTCGAAGCACTGACAGCGCTGTTCTCGTATGATATATCGCTGGTGTCGGGTGCAACGTCATTCATGTATCAGCGCCGCCAGAGTCCGTATCTATGCGGGGCTCAGATAGCAATTCGCTACTGCATTCTAGGGGTAATAGCATGACCCTGACCCATGGCTATCCGAGATGCCCCCTCTCGTGGAATCCTCAAGCCCACTCGTCCTATTATTGCCCCTCGTGATGTCCATCCTACTCGATTCCTACATATTACACGCACGGGTCCGGCGAGTGACCCCGCACGGAAGTGTCAGGTCGAAGCTATAGCTTTGGAACCAGGGACAGTCAATGTAATGCTCTGTAAGCATTACGAGTGCATCTTCTCAAAGCCTAGACCCCTTAAGGCCATACTGGCATATACATACGGTGTTGTTCACAGATGCCTGTAGATCGCCGTGGATGACAGTGTTTGTCCTGTTTGTCTGACCGGCACCGCGGACCTGGCCCTTTTTTTTGTCCCTACAACAAGTGACTTGAACGCCGCCTCCGATAAACAACCGATAAGACGTGCTTGACCACCAATTCGTCCCTACTTTTCTCTCCTGAAATCCACCCCCTCAAGAAATATACAGCCTGTCGCCATGGGTTTCGGAGCTCCGGGCGGTGCCGCAGTCAACTACAAGCCCACGCCGTAAGTGGCCTGATCACCTCACTATCTCAGCCTTCCTTCAGTCCGTGTGCAGTCACGGTGGAAAAGCTCTAGCGCTAATCCCTGAATCTGCTATGCAGCCCTGAGCGTGGTAGCTTCCCTCTCGATCACTACGGTAAGTCGCGTTCCCCTGTCGAGTTCGATTCAGCTGCGCAAGCGAGCATGATCACCCGGCTTTTCGATCAATGCGACGGGGACAATCTGCGCTACTTCCCCGTAGGACGAATACAGAGACCCTGGGCTAACGCATCGAACCGCTGAATATAGGCGACTGCAAACACCTGATCTCGGAGTACCTGAAATGCCTGAAGTTGAACCGCGGCGTGAATAATGACGCTTGTCGGCAGTTAGCGAAGGGGTACTTGGCTTGTCGGATGGATCAGTATGTCTTCTCTATTCCATACCATGCTCATGCTTGGTGGGCTGGGAATAGGGCAATTACTGATCTCTGTTTTGTGCGGTAGTAACCTTATGGCGCCGGACGATTTCAAGAACCTTGGGTTGACGTTTGAGAAAGATAAGGCTGGGGCGGAGGGAGCTGCGGCTGGGGCGGAGAAGAAGGCGTAGAATAGATCTTGGGGTTGCAGGTTAGGGAGGCTTGTACGATATGTGGGCTTCATGGTGGGTGAGAGACGTGCTGTATGATTCATGATGTGGTAGATTGTATATTTTCACTCTTCTTTTTTCTCTGGCGTTGGAACAATGGTTATATTTTTGGTGCATAATGGATGGATGGATGTACAGTGCATGCACTAGTGGTCTGTATATACTTGACAATCCCTTTTCTAGTACATTATATCGTATACAAAAATAATGCAACATCCTGCCTGTGGTATCAACCGGCAAGCCTGTCCTCACCCGATGCGTAATCGAAGATCATGCGGGGAAGGGAAGGCTATCTCCAGGCAATCTATCCGCACCGCCGCGGCGACAACTTAAATCGGCCATTGCCCGCGGCCACTGGCACTGGCCCTTCAACTCCAATCAACCACCACATTTCCTCCTAAGATCACCACCAATACGAACACAATACAAACACAACACCAACTCCCTACCAGGCCATTGCCTCCATAAAACCCACCTTAACCGAAAACCCCAACCACCTGCATGCCCACGCCCCACAGATGTCCTCCATCGCCCGCCCTCCAGACCCCTGCCTGGTAGCCATCATCCTCATCGTGCGCTCGCGCGCCGGCCCGCGCTTCGTCTTCCACTACCCCCCCAACCCCCTCAGCGAGAATGGCTTCCGGTCCGCGACTTCTTCCTCGAAAACCTTCTCCTCCTCGCGACGTGCTTCGCGCACAAAATCCAATCGGAAGGATAACGAGTCCAGTTCCAGTGAGGACAGCGGGTCTACCTCTGATGAGGATGAGGAGGATTTACCTATCCTCCCGCCGCCGCCGGCGCAGTCACAGTCACAGCAGCAGGGTGGTGGTGGTGTGGTTCAGTCGTCCTATGTAGGGGGCATCGGGGGCAATAATGGGGGCAATAGTCGCCGGCCGAGTAGTTTTGGGTTGAGTGATGATGGTGGAGGTGGTGGAGGGGGTTTGCGGACGGGCATTGCTGGGTCGCCTGGCGCCGAGTCGCAGAGGGCTGGGTCGATTGGGTCTGGGAGGGGGTTGTTGCGTGGGACTGGTGGTGGTGGGAGTAGTATTAAGCAGCAACGGGGGGCTGGGTCTGATGGTGAGGAGGAGGGGTCTGTTGCTGAGGATAAGGGGGAGGATGAGGTTGGGGGTGCTAGTGCTGGTTCTGGTGCTGGGGGTGGAGGGCAAGCTGCTGGTGGGAGTGGAAGTACGGGCACAACAACAGCAGAGGGAAGTAGCAGTGCTTCTGCTGGTGGGGGTAGTGTTGGCAATGGCGCACGGCCTCCTTGGGAAACGCTGTTGGGACTCCCGGCTGATGTCTGGGAGAAGTTGCTCAGTCCGTCGCGCTCGTGGCATAAGCGGCGCTTCGAGGTCGGAATCAATGACCTTGCTTTTGTCGGGTGGCCTGTGTTTGTCCGCGAGGATGGCAAGTGGAGGAAGGAGAGGCGCAAGAAGAGGAAGCCTCGTGCGACGTGGGAGGGAGGGGAGCTCGGCCATAACGAAAACCCTGATGATGATGACGGGGAGGCGGACACCGAAGAAGCTCGGGAGGAGGCAGTGGATCTTATGGTGGCTTCGACGGAGACGTTGAGTCCCAAGCAGATGACCCCGTCCGAGTCTCAGCGCGCGTCTATCACCAGCATCAAGTCCGCGAGGCCGGCGAGTGAGTCGCTGGATGGAGATGATAAGGACTCCATGACTATGTTCAACGTCGTGTTCGTGCTGGATCCGCCCCTCTTGGAGTATTCCATGCGTCTCCGGGAGATCTACGATAACATCATCAAGAAGTTCTCCAAGGCGTTGAAGTGGGAGCAGGCGCGGACGGACTACGTTTGGAGAGAAGCTCGACATATCTCGCACATTAAGGAGAAAGCTAAGGAAAAAGGTATGTGATCGTGTCTAATGTTGAGCGTGTCCGTGTTGACTCAATGGCTTTCTACAGGAATGTCCGTCAACAGCCTCTACTCCGATCTTGTTCACCAGTCGTCCCTGGCCAGGGCCATATACACCGTCTACACGAGCATATCAGCATCGAAGATCGCATCGGTCACGCTGAATGCTGACGTTTCCATCTCATTGCAGATTCCTCCTTTGACATCGACACCATTCTTAGCAGGACCTACTGATAAGGCGTATCCAGGCCTCTGGCTCACAACCGCAGACAGTGTCACGCCAGTTGATGATCCAACTGCGGACGAGAACACTACACCTCATCAAGTGTTAGCAAAACACTTTGCTTTGTTGTTACTGGACAACGAAGCAACCATTCTCAGAGATGTCGAGGCTTCGGGAGGGGCTCTGGCCCCGGCGCTTGCTCACTATATCCGTTGTTCGAAACCTACCAAGTCCTTCGCCCAAATATCCGTCACCTCCGGCATACCACTTTCTACCATCCAAATGCTAGCGAGCCATCTAGTGTACTGGCGAAGAGCGCGTGCGATCCCCCCACTTCATCAGAGAGACACCTACGTCGTGTCTCCAAACTGTGACTTGAGCAAACTGGAAGTAGCGACGGCTGCCTACCAAGCAGCTTTCCCGACTCTTCCTAGTCTTCCGAAAATGCTATCGGCCATGAGTGGCACTCCCAGACCTTACGGCAGCTTTATACCAAGTAAAGACCACAAAGTCACATACTTCGCCATTCTGGCGTGGCTGCTGCGAGGTGGCTGGGTCACCCAGCTGCGCGCGTTCGCAAGGGTCAAAGTGTCGCCCGAGATCAAGATGGCTGTGGAGGCAGCGCTTCGACGCGAGGAGGTGGACAAGTACCTGAGCCAGAGCGTCGTCAAGTCCGACGTACAGGACATTGACGATGCCAGCTCATCCTCGTCCTCGTCCCTCGATAGCCAAGACAGCGGGGAAGAAACCCCCATGCCTGGCCGCCACAAACCCGGAAAGAAGCTGGACCTATCGCATTCATTACTCGACCGGGAAACGTCCCTGAAGACGTCGTCTCTGCTTCTGTTCCCGCACCGCGCCTCGCCGTTAGAGTCCCGATGGTTAGATGAGATCATGTCGCGGTTCCCTGATCGCCGCGGACCGGGTGAGGGCCCCAATTCCGACGGCCCGGACACTGACCTGGACCTTGTGGAGTTGCGCACATCGTTGAAAAATTACTGGCCGCGGTTTATCAAATATTTCAACGGATACGACGCACTGGAGAAAATCCCCGTTCGCGAGAACTTGAAGCGCAAGCTAGTCTGGCAATTGCTCACGCGTCTGGGGCTGGTGACAGGGCAGCAGTCGTCCATTGAGCTGGACCCCAGAGAACAGGTCCTGGTCAGTGTGCGTCATTGGTGAAGATGGACAGAGACGAGATGTGTTGATGATTAATGAACCATAAAACCGGGGCATACCTATAGTAAATAAGCCCACCCCAGTAAGAGAGAACCAAAATAATACCCCAGCCTTATACGGCACTTAATACACGAGCTCTTGAGATATGCAAATACTAGCAAACTTCTCTTCCACCCACTGCCTAACTTGTCCCCTCCCCAAACACATGCTACTGCATGCGATTGGGAAAGAGAGCACGTGAGCACCTTCCCCCTTCCATCCTTCCATTGGGACACAATAAGCACTGTGCCAGGTAATATTACCTTACCATTGCTCTCTCTTTCACTTTTTCCTTTCTCCCTCCCTCTTTCTCGGGCAGTAACGTAGCGCATGCACCTTGAAACAGCCACAGAATTAGGTTTGGGGACGGTTCATGCGAGCCGCGGCCGGCCGGAAATCCCGAAGTGTTCCGAACTCGCACCGAAATGGTCAGATGGCAAGGGCATGGCAAGAAAAAAGAGGGAAGCGATTTGGTACGGGCACTAATAGCTCCGTTGCAGCCCTAATTTTTCGACAGCTTTTTGGTTGGATCATACCCGGGTTAAGCGATCGATTGTCCTCCCATAAAATCTCTTGGGGTGTGATTCTGCTATGTTGTTGGGGAGGGGCTGAGTCGGGAGGTGTGGTACTTTTAAGTAGAGGATATAGTTGATTTTGGGGTTTGGGGTTGGTTCTTGGGGACATAGATGTCTGCAAGGGCTCGGGATCTGTTACTTAGTGATGGACTACCTTAGGGAGTGGGTTTCCGGGGTTTAATTGGGTAGATTTTTGTCCTGAGATCGTAGGTAGAAGATATCAGTTACTTTAAGTGCGTATATAGATAGGTTGCGTAGCGCTAGTTGTATTCGGTGGTGCATGAACTCATTTCATACTTGTGATGAAGGGAACGACTTAACGACTCATCCTGTGTTAGAATACCGAGGTTCTTCTTCACTGCACGCAGAAGCGGGAAGCTGCATGGCTCTCGGTATGATGGTTCTTCATTGGGTGGGTATCCTGTCTTTTATACTGTACCTACGTAGATTTACCCACCAGATCATGGACAGGGCTCGGCCTCGTTGTAGATCTCTTGAGTGGCGTATGGCTCGGTGGTTTGTGGCACTGGAGGCGCTTGATCTGGGAGAGGGTTTCGTGAAAAGCATTGTCAGGTGCGTGAAGTGAGTAGCTTGAGTGCTGAGTGTGGTCGTGAGACGAGGCTGTCTACTCGATACTTTGGCAACCAGTAGACTCCCTCCCAGGCGTAACTGGCTGTTTATTCCTCCAGAATTGATGGAAAGCTGTCGCTGTAGTACTAATTACTACGTCGTTGTCATGAACGACCTCCGCGGTTCGTCCGACTTCGTTGAAGTGCGGTGCTCCATCAACAATATATATACCGAACAGAAAGTGGTAGTACCTGCTCAATAGAGCTCCGACTTGCAGCAGCATTATAGCGAGATGATGAGATTGGAGATGGCGGCCTGAATAGGCTTTATTACATTGACTATGCCTCCGAGTCTTCTTTGCTCTAGCATTGTTGATGTGTTGACATTGACAGTCATGTTGCCCGCTCAACTGTACACCGGATTGGGTCGAAGAGCATCCATGAACCCCAACCCAACAACCCCTCCATTGCTCCCCTCTATTTACTTGGCTAGGTAGGCTGGCAAGGGAAAATAGCAAACCGGGTGAGTCAGACTAGCGCCGGAGTAGCACGGTGCATTTGGAGAGTTGACTAACGCGCCAGAAAATGAACTGTGTGACCCTGCTGTCGAAGCAAAACTAGTAAACAAAAGACAGTAGTGAGGGGTGCGGGTTGGTTGCCATTCCTGGACGACCACATCAATGGCGTCGAGTGTCGGCTCTTGCATCTGGTATAGATAGGCTATTCTATGTAAGCGACGCAAGTAATCTGATCAAGGATTGGACCAAGTGCAGCACATTGACAATTGTCCATTGTGAGCCCGAGTGAGGAGGATATCGTGGAAGTCCGAGCTGAAGTGGAGAGGGGAAGGAAAATGAGGGGCTAAAAGAAAAGAGGACTGAATGATGGAAGTAGCGTTGCGGACCAATGATAGACTGTCAGCATAAGGGACATTCACAGGCATTTTACAAACATAAATTACATCCATGGATCATGCAGGTTAGTTAGGCTTGGGATTGAGGAGGAGCAAGTGAGTATAAGGACCATAGGACTGCCACTGAAGATTCTCTTCCCTCAGTTGGCGGGCATCTCATGCGACTAAGAATACTGAGGGAGGTTTCTCTTTATAATGACCTGACTACAAGATGGCACTGTCAGACTGAGGATGCAACACCATCGCAACAACAACTCGCTCTTAGCAATCCGCGACCAACTGTTGGTATCTTCACGGCCAAAATTACCGGACGATTCACGGGGCTGAGGAACGAGCAAGAGTGGTTCATACCCACACAAGCCCTGACATCCACCAACCGCACTTCCTCCTCAGAATGTGCGGGTATATGGAAGGAACAATGTTTTTGCAGCTTTTTTTTTCCTCATCGTCTTCTTCATTCCTCCAACTCCGGGTCTCTCCAAGTTTTTAGGTAAATTGGGTAAAATATCTAGGGTAAATTGGGTAACAGAATAAAATACGAGATTGGAGGAACTCAACTGTTAGTAAATTCAACTTCATACCACCAATCCATCGCTGAAATCGGTGATATCAAGTAGATTCCAACTTCCGTCCATACCAGTTGAAACGAAAGTGTAAGGGAGGTGAAAAGGGTAACCAGGCCAAGGGGAGAGAAGATTCCTTTCTTCGGCTTCCACGTCCCTTCCGGCGGCTTGTAAATTATTATGACTCTGACACACACACACACACACACACACACACAGACTGTTACTCCCTCACTCCCTCACTAACTACACTACACTACTCTGTCTGTCTCCGTCTACTACTCCTTCATCCTCGTTTCGTTTTTCCCTTTCCCTTCTTACTCTTCCCCCTCCCCTCTTCTTTCCCCCCTCCCCTCCCCTCCTCTACTCCTTACCCTTACCTCCACTCAGAAACTGGGTCTTTCGCTTTCCCTTCATTTTCCTCTCCACCGGCTGTCCGTGCCTGTGTTGCTGTAGTGAAGTGGTGCGCCTTTTCTCCAGTACACTTTTTCCGTCCTCCGATCCACACATTTCTGTGTTTCGCGGAACTACGAGTTTTCTTATTTTTTTCCCTTTCGGAACTGAACAAGGTAACTTGATCGATCGATCACTTTAATCTTACCCATCTTGTACCTTCTCCGCACAGGTTCTGCTTCAAACTCTTCTGTCGCAGCACCTCATTCTCTTTCGATTCTTTTTTTACTTTCTGCCTTCTACCGCACCGGGCGAATTTCCAAAACTTCGAAGTTTCGGATCACTCGTCACCACGTGCAAGTCGCGCTTCTCGTCTACGCTTCACACAAGGGGCAAGATCAACAAGTTCCTTGCGAGCCTTCCAGCGTGCATTGTTCTCGACCGTGCCCTCTTGTCCTACCGTCAACTAGCCGGAGCCAGGAGCGCAGTCGGATCCTTCGGTGAACCGGGATCTTTTAACCATTTGCCGTGAGTTTGGCAAGGGTTCAACATCGAAACACTCACCCTAAACGAGTCCACTCAGGTACTCTTAAACGCAGTACGATTTCTCGCGTAGCGGTTTTAGTGCCCGCGAACCTCATCCACGTCGATCCCTAGATCTCACCCCTCGCTCACCGTTCGAACGGCCCTTGTCGAGAACGAGCTTCAAGATCGATCTACGCATGCGATCCGTGTTCTAGATCTCAACACAGATCAGACTGTTTGCGAGCCGACCACATCTGTCATCGCCCGTCATACTAGTACGAAAGGTTCGTCCTCGGAATACAATCACAGCCACCTGCTGCTGAGTAGGAGTGATATCCAGCGACGGGAAGTTGCATAACGGCGGGGTTGCCTAAACGGCGGAAGTTGTATCTTCTGCTTGCCATCGTCGGTGGATTTATCTCACCGACCAACTGTGGTTGACTTTCCACGTTCTCTGGCAGAACAGAATATTTCACGCCGTCTTCGTCTTTATTTCCCCCTTTAGAACGGTACATTAGATACGTCCTTCGTACGTCAAGAAGATGGCCGCTACATTTTCCTACGCACAAGCAGCAAAGGGCGTCGCTGCCACAAATTCGCCCGCCGAGCCAGTTCCCATGTCCGACGAGCAGAATGCCGAGGTTAACGCGGAACAGTCCACGGAGGCTGTACCTGCCAAGGTGGAGGCAAACACCGAATCCGAGAATGTGAACGGCACCAATGACAAGGAAGCTGAATCGTCTAGCGTTGGCAACTCTTCGTCTACCTCCGGCACGCTCAAGGATGAGGATGGATCAAATACGCCCAATGGTACCTCAGAGTCTACCTGGGACAAGCAGTCCCAAGCATCCGGACCGGAGAAGGCGACCGGTGAAGAAGAGGGCACTGATGACAAGACGGATGAGAAGGAGAAGAGCGCACCGGCTAAGGAGCTTAAGGCTGCCCCCCTCCCGACAGTGAACGTGTGGCACCAGAGAAAAGAGGCCCAGGCGGCTAAGGTCAAGGCTATGGCCGCATTGAAGCCCGCTACGAAGGCCGGAACTCCCAAGACTACGTCCGCTGCTTCCTCAACATCAGGCGACCAGCAGCAGGAGCCCGCGAAGCCCGCTTCCAAGAAAAAGGGAACCGATGGCCAGGAAAGTGCCAAGGACCGCAAGAAGACCGACGGAGCCAAGGGACGGGACGAGAGTGCAAGCATTCCCCCCGTGGGAGATGCCAACCTTTGGCCGACGCCCGATGTTGCTCAAGGTGAAGAGAAGAAGAAGCCTCAGGAGAAGTCCGAGAAGAGCCCTGTGATCCGCCCTCACGGCAAGGAGAAGTGGATGCCTGTCCCATATGTCCCGACCGCCGTCTTCAACACCCCTCTTCCTTCCGCTGGCCGTCGCGGTGGAAGATCGGCCCGTGGTGGACGTGAGGGGGCTCGCAATGGCACCCATGGCGCTGAGAAGAATGCTTCCGGCCAGGCCGCGCAGGGCTCCACGAAGCAGACGACTGCTGCAGACAGAGGCAGGAACGAGCCCAACTCAGCTCGCGCTAACTCTCTGCCTGCGCAATCCAGGCGCTCTAACAGCGTGGATGCTGGACTGCCCGACTCCCGTAAGCACCAATCTGGTCGCGGACCCAAGGGAGCTGAGAACGTCCACGCCGCCCAAGGTGGCAAGAATGTAAATGGCGCCGATACTTTCCCCCGTCACCACCGCGATGCTAAGCAATTTGCCAAGGGTCATGAAAAGGGCTCCGATCATCACTCCAGGAACCCCCAGTTGTCCGTCGATACACAGGCTGGTCCTCGCTCCGGGTCTGCTCGTCCGGACAATGGCCCGAAATCTGGCGATTTCACCGGATTTCACGACCGCAAAGACAAGGACTTCTCTCGCGAGTCGCGCGCCGACCGGGGACGAGGCTCCCACCGTGGAGGGCGTGGAGGCCATGCCGGCTTCAACGGCGCCCAGAACACTCACTTCGCCAACAACCACATGTCGCACCACACCTTCACTCCATTCAAGTCTTTCGGCTTCGGTGATCGCCAGAGATCACAACAGCACGGTCCTGCTAATGGCTCATCAGGGGGCCACAGAATGTCTTTGCGCTCTCCTTCCCTCCCCAACGGTGCCATGTATCCCCCCGTCTATACTTACCAGCCGGAGATCAACAGCATATACAGCTTCCCGCAAATGCATGCTGCTCCCATCAGTCCAATCCCTTATCAGCAGTACATGGAGCCTTTCTCTGTCATGAGCATGCTCGGAATGCAATTGTAAGTGGATAGGCCCTTTTCAAGTCTTCTGGTATGGCCCAAAGCAGCTAATGTGTGCCCCAGGGAATACTATTTTTCGGTTGATAACCTTTGCAAGGACTTGTTCCTTCGCAAGCACATGGACTCGCAGGGTTTCGTCGCTTTATCCGTCATTGCCAGCTTCAAGCGGGTTAAGTCCATGACCGAAGACTTCAACCTCCTGCGTCACGTCTCTCACTCGCTGAGAACCGTCGAGTACGTCACAGGCGAAGACGGAATTGACCGTTTGCGACCCCGGGATACGTGGGAGCAGTGGGTTCTCCCCCTCGAGCAGCGCGACCAGTCTGCCCAGAATGAGGGTCCTGCCACCGTCAGTGTCCTCAACCCTCCCAAACAGGATGACGCCCCCATGTTCCAGAACAATGTGGAAGGTGTGAATGGTTCAGTCGCCAATGGCACTGTTGAATCCCGGGCTTCGAAGACACTGTCATCCGACGCTCCGGAATTCTCGCCTTCTCAGTCTGTCAATGCCCAGACTGAAGTCGCAAACGTACGGATCCCTCTTGTTGATATTTATAACTGAGTTAGATTCGGGTAGCCGCGGTGTCCGAGGCAGCATTTCACAGCTGCCTATGGGATTCACGGCTCAGCGCTCTACTCAAACATTCCCCAGAAGATGCTAATGCTCAGTGGCTCTCAGGTGGAGTAAATATAGTCCACGTTTATTCCAATGAAACATACGGAGTTCGGCGACCACGTGTTCTAGGTTAGTTTCGAGATCTCCCGCATTGAGATTTCATTTCGTTTATACTAATGCGACAGCAGATGCACACTGCCTAAATGGCTAGGCTACCAGGCAACCTACTGAAGCTAGGTAATCAGCCGGAACTCTGGTCCTGCAATTGTTTCCCGATTTCCCTCAACGACCACTCACATACACTCATACGAGTATCGATTCACATCCCTTACCAGAAACCTCAATTGTGACCGCTCTCGACTCTTACCCAATTCTCGCCATTCTTCCTCCCCGAAAATTTCCAATGCACAAATGTACAATGAATTTCCCAGAGCTTAGCGTTTGATGATCGATATTTCTGCACGAAACGTCAGCAACGGTTCTATTGTTCAATTTTGCAGCGTCTTTTGACAAGCAGCAAAGTCTTGAAACCAAAGAAGGTCATTCTAGACTGTGTCTCACTCATTGAGAAGAAGTTCACTTTTGTCCAGGTTGCGCTGTGCATCTTGACTTAGTGCAGCTGCTGCTTCCATAATAATGCCGAAAGATGACTGTACACTGAATGCTAGTCTGATTGCCGAGCTGGAAAAGTGATTTTGTTTCTCTTGCTTTTTCTTGCCCCATGTTCTCACACCATTTATGTTTTCCATTGTGATCCTGCCGTCATGACTTGCATCTATGTTTGTTTCCAACTCGCCTACGACCCTTCCAAGCGAAGTGAATTGAGTTCCCACATTCAAGGTCTTGGCCCTATATCTTTTATGGTTCACGCGCGTTCTCACTTTCTATCTCTGTTTCTCTCTGCTTCAGTCCTGGGAGGTTTCAAAAATTTCTGGAGTCCGGGCATGTTTTTACTGGGCAGTATCCCTGCACCTGATGCTTGCTTCCGTGGTGCGCCGGGCTGAATCTTTCCACGACCATAGACTGTTTATCCGGGATTCTTATCTTTCCTAATACTGCGGTACTGTTTTACCCTTGTTGTCTCGATTTCTAGTACGAATGGAACAAAAACAAAAACCAACATAAGGAGAATTGCTTCATGGTCTTTCTTATCGATCCTGCCGCTGGCACGTGCTTTTCACTGGGGAGAAGTGGTATTCAGATTACTATTGAGTTCAGATGGAGTACTGGGCTTGTTTCTACGCTGGTTTCTATTGCCTGTCTTTCGCGACCCGAGGTATAACTCAAGCGTTGCCCTCTCATTCTGCATTGATTAAGGAGTTTCCGGATTTTTGGGTTATCTACCACAAACTGCATTGGGGGTATTCGGCTGAGCATGGGATGTGTGGGTGTTTGCTAGTAATTCCAATTGATGGTAAACCTGGGTCTCTCACTGTTAAGTCTAATTGTTGAATCTAATTGCTGTTCGAAGTCTTTAGTGGCGATAGAGCCATTCGCAGCCTTTACAACAGGGGCCTGCTTGTTTAGGTATATCGTTTAGTCAATTGTTACTAGTCAATTGGCTTTGCGAAGCTCTTGTAAGGATGCTTGCGAATAAGCATGTAAGAATGATGAGTAACTACTAACTTCTCAGATACTAGGCAGGCAATAATATGCGTGATGTGCTAGTTAACGTTAACGATAGTTGAGTTACTCGCAACTGCTCAGCTGAGTAACTGCAAATTACGTCGGCGTTCATGGAACAATGACTAAGCACTACCTGAGAGCGGGCTGTCGGAGAAGCAGCGCCATGAGCCGAGCCGTCTCAGCTTCATCCAGTTGCCTCCAGCATTCATTTCAATCAGAACCTCCTAAGCACCCTTAAACACATTCGCGTCCTTATTCTGATACCATGGACGTGGCCTCCCGGCAGTCATTGCGACTGCTTCAGTCCTCCCGCAGCCAACTCCTCAATTCAAGCTCCCTCTCCCGCTCCTCCATAGTCACAGCGAACACCTTGAATCGGATTCGACGGAGAGATGTCTCTAATTCAGCTCGCAGACGAGCTCCAGAGTCTTCCTTCCTAAACATGGGCCCGACATCCTTGCAGTCGGGAGGCCCAACGACATATTTCTCCAATCGTCAGACACTGCCCCTCAACACTGTGGTCCGGTTCGTACCCCAACAGACGGCATGGATTGTTGAGCGCATGGGCAAGTTCCACCGGATACTGGAGCCTGGCCTTGCTTTCTTGATACCATTCATCGATAGAATCGCATATGTTAAGAGTCTCAAGGAATCTGCAATTGAGATCCCTAGTCAGAACGCCATCACCGCCGACAATGTGACGCTGGAGTTGGACGGTGTATTGTACACGCGGGTGGTCGATGCATATAAAGCCAGGTGAGCTTGATTTTGACTCAGTATCCTTCTAATTCATGGCACCACTGGGCTTTTAGTGCCCTGCTTTGTTTTTTCTCCCCGCGCATCTCGCCGACTCCGCTAACCCTGTGGTCGTTGGTTTCTAGCTACGGTGTCGAGGACGCTGAATACGCCATCTCCCAGCTCGCGCAGACGACTATGCGCTCCGAAATCGGCCAGCTTACCCTAGATCATGTCTTGAAGGAGCGCGCTACGCTCAACACCAACATCACGCAGGCAATCAACGAAGCCGCTCAGAGCTGGGGTGTCGTTTGTCTGCGGTACGAGATCCGGGATATCCACGCGCCGGAGGGAGTGGTGGCTGCGATGCACCGTCAGGTCACTGCGGAGCGATCGAAGCGAGCGGAGATTCTTGACTCTGAGGGTCAGCGTCAGAGCGCCATTAACATCGCTGAGGGTCGCAAACAATCTGTTATTCTGGCCTCCGAAGCCATGCGTGCCGAACGGATCAACCAGGCTGCTGGTGACGCCGAAGCCATCTTGCTGAAGGCGCAGGCTACCGCGAGGGGCATCGATCTTGTCGCTAAGGCTATTGAGGCTGGCCAAGAGAACGCCCACGGCGCTCTTAGCCTCAGCGTTGCCGAAAAGTACGTCGATGCGTTCTCCAAACTGGCCAAGGAGGGTACTGCCGTTGTTGTTCCTGGTAACGTGGGAGACATGGGCAACATGATTGCGCAAGCCATGGCCGTATACGGCAAGGTCAGCCAGAGCCAAGCGCGCAGTCTCGCATCAAAGGCTCTGGATGTGCAGGAGCCCGAGCCCTCTCGAACCGACACCTCCCGAAGCTCCAAGACCGGAGAGCAAACGACGGAGCGTCACCCGGACGATGATGTCTCTCAGGCCGAACTGGACGAACTTGATCATGCTAGCCAGTCGAAGAACTAACTTGAAGTGCCTCTAATCCGATGCTTTATTCAATCTTCCTGCCATCTCTAGCCGTGTTGTATTATCCCCACTGTTGGCCCTATCCTCTTCTCGGCTGTCTCCATGATACTTTCAGCTTACGAACCTCCACATGACAACGATACTATTCTAACCGCACTTGTAACTTTACTCTTGTCCTCTGCGGCCTGTATGGCCTGTTATTGGATTGATTGTCGGCCATTTGATTTTGCATGAGCATCACCGTACGGCCTTTGTTATGCTCGTTTAGTTGGTGGGGGATTTTCTAGTCTCCATCGATACCATGTACAGTAGATAAAAAAGTGGATTATGGCCTGAAACCTTCTGCATGCGTAGTAGATTGGACTTGCGCATCCCGGGGATGTACTGCATTGAACAGGTGCAATCCAGACCGTTTCGGATATGGGTAGGAGGAGCTCGGGCCACCGCCTCCCGCGCCGCCCATTCTGGAGATCGCGACTTGAGTAGAAACGAAACGAGCGCGCCTTCATCGGCCCTTGGTCCGCGTTCTCTCCGCCAAACCCCCCCACGGCCAGATCAGGTGGTCTTCACCACGACCTCCAGACTCATATAATTTTCCCTCATATCCGTGGACTGAGAAGCCCATGATCCGATGAACCGGGCACAAGCTTGCTTTGCGATGCTCCATCCCAGCAGTCCCTCATCCACGTCTATTTGCCTGTGATCGACTCCGAATACGGACCTCGCCTACCACGAACATTAGGCGAACTTTTTCTTCCTCCTTCCCCACGAATAGAGCGAGGAAGGGTACTGCGATGCATATTATAAAGCCAGTTTGGCTGACGCATGGGGGTACGTTCCGTCACTTGACCTTTTCGCTAGCCAAAGATTGTCCTTTCATTCTCCCTTTACATGTGCTGGCGCTGTCGAGGGTCTCTTGAAAATCATCAGAGCTGGGGCTAACCTTTTACCTTCGGGTGTCTATCCACAGGCGAGCGAAAGGATTTCGAAGTGTATAGCTGCGATGTTTCTCCCGACGGATCTCGCTTGGTGACTGCGGCTGGAGGTCAGCATCTTCCCCCCCAGGACATAGGTGTGCACTCGTGGCTTGATGGGATTAGCGCTAACTGGAACCCAATTCCCCTCTTGCGGTTCTTGCAGATGGCTATGTTCGGATCTGGTCTACGGAGGCCATTTGCAACACCGAGGACCCGCAGTCTGGCAATAAACCTAAGCAGCTGGCTTCCATGAGCAATCACTCCGGCACGATTCACACGGTTCGGTTTTCGCCCAACGGGAAATACTTGGCGTCGGGGGCAGACGATAAGATTGTGTGCATTTATACGCTGGATGCTAATCCTCCTTCTCATGCGTCTACGTTCGGTGGGTATCTGGGGTCTCCTTTGCGATTTTTCTCCAGCGCCACAAGGGCTGGTTGAGTTAATTGAGTGAAAGCTGGCTAATGGTTCGTGCTTCCGGTTTCTAGGATCCAACGAGGCGCCCCCCGTGGAGAACTGGCGCACCATCCGAAGGTTGATCGGCCACGATAACGACGTTCAGGATCTAGGCTGGTCGTACGATTCGTCCATCCTTGTTTCTGTGGGGTTGGATTCTAAAGTCGTGGTTTGGTCGGGGCATACATTTGAGAAGCTCAAGACGCTGTCCATTCACCAGAGTCATGTCAAGGGAATTACGTTCGACCCCGCGAATAAGTACTTTGCTACGGCTAGCGACGATCGCACGGTTCGCATCTTTCGATTCACGTCCCCTGCGCCGAATTCCACCGCTCACGATCATTTGAACAACTTCATTCTCGAAACTACCATCACCGCGCCGTTCTCGAACTCGCCTCTCACCGCGTACTTCCGACGTTGTTCTTGGTCTCCGGATGGCATGCATATTGCGGCCGCGAATGCGGTCAATGGACCCGTCAGCTCGGTCGCGATCATCAATCGCGGCTCGTGGGATGGTGACATCAACCTCATCGGGCATGAAGCCCCTGTTGAAGTGTGCGCCTTCTCTCCGCGACTGTACTCCACAGAGCCGATCAATAAGCAGGCTGTGGATAGCCAGGGTCACGCGGTGGTCAACTCCGTGACCGTAATCGCTTGCGCGGGAGGGGATAAGTCCCTCAGTATTTGGATTACGAGTAATCCACGACCGATTGTGGTCGCGCAAGAGCTGGCTGCTAAATCGATATCTGATTTGGCCTGGAGTCCGGATGGAAGGTGCCTCTACGCAACCGCCCTCGACGGCACGATTCTTGCAGTCCGGTTTGAAGATGGCGACCTCGGCTATGCCATGGAAATGGAAGAGAACGAGAAGTCGCTTACTAAATTCGGCACTAACCGGCGGGGTGCAGGCATCGCCGAGACGACGGATGGGCTACTGCTTGAGGAGAAAAGCAAAGCTGGAGAAATCAAGGGCGTCGAAGGTCGTATGGGGGCTCTGATGGGTGACGATCACGCAACTACAGAGCCTACGGCCAACGGGAAACCGGCTCAAGCACAGTCGAATGGCGTCACTACAACCTCTGCTCCTTCACCAGCTTCAGATGCGCCGAAGGCCCAGCCCAATGGAACAGCAGCGACACCGGCGGCCCCAGAGCCTGAGAAACCTGACCCTTATCAGGCAAAACTTGAAAGGTTGAAGCAGCGTCCCACATACACGAAGGACGGAAGAAAGCGGATAGCGCCTCTCTTGGTGTCTGGGGCTGGTGCTGCCGAGTCATCCCTCCCACAGTCCCGGTTAATGGCGTCGGTCAGCAGTCAAGTGAAGGCCGATACCCCGCAATCGATTATCGATCTCTCGAAACCTTTCGACGGGCTGCCCAAGGGAGGGATTGCAGCGCTGCTTTTCGGAAACAAGCGCAAGCTCGCACAGCTTGAGGGCGACGATGATGGACATATTGAGAAGCGTGTGACCCTGGCGAGCCAGAATGGGGCGACCCCGATTCTAGCCAACACGCCCGACGGCCTGTTACCTGCGCAGACGCAACCTGCGCCGACGGGCCAGCAACAGACTCCAGAATACATCCGGCCTGCGGTAACGAATCCCTGCATGGCAATCAGCCAACTCCGGTTGGCTGTCCCGAAGATTCGGAGTCAGATACTACGAGCCATAGATTCCACTGGCAAGCCCACGGAGCCCCCCGGCACATCTAGCGAATTTAACAAATCGCGAGCCGATGTTATTTTCGAAGCGCGTAACCCGTCTCCGGCAAGCTTGACGGGGCGTGTCGTTGACCGAGAGCCGGTCCGACTTACCCTGTTCCGTGGTGAACAGCCGTTGTGGCAGGACTTCCTCCCACGACCTGTTCTGCTGGTGACCGGTAACCAGAGCATGTGGGCCGCAGCCTGTGAAGATGGGTCTGTGTATATCTGGACTCCAGCTGGACGTCGCTTAGTCAGTGCGCTGGTACTGGAGGCGCAGCCCGTAGTCCTGGAGTGTAATGGTCCCTGGATTCTCTGCATCACGACCGTGGGCATGTGCTACGTATGGAATGTCAAGCACCTCTCCTCGCCCCATCCACCTATCTCCCTCCAGCCAGTGCTGGACGCGGCCATCCACACATTGGGTGCTCATCCGACGGCTGCGCCTGCCATCACCAATGCTCGCATCAACTCCGAAGGCCGGATCGTGGTCGCGTTGACGAATGGCGAGGGGTATTCCTACTCCCCGTCCATGTATACTTGGCAGCGGATTTCGGAGGCCTGGTGGGCGGTGGGCAGCCAGTATTGGAACACGACCGAAGCACCAGTGGGCAACCTTCAGTCCGCCGACGCGCAGCAAGACAAGGAAGCCAAGGCAGCCGTGTCGGCCGGCATCATTCCGTTTTTGGAACGTAATACCACCAACGAGACCTTGCTGCGGGGTCGGGCCTACTTCTTACAACGACTGATCAAGGTCCTGCTCTCCCGCGAGGGCTACGAAAGCTTCGAGTCCAGCGTATCCATCGCTCACCTGGAGAACCGACTGGCTGCCGCGCTATCTCTCGGGGCCAAGGACGAATTCCGTCTTTACCTGTCGATGTATGCTAAGCGTCTCGGGGCGGAAGGATTGAAGATGAAGGTGGAAGAGCTTCTGAAGGGGCTGATCGGCGGTTTGTTTGAGGAAGATGAGACGGATACCGTTCGTCGTCTGCAGGACAACGAGCAAGAGGGCCGGAATTGGCGCGAGAGCTCCGAGACGCTCTGTGGCTGGCCACGGGAAGTGTTGCTGAAGGAGGTGATCTTATCACTCGGTAAGCTTTTCTTGCTTCATAACCTTTTTTGTTTGTCGCTGACTCGGGGTCACTTTCTAGGCAAACATCGGGATCTTCAGCGGGTGACGGTGCCGTACGCCAAACTACTGGGCATGGTCGACAATGAAGCGGAGGGTAGTGATGCGATGGAGACATAGACTGTGTCTTGTGCCTTGTTGCAGTTTCAAACCGATCATCTGCGTTTGGCGTTCGTTTGGCGTTGCGTAGCCACTTTCAGTCCATACCGACGGATGGATGGATGGATGGATGGATGGATTGCATGCATGGGTTTGGGGAAGGATCAATTTTTATTCGAGCATCATGCGGATCATGCTTTCGCTACTGTGTACTATAGTTCAATTCGAACATTGACCATCGTGATGGTCTTTGCTATTCAGCGGTATTCTGCTTGCGAGATGTTGTCCAACATGTATAGAGTATGTACTGTACAGTACAGTTAAACCAAGCCCGTGGAAGAAGTTACGTAACGCAGGGCTGGCGAGTCATGTGGGCGGTGAGGGGGCCCTTGAGGGCCCTCCACCGCACAACACAAAGAGAAGAAAGAAGGAAGGAAGGGGGAAGAAGAAAGAGAGCGTCATCGTTCGAGAGTCAGTCTGTCAGTCTTCTTCTTCTTTTTTCACACTAAGTACTGTTGGGCAGCTTTCATACTTCGTCTGCATTTACCACCACCACCACCTCCTCCTCCTCCTCCTCCTTCACTCAATTGAACCAATTGGGTCTGTAAACTCTACTCCTTGACTCCTCCCTCAGTTTCAAGCCCACTGCTCTGTGCCGTGGGCACCGTCATCACGTCTCCCTCACAGCCGGGTGTCCTGCTGTTACTTTCACTCCGCTTCCATCGCTCCGCAGCTGGTCCTGCTTTGGCCTCGCGCCTGATCCAATCTCAATCTCTTTTCCTTAACCCCTCTTCCTCCTCCTTCTCGACTTTCCCTTCTTCTTTCCTCCCCTCCTCCCCGCCTTCTTTTCTCTCCCGCCGGTCTTATTCCAGCAAGAAGAAGAAATCCTCCAAAATGCCCCCCAAGAAGGCTGTCGTGCAAGAGAAGGTCCTGTTGGGCCGCCCAGGCAATAACCTGAAGAGTGGTATCGTATGTGAGCATTGACCCCACCGACTAATTTTCCTCTTCCTTTTTTTTTCTGCTGCTTGCTTCTGCTACTGCTGCCCCTCCCAACCCCCCCAATTTTTTATCCGTTCCTTTTTTCTTACCCTATTTAACCTCGCTTCCCCTTGCATCAATTTTTTTTTCTTCTTTTCTTCTTCCCAACACCACAATTCCCACACATTCCTTTGTAGGAATTAAGGATCAAGATGGTTTAACATCTTTTCTAGGTTGGTCTCGCCAACGTCGGCAAGTCCACGCTCTTCCAGGCTATCACGAAGTCCACGCTGGGTAACCCCGCCAACTTCCCCTATGCCACCATCGACCCCGAGGAAGCTCGTGTCATTGTTCCTGATGACCGCTTCGACTGGCTGTGCGAGCACTACAAGCCTAAGTCGCAGGTGCCTGCCAACTTGACCGTGTATGATATCGCCGGTCTGACCCGCGGTGCCTCCACCGGTGCCGGTCTCGGTAACTCTTTCCTGTCTCACATCCGTGCCGTCGACGCCATCTTCCAGGTCGTGCGTTGCTTCGACGATGCCGAGATCATCCACGTCGAGGGTGATGTCGACCCCGTCCGGGATCTGAACATCATTAGCGAGGAGCTGCGCGTCAAGGATATCGAGTTCGTCGAGAAGGCGCTCGAGGCCCTGCAGAAGCAGACCAAGCGTGGTGGTCAGTCCCTGGAGATGAAGAAGCTGCGCGAGGAAGAAGGCACTGTTGCTAAGGTCCTTGAGTGGCTGCGCGAGGGTAAGGATGTGAGAAAGGGTGAATGGGGCCCCAAGGAGGTACGTTTGATTTTTTTTTCTCCCCGTCTGCTTGCCCACCCACCCACCACCTCCAAATTATTATGATGAATAAGAGCACTGCTCGAATATAACCCAGCTCGTCGAATGGCCTCATTTTTATTTACAACGCAGAGGCCATGTTGAGATAAAATCCCATCTGATATTGTTACTTTGGATTATTGTTCTTGAATACACTCATTGTGTGGTGGGAACCGAGCGCTAACCCGTTCGCTCATTCAGGTCGAGACTATCAACCCTCTCATGTTGCTGACGGCCAAGCCCGTTGTCTACCTGGTCAACCTGAGCGAGAAGGACTACATCCGCCAGAAGAACAAGTACTTGCCCAAGGTGTTCGAATGGATCAAGACCAACTCGTCCGGTGACCCTCTGATCCCCATCTCCGTTTCCTTCGAGGAGCGCTTGACCCGCTTCGAGGACGACGCCGCCGCCCTCGAGGAGTGCAAGAGCCTGAACACCAAGTCCGCCCTGCCCAAGGTGATCACCACCATGCGTCAGTCGTTGAACTTGGCCAGCTTCTTCACCACCGGTGCCGACGAGGTCCGTCAATGGACCATCCGCAAGGGTATTAAGGCCCCTGCCGCCGCCGGTGTCATCCACACCGACTTCGAGAAGACCTTCATCCAGGCCATCGTGTACAACTACGCGACCCTGCGCGAGTACGGCGACGAAGCCGCTGTCAAGGCTGCCGGTAAGATCATGACCAAGGGTAAGGATTACGTCGTCGAGGACGGTGATATCCTGTTGATCAAGGCCGGTGCTGCTCGCTCTTAGGTCTTGTGATGACTTGTAGCAATTGTAGCAATTAAAAATGAATTGTTATGAACTGGTTCTTTCATTTATCTTCATTGTGTCTGGTATTCGTAAAACTTAAAGTGGGGTTGTTGACTGGAGCTCTGATCGGAGCTTACCGCTGCTGAATTGAGTGTTTCAATCATGGCTCCTTGCAGTCCGAATCCTTGTCCCGAATTGCGTCAGCTTTACATGGTACTCGCGTTGCATAGCAAGAAACAATGGATTGAAGCCAAGCTTCGCAGTTCATAGAGGAGAGATTAGTAAACCTAGTTCGAGAGCTTTGATCACAATCTGTGAAATAGGATAGAGGCCTGCGAACAACAGCTTTCTACTAGAGCATCCAAGGGCACCCAGCAATTCCAGCTTCAGCTGTAACTATAAACACAGATTATATTAACAAAGAAATAAACTACGCATAATGAAAATATCCTCCTGTTCCAAGTGTCTACGACTCTTGAAGAGAAGCACGACCGCATCGAACGCAGATAAAGTCACGTGACCCCGATTCCCCGCAACGCAACGCCCACTGCCCAGCAGATAATGACCGGAGCCAACCCGGCCGCCGCGAAGCAACAACTTTGAACTCACTCCAGCAATACAACACAAAACCCGCCATGTTTAAGAAAGAGTGAGTTTACTCCGCTCAGCTATTGTCTAGCCTACACCCCTCCCCTCAATCCCACTCAACCACCGGAGTAGCAGCGAAGCAGAACGAAACGAAGCATTACCCCGCCTCATTTGTACCTCAAGCTACGCACACCACTTGCACGCCAAACCAGCACAATCAGCGCAGCGCCCCCCTATGCACCACCACCAACGGGGGCTCCAAATTCAAACCCACCCGAAAATCAACCCAATGCTAATATAATATACTCAAAAATAGAATCCCCCCGAGCAACCGCTCAAAAGTCAAGTCCTCAGTGCAGCGCGCCCTGCGCCAACGCTTCCTAGAAACCTACCCTGGTTTCGAACCGTACATCGAGGATGTGCTACCTAAGAAGGCGCAGTTGGATGCTGTGAAGCTGTACGTTTTTTCCCTTCTGGCCCCCCCCCCACCCCTGTTTATATATGTATAGCAAGCTGCGCGCACCCCATCCCCACACCCCCCCCACCAAAATCAAGAATTCTATGCTGATTTCTCTTCTGAGGATCTAGTCCCGAAAAAGCAACCCTCTACAGCATAGACTCGATCCCCCTCTTCTTCCAACCGCAAGACGGCCCCCCGATTCCCCATCTGAAGCTGCTGCACGCCTACCCGGACGCCCTGCCCACCGTGCAGATCGACCGCGGCGCCATCCGGTTCGTGCTCTCGGGTGCCGCGCTCATGGCGCCCGGGTTGACCTCCGCTGGGGGACGGCTGCCTGATAAGGAGAATGCGGTGGAGGCCGGCCAGGTGGTTGCTGTACGGGCCGAGGGGAAGGAGACGGTCTGTCTGGTGGGGGTGTTGAAGGTCGGCACGGAGGAGATTAAGGAGAAGGGGAAGGGGATCGTGCTTGATGAGGGGCATTATCTTGGGGATGGGCTTTGGAGGATGACTTTGGATTAATTTTTCTTCTTACGAGGGGGGTTAGAGGGGTGAGGGGGGTTTAGGGGGTTTTTGTTACGATCTTGATACCATTGCTGTAGTCTAATGGATTGCTTTGGATTGCTTTGGATTGCTTTTTGTGTCTACTTTGGTGGAGAGTTGGTATTGTTGTCTTTAGAAAGGATGAGGAGGACGCTATATACACACGGGGGAATTCTATTCCAATTCTGCAGGACGCGGCGATAGCGGTGACGTCGGTGACAACGATGACCACGATGGCGTCCGCATCGCCAGTCCCAGCCCCTTCACGCTCGTGCTGGACCCGTTCATCCCCGTCCCTGTCCACCCCCCATCCCGCAGCCCCGCGCGCGTCACCGCCCGCTGCAGCATCTCCCCTGTCCCGTCCAGAGCGATCAGGAACCGCGCCAGCTCGGCGCACAGGTCCCAGTCGTTCCGCTTCGATGCCAGGTACATCAGCCGCACCACGTAGTCCTCGATCGGCGCGTCGTGGTCGTCGGCGTCGTCCTCGAACGCCTGCAACACCAGCAGGTACCCCACGGCGGTTTTGAGTGATCCGAGCTTGAGGGCCTGTTCGAACAGCTCCTTCGGCGATGGAAGGTATGCAAACAAGGTGCGCCAGGATCGCAGCTCCGTCTTTCGAGTGCATTGCACAACTACATCCAGATACACCTTCGTCGGTAAGGATGCTTGTAAAAATGATATCACGATCGGAAGCAGCGGCTCGTGCCTCTGCGAGGGGTCGTCGGCCTTGCTGTCCTTGCTCTGGTTGTCGACCTCGTCATCCAAGACGTGGTGCAGGAGAATCTCGAGCGCATGCGGGAAGTAGGAGAGGTGCGAGAAGTGCTGACACAGCGACAGCGCGGCAGGCATGTCTCGCTGGGTCAGACTGTGCTGGAGGAAGTAGGGGAGGAAGAGATGCGTCTAACCAGGTTAGTGCTGCACTGGTACCTTCATTAAGAGTACTTACGCGGATAGCGAATTTCAGCGCGGAGAAGGTGACATCGCGTCGCTGGGTCATCTCCGCCTCCACACCCAACACGATACCCTTGTTCAGGAGTACAGATAACGGGTAGAAGTCCAAGGGTACCTCAAGCGGTTTTGACACTTCATCTCGCTGCAGGACATCCTGCACATCGCCCCAGGCAAGGAGCTCTTTCCCACAAAACGTCCACAGCGAATCCCTCAACGAGAAGTCGCTACGGTACATATTCAAGGCCATCTCAGCCGACGGACTAGCCGGAAGGGACTCGTCAACTGGCGCAAAGTTGAACGATAACTGGTCTCGCATCAAGATATAGTATTCGACGTCGTGCGATACCACGCGCATGTCGTATTTCAACTCGCCGCTCTCCGAGAACGATGGCTGCAGCAGGACTAAATTGCCATCTACCAAAAGAAGCACGGATGCCACCTTGACATCTTGGGAAGGGTCGCCGTTCCCTATTGTTGTTAGACTTGACTCTCACAACGCGGTGGCGCACTTACGCATCTGGTCTTCGGGCAAAATCCAACTGATTGCCCGGACTCTGGTCGGCGCGCGCACAATCCCATGAAAAGCTATCTGCCCCACGGGGACCAGCGTTATTCGAGAGTGTGCCGAGTTGATGATATAATGATAAAGGATATTATCGTATGTATAAACAAGCAAGGAGTCCTCGCCCGATGCTCCGACAAAGACCACCGGCGAGGGGAGGTATTCTATATGTAATATCGACTGATTGTTAAGGGGCATCTCTCGCGAGTACAATCGCAACTACACCGTCATCAACAAAAGCGTGACCAGAAGGGTGAAGATTTACTTACCTCGTATGATCCGTCGTTGTCAATGGCGGCAATCAGAATGTGTCCGTACCAGCACATGCCCCCTCGTACCGCAAAGGAATTCTCTATTTTAGGGTCTTCGAACACCTTCCACCGGCCGCTGTTCACACTGTAGTGCGCAAGCCCTCGTCTGCCAGCTATAGCAACGTATCTCCCGTCCTGAGAGACGACACTTGAGCGAATCGGCCACTGTGAGTGAAGGTAACTCGGAGGGTATTGTGCGTGATGCCACAGCGAGTCCTTCCCCGAGATAGTCATGAGATCTGGTAGATCGTGACCGCGGTAGAGGATAATCTCGGTCCCAGTTTGCAGTAGGCCTCTAGCCAGATTCGCAGAAGAGTAGCAGCCTGTCAAAGCGCTCCGTGCTGTTTCCAGTATCCACAAGCGACGATCGTTCTGGCCTGTAAGTATTATCTCGGAGCCGCCACCGATCCAACAACCGTGTGAGATGCCAGTCACCCAGTTCTCGCCGTTTGAGTCGGCAAGTGAACGATCTGCCGCAAAGCTGCTCTCCCCCGACTTTCCAAAAACGCTCCAAGTCGTCCAGCCATGCTCATAGCCAGCAAAAAGGCAATACCCATCTGGCGAGTAGCTCATGAATGTAACGCTACCGGTCGTAGCTGGCGAGGCCGGGAGCTGTAGTTTGTGTGATAGAGGAACGTTGCCCAGGTAGTCCTTGGCTGTATAGACCAAGATCTCACCGTTGGCGCAGCTCACGGTAAGGAGAGAGAAGCGAGCATTGACGACAACCTTGACAGCTTTCTCGCCATCATCTTTGGGGTCATGGAAACAATGGCCCTTGAACAGCTTCTTGGCGTCGTCCGAATCTTCTGCGGCCCGTTGGACGGCGTAGGCCTGGCCTTCGTTGGTCACCCATATTAGCAAGTTGATAGCTCGATCGTACACCATATTCGTAATAGACGTGCGCTTCGACACGCCCAGTACGCGACTAAGGAGCTCCGACTTAGTTTGCGAGCCGTCCGCATCCGGATTCCAACGAATGCATTGGATGGCTGCAGGCTTGACAGTCGCGACAACAAGCTCCATATCAAGTGCGAGAGCCTTGGCAATCCCTGATTCTATCTTGATAGCCATTCGGAAACGAACGCTAACATCTCGTATCCCAGTGGCCTCTTCCTCCGCGGCCAAGCGTGCGAGCGTCTGGCGGCGGGTCGAGGTAGATTGATCAAAATATTGCTGATATACACGGGTATTAGGGCTGACAGCGATTGTATAGGTAAGAAGATATCCATTGAGTGTCTGAACGACGAGTATATTCGAGTCGGGGTGCATTAGAAGGGCCACATTGGAGCCATAGTTCTCCAGCGACGAGGCGGACCGAGCAACGGCAGCAACAACGGCGGTGGGCTGTATCGCCCGTCAACATGAGCGCATCAATCACATCATAAAGGACTCACTCTTGTTTGCCAGAGCGCAATCGATGAATTGGTCATCGTCGCAAACATATAACCACTCCGGGAGACACAAAGGCCGGTGATAGGCTCATCCGCCCACGCCGTCTCCGTAACGGCCGCCCTGTCGCGGGCATTATTAACATTCAACGACTCCCCTTGTTCCGCAGAGCTATCGTAGTTTAATAATTCCTCGTCGTCGGATGCGAGGACCGGAATTCTAGGGCCATTGATCGCATAGACCCGGGGGACTCCATAGGGCCAGTACATGGCTCGGTGCAAGCGCGAGGGTCACGGAGCAGAACAATTTCACATCGAGTCATCTTCGTCTGGAACTAGGTCGTTAGATCGTCGGACTCGAGACAAGGGAGATCCCGTAAATGCCGACCATATCCATTCAAGTAGAATTCCTGACTTCGCTGTGACCCGATGAGTCGCGGAACTGTAAGATGATATGGACTTGGATGTCAATCGGGAAGCACGGTGATTATCACGTGCAGGGGAGCTCCGGGAGCAAACAAGTCAAACAAAGCAAAGCCCCCGCATCCCAAAATCCGCCCCGCCGCGACTCTTCTGGCCAACAACAAGTTTAAATCTCCCCGGCCCTTTTGCATTGCATTGATACCCAAATTCGCTCACATCATGGTAGGTGGGCTCCTTTTAGTGTCAACTTTGCATACGCCCCTGGAGATCAGCATCTGACGTGTTCCATACTCTAGGCTCCTACCGAGTCCAAGAAGCGCTTGGCGCTTGCTATTATCGACTTCCTGGGTGCCAGCTTGAAGGATGGCACTCTCGGCGCCGACGATGCCGAGTCCATCGAGATCGCCCAGTCCTGCATCGCGGATACATTCAAGGTTGACCCCTCCGACGAGGCTGCCGTGAAGGACGCCCTCGGTGGACAGTCTCTGGCCAGCATCTACAGCGTCTACGAGAAGCTGCGAAACAAGCCCGCCGCCGCCGCCGCCACCGGCGGTGCCGCCAAGGAGGAGAAGCCTCAGAGCGGCGTTCCCACACCGGAATCCGACAAGCTGAAGTCCGAGGGCAACGCCGCCATGGCGCGTAAGGACTACTCCAGCGCGGTCGACTTGTACACCCAGGCCCTAGCTATCGCCCCCTCGAACCCCATCTACCTCTCCAACCGCGCGGCTGCCTACTCCGCCGCCGGACAGCACGAGAAGGCGGTCGAGGACGCCGAGCTGGCTACCGCCGTCGACCCTAAGTACTCCAAGGCCTGGAGCCGACTGGGTCTGGCCCGTTTCGACCTGGCCGACTACCACGGTGCCCAGGAGGCCTACGAGAAGGGTATCGAGGCCGAGGGCAACGGTGGCAGCGAGGCCATGAAGCGCGGTCTCGAGACCACCAAGAGAAAGATCGAGGAGTCGAAGCGCGGCGCCGAGCCTCCTGCTGATGCAGTCGATGATGCCGCTGGCGCATCTCGCGGTGCTGGTGGTGGTATGCCCGATCTCTCTTCTCTTGCTAGCATGCTTGGAGGCGGTGCCGGCGGCGGCGGTGGCGGTGGTATGCCCGATCTCAGCTCTATCATGAACAACCCCATGTTTGCCAGCATGGCCCAGAACTTGATGAGCAACCCCGATACGCTCAACAATATCATGAACAACCCCCAGTTGAGGTCGATGGCCGAGAACTTTGGCCGCGGAGGTGGTATGCCCGACATGTCTTCTTTGATGAGTGACCCTAGCATTGCCGAGATGTAAGTCTTGCCTTGATCCTAAGTTGAAACGGACTGGTATTAATCTCTGAAATCTAGGGCCCGGAACATGATGGGTGGCGGTGCTGGGCGTGGAAGCCAGTAATGACTGCCCTCGCCTGATGCCCGTGCATTTGTTTCTTTTTTTTTTCTCCCCTTCTGAAACAGTGTTTCTCTTTTTACCACTTATCAGTTTGGCTGCATTTAGCTTCCTTTTTTAAACCAGCTTGAGTACCGTTTGACCTCGAGAAGGATAATAGAGTTTGGTGCGACATGCACACTTCTAACCGGAAAACATAATCTTTCTTTCATGTTATATTCACATATTCTTTTGTTCAGCCAAGGCCTGATGCTCAAAGCTGTTAGGTCATCGAGCCACTGAATTTCGTAGAACCCTCCGACTGATAGGGCGGCCCTCCAGCTGGAAATGGGTGAAGAATAACAAGGACTAAGCTAAATATTGGGGCAGCTGCGAGAATATAATCAGATGAGTGGAGGGTAAAGTTGCCAAACATAACACAAGACGCCGCAAAACGCCACAAGTAATAAGTAGGCTGCACTATTTGTGCCTGACCGAGGACTCTCGGAGACAACTCGATCTCGGATCCAGAGATAACAAGTTTGCCAGCATCTGGTCTGAAATGAAACCTGTGAGGAAGGAGGATATTGCGAGATTAATCAAGTTACTATCACAAGCGATTCACGAAGCGCCAGTTCCGCCTGATCTCTATTTAGAAGGTCAATATTGTACAGTAGGATATGATATCAAAACATTCGAGAAGAGAAGAAGGAAATTCATGGGCCAATGATGAAGACAAGGGAGTTGTTGTTGAGAAGGGAGACGGGTAAAGGTTGGAAGAGTTATCCGGCGGAGGTTAGATGTAGTCCCGAGCAGCCTTCTGCAGCTCGATCAATCTCCATCCACGGGTCTCTGGGTTGTTGACATCCTCGGGTATCCGTGTCAGGCCAATGGCGTAAGTGACCAGTTGAACCTTATCTTCCATGCCGGCCGCGAGTTCGCCCGACTTTGCGTTCTTGTAGACGTGGACCTCCTGCGTGCGGCAGGTCACAACGAACACAGGGATGTCACCTGGGTCCAGCATACGGGCATGAGAGACGTCAACCCCACGGATATCCAGGATACGACCATCGGATTTGAGACCGAGGTTAGTGTACTGCTGAGCGAGAGCAGCGTAGACATTGAACTGAGCTTCGGAGAGCCAGAGCTTGAGGGTCTCGACATCGCCCTTAACGTAGGCATCGAGCACTTCAGGCAGAATATATTCACGCATCTCCCTCAGGAAAGACTCCATCTGGAAATTGGGGTCCATCTCGCGGAACCTCTTGATGACTTGAGCCGTCTCATTCTCAGCGAAGAAACCGGCGACACGATCCGAAATGCTGCGCGCAGTTGTGATGAGAGGGTTTTCCGACTCGTCGTAGGTGTTCTTCAGGGTAAAAAGCTTTTGCATCATAGGGTTCGAGTCCTTGAACTCGCGCCACGACTCCTTCCAGGCAGCGTCCTTGTGCAGCGTGACGTTGGTGCCAGCACTGAAAGAAAAATATACATGTTAGGTGCTGGCTTTTCATGGCAGCTAAAAAGATAACTCACTTGGGGTCCTCAACCATAGGCTCGGTGCGACGACCAGCCTTGGCCTCCATCTCTTCGCGCAGTTTTCTCTGCTTCCGTCGCTCCTCCTTCTCAATCCAGCCACCGTAGCGAGAGCTGCTTCCATCGTCAATTGCGTCCTTCACACCGCCAACTGCGGTCTTGTAGGCCTCGGTTTCGCGAACCGGTCTCGTGACCTTCTCAATACCGGAGCCAGTCGCGTTGACACCCTTCCTGAGACCTTTCACAACGGGGGTGTTCCATGTCCAGGAGGCGCTCTTGCCAATAGCCTTGCCGGTATGCTTCAACGCAGTGGAAGTCTTGGAGGTCGCAGCCCCAGAGGCAGCCTCGTAAGCGGCACGAGCCCGCTTGACATTCTCGTTCTCCGTGAATTGGTGCGCGGAGGATGCGAGAGCCTTCGTTGACTCATTCCACTCCTTCGACGCCTTGAATTCAGTTTGGAGAGTCTCTCTGAAAACTTGCCAGGGAGTCTTGTCGCCGTGGGGAGGCGGAGGAGGGGCGTCCTTCTTCTCACCATCTTTCTGGTCTTCACTCTTTCCTTCACTCGATTCCTCCGACTGCTTCTCTTTCTCCGTCTGCTGCTGCTGTTGTTGTCTGAGGGAGGTGGCAACATGGAATGACTTGTTCAGTGGCAGAGCAGCAAAGGGCGAGAGAAGGGTTGAGACTGGGAGATTTGTGCGCTGGCTATTCAAAAGAAGGGTCTTTCGTGCTGCTGACGATGTCGAATAGGAGTAGGTCTGCACCAACGAGTGCTGGCTGTAAGCCGTCTTCAGGCTCGGGACATAGGTCCGTAGAGTGGCCGCCCGCGCGCTGGCCGACATTTGGGTGGCGGAGATCATGCTATACAAGTTAAGAAAAAAAAAGAATCCAAGCCTATAAAAAACCCAGAGCCCAGACAGAAGAGAAGTTCGTGAAAAGAAAAAGCCCCGGATGGGTCAGGGAAATCAGAGGCTGAGGGGTGGAAGTGAGCTGGGGAAGAGGAAGAAGCGATGTCGGCAGTTGCTCAAATGGGAAAGGAAAAAGTCAAGATGGAAAAACGCCAAGCATCGATAAAATTCGGCCCTTTCCCGCCGCCCTTTCGTCCCGGCCCAGTGTTGCGGCGCTCGGCAGTGTGTACAGCACCTAATCCACTCTTGACTTTACTCCATTATTCCTGCTTGAGTCCATGTCTTTAGCTCTCCGGTGACTTACTTGACGTGTACCTTATCGCATTGACCCAGCAGCCCGTCTGCACTGCCCTTCGATCGACGCCTTTGCGGAGTATCAACGCCCTCTCTAAAAAGACATCTCAACATGAATCCGTCGTTCGTCAGTGCCCTGACGAGGGCACTGCCATCAATTGGCAGACCTTTGCAACTCCGAGTGTCGCCTTTTAGTTCGATAAGGTCTTTTTCATCCTCTCCGGCAACACCCGCGAATGACACAGGAGCGACTCGTGAACTGGAGAAACACATTTTGGGCGTACCCTCGGCGGCAGACGAAGATTCACCCAAGTCTGCGCTCGATCAGTTCTTCGAAACGCGCAAGTCTGGCCAGAAAACAAGCTCAGTGTATCGCCAAATGGCTGAGTCCCTGGAAGCCGAGATTCTCAAGCAACCCTATGCCGACCGTGCTCCTCCCCACTATCTCCATATTTACGCTCACAGGCGCAACACAATCTTGACATTGACAAAGCCCAACGGGAACGTTATGTTATCCCTCAGCTGTGGTCACCTCGGCTTCCGCAAAAGTGGACGTTCTGGCTATGATCCGGCCTTTCAGTTGACCTCCCATTTCTTCGCTCAGATGCACGAAAGGGCCTACATGCTTGAGATCAAGCGCTTGGAGCTCGTTTTCCGTGACTTCGGACAAGGCCGGGAAGCTTTCACAAAGGTTCTTATGGGCAACGAGGGCAAGAATGTCCGAAACGCGGTCGTTAGCGTAACAGATTCAACTCGCCTCAAATTCGGTGGAACGAAAAGCAGACACGTTCGGAGATTGGGTTAAGGGGGATGGTCTATTCTTGGTGCTGGGTGGGGAGAAGAGTTTGCTCGAATATATGTGCTTCATCTTGAAGCAGAATGTCTGGTTGTTGGGACGAATGAGGAGGGAAGAGAAAGGGTACTATTTGGTGGTGCTCAAGGTTCTAATGCTGGCCTGCTTGTTCGGACTCAACAGGATGTCTCTACTGGTAAGAATTGTCCGGATCAGCTTCGCAACGGAGCGAAGATACATGATGTCTCGTCGACTGGGTTGGAAGAAGACGAGGCCCTGCGCTACCCACGATGTTTCTCTTTTCACCTATTTAACTTGTGTATACTATTGTCAGTCTGTTTACTGGGGTTCTACGGGACACTATCATTTTTAAACAATACAAAAGAGACTTTGTACGGTTATAGAAAGATTGCGTGTCGAATGTTGGTATATACTGGCAGTAGTTATAAGATCAGATCTGGAACTCCGGCGAGATGGAGAGCATGACCCAAAAGGGTCTAGCGCCGAGAGCTCCCCGGTCTGCCACTCACTCCTCCGTGAAAGCTGTTGTTGGCTGAGTCTCTCCCCCATTCCTACGTTTCAAATCGTCATTCAGCTGTGTTTCCTTGGTCTGTGCATCTCTGGCACTACTCCAGCATCCTTTGTCACTTTAATGAGCATTCACCTCGGCATAATCGTTGTTGCAAAAGACTCCATTGTTACCTGCGGGCGCATGCGCCGGAGCTGCTCCTCTGTGACGATCCAGCAGCGGAGAACCCTCCCCCTTACGAGACCGGTCTAGAAGCCTTGATGAGTGCCAGAGACCTTGAGCCGGGCCGTCGTCCAAGACCGTTTGGATGCACCCTTTAAATCCCTTCCTCCGTGCCTTCTTCCGAAGCACTGTTCCGGGACAGTGTATACCCATCGAGAATCATGTAAGTTTCCGCTTCGGACAATTTGGCCCGCATCTCTCACATCCTCACCCGTCATTCTCACACTGGTCGTCTAGGTCCTCCTCGTGCCTGTGACAGAATCCCTAACTGGGTCGCGCGATCGCGAGTCCTCCCTCTACTACTCGGATCTGGTCGTTTCGGAAGAATTCCTTGGGAGCCATATCCTGCGTATACCAGTCGCTACCGGGACTGGTGGGGGGAAGGATGACTCGAATATACGGGACAGCAGAGGCAAGGCCAAGCAAGTGACGACCGTAAACGGACGAACAGTGATCATCAAAGAGAATTCGGTTTACAGCAATAAAGGTAGATGATTCCTCCTTTAGATTACTGAAAATGCAAGCGCGCTAAACAACACGTCTGCCTCTCCAGGTTTCAAGTCCCTAAGCCAAGCGCAGCTGGTGTCTGATGCGTTATATTACAACAACAGCAACGACTCCCAGCCATGGCTTATCTACTATATATCACGTCCACTGATCGGTTCGTTTGATCCCGGAAGGATTATAATTGCTGTAGTCCCAGGGGCACAGCCGAAAGTCAATGCTCTAGGCAACGGATCCAAGTCCGGCGAGCCAGTCTCCTCACCCCCAAAGAAAGAGATCAAGACCTTCGGAGAATTGCTGGCAAACTTTCCGATGATTGCTCGACAGATGCAACCTGGTTTGGAACGGCTGTTCAAGGAGTTTGGGAAAGAATTGGGGAAACCTCTGCCTCCTCCACCATCACGATCTCCTGTCATGTTCGAAGATTATGAACGGAAGCAAAACCGCGATGAGCATTCCCTCGATGAAGCCGCTTCCATTCGATCCTCGCGTAGCAGGGAAGGACTCCCGTTCAACTCCGAGGAATACTTCGAGGATGACGAGGATTTGATGCGCCGCAGCCTTGAGACAGCGGTTACTGCTGCTATTGACCTGTTTCGATTGGTGGACAAACAACAGCTTTCTTTCCTCGGAGCCACCACCGACCTTACTGGGCCATTGGTAGAACGACTGATTGAGCGTTACGTCGCTGAGCAGGTGCATGAGAAGCTTCTCTTCCCTCGACTCTGCAAATTCCGGCTTCCAGAGGATGCTGAACTGGATTCTCGAATTCGGTATATGGAAAACATTGACATTTCCCAAGTGGGTATCGTGGTAGAAGGAGGGCGCGAGGGTAAGCGGGAATTATTGCAGCGGCTCGGTAGAGCAGTCGATGAATTCCGCAAAATGCTCGATGCTAGGTGCCCTCACGACATGCTAAACACCTTGCTTGAGACGGTCAAAATCTTGTCGTACCCTGGCAGCTATAGCAGGACGGATTCCCACTCGTCAGAAAAACAGTTTGCGCCTGTGACCATCAACGCGGACATCCTAGTCTCGTTGCTGCTTGTCGTCGTCATAAGATCTCAAATCAAGAATCTGCAGGCACGCTTGATGTACATGCAGCACTTCATCTATATCGACGATGTTGACAGTGGTGAAATGGGCTATGCACTGAGCACCCTTGAGGCTGTTCTTACTTATTTGGTGACCGACTCCGCGGGTCTACGAAGAGCGAGTATCAGGAATAAACGTTTATGGAGCGCCACCAAGCACGGGCGTGTTATTGACATGAAGGCAATCCTGGAGCCCAACGGTGACCAGGAATCGATAGACGACCTCCCCTGCGAATCCGAGGAAAGGCTTGTTGCCTTCAAGACAGGAGACGAAGAGGATTTGGTTCCAGTTTCACACATTTCACTGCCAATACGTGATGGTCTGTCTAATTCATTTGGCGATGATGCAGCGACACCCGCTAGTGGTGACGACTCCGAAGCACCTCCTCTGTCGCACGTCTTCCCCTTTCAGACGTGGGCAAACATTTCGCCCCCAATTGAAGTGCGGCGCCCCATCAAGAAAGTCTCAATGGACGTGCGTAGTCTCTCCGGATCATCTGGCATATCGCTCGCGTCCCGAACAACCACAATGGAATCAATTACGAGCGCAATCGAAGGCGACAGCTCGATCGAGACACTTACCAAGACGCAGGATCCTGCTGGGGATTCGATTCCAATGATGGCGGTTGAAAGTCGCCAGCCGGAGGCTCTAAAGTACTTGCTTAGCTTGCAAGAATACTATCCTTTGGAGGACATTCTCGAGGATTCTAACACTGATGGCACTACACTACTGAGTGCTGCAGTTCAACTTGCCCACGCTGACATTGTGGAGATCCTGCTGGATTACCTTTTCGGTGCAACGGATAGACATACCATCGCCTCATATATGCAGAAATCTGATATGCATGGACGTACAGTCGCACACTATTTGTTCAGCACGCCGTCAGTGATGCATAGGCTTGAGGGCCTCCTTCCATGGTGTCAACGCGACAAGCATGGGCAAACTCCACTTTTCGCGCTGTGTCGTTCTTATGACCACCCCGACTACAAGTTAATGGTGAATGAAGCCCTGGACGCAGCCCATAAAGCCCAAGGAGACGGCAAGCCTTTGCGCCTTGACGAGCATGTTGACTCGAAAGGTAACACGTTGCTTCATATCGTCAGCGATCCTGAAATCACCGTTCGGATTTTGCATGGCTGTGATTGTGATCCCAACGCAACCAACGACAAGAGGTTCACGCCGCTCATGATGGCGAGTAAATATGGCCGCATCGACCAAGTCCGCATTTTGTTCGCGGACCCCCGTGTAGATGTCCATCTTAAAGAAAGTCGCGGATTGACCGCCGTTGAACTGGCGAAGGACGACGAGGTTCGCAACCGTATCGACGATCTCATTCTCTTGTCTACGCCTCTTTCCGTCTACGACGAGCAGTCGGGTCGTGTGACAACCGTTGTTCGTTCGTACTTCGTTGAAGATGCAACGGTTCGATTCGTACTCAAATCTGGCGCGCCTAATCCCACTGCGAACTCGGTGGAATCTCGGCCTGCGTCAGGCACAACGTACACCGTTACAACGTGTCGGCGCACCTTTTCCGACTTTGAGAATCTTGCCAGATGCCTCTCGACCGAGCATCCCGCTTCATACATGCCATCATTGTCTGACTTCCGTAGCCCGTTTCAGGTTCATTCCAAGCCTTCTCGTTCCGTGCTACACGATATGCAAGAGAAACTCGACAAGTTCTTGAAGGTTTTACTGTCTCATCCAACTTTTGCCACCCATGAGATGCTTTGGGAGTTCTTTCTCGTTCCGGAGCTACAGCCGGATATGATGGCGGATAGGTCACACCGAAAAGCCCAGGTCCTTGCAGAATCAATTATCGACGATTATGCACCAGTGACTCCAGAAGGTATGAGAGAGACTGAACAATTCGTCTCGCATGCCCAAGACATGGTCCGTGCCGTTCATGTGAATACCCGCAGTCTCATCCGTCGTGGCCATGCGCTGCAGAACTCAGCATCTGACATGGCAGACGCATTGGCTCTCTGCTCTACTTCCATCTCCACCCTCAAGGAACCGACGCAGGCACTTCCCCTGACCCACGTTGACGCATTCATCCGTTACGCTCTCTGTCTTTCAACCTCGTCTTCTGACTCATCTCCTCTACTCCAATTTGTCGCCGCATTCACCTCCATCGACAACACCACCAATGCTGTTCTCACGTCCCTCTCTCGCCCGGTCTCATTAATCTCTACCTTATCGTCAACGAACCGAAACCTGTCGCGGTCTCGCTCGTCCCTCCTCTCGTCCTCCCTCCCACGCAAATTCAACCTCAATTTCCCCGGCTTAGAAGAGTCGCGACAAAAGTCCGTTCGAGAACTGGAAAGCAAGATCCAGGATTCCGAAGCGCAAGTGGCGCGTCTTTCCCGTGAAATCTCCTGGAACAAGGATGTGGTCGTCGGGGAACTCGCCGGCTGGACCTCGTGGCGGGAGAAGATTGGACGGGACGCGATCCGTTCATTCGTGAAGGCTACTCTGGTGCGCGAGAAGGAACGTGGGAGGAGGCTCGAGCGATGTTTGAGAAGTGTGCATGAGATGCAATAATGGGTGGTCCCAAAGCATCCGCTATCTGATCTGTTATTTCAGGCGTGTGGGATAATGTGGTGGTTGCAGGGGATTATAGATCATTACCCTTAACCAACAACCAAGTTATGTAGAAGTTACGGTACGGTAATAAGTGATATTTTCCCTGGAACCGTGTGCCTTATGTACAGTCTCTATTATTACCAGGCCTAATTCACCCACGGCCATCATTTCTAGTAATAAATAGCCCGATGGAAAGGACTCTTGAGCATGATGTGACGCCACTGCACTGCCATCCCCTCCCAAAGCGTACTAGCGCATCATCATTCATTCTACTCCGTACGAGTCACTGACAGCCCAATATAAATCCGCTACACCACACCCCATGATGTCATTATGGATAAGCAGCACTCCCAATTGAACCTTAGTATATTTAAACCATCGCAACCTACTTTCACTCCCTTTCCTCCCTTCATCCAGAACCACTTTTTACATCTATACATCTGCTGCGCCACTATCGATAGATACCCAGACATATAAACAGAAATCATCCAGACTACTCAAGTACAATACAACCAACCCCTTCCCGAATACCTCAATCACAATGCCCCTCGTCGTTCCAGGTATCAACAACACCAGCGGCGGCTCAGACATGGATGCCTGGGCGCAGAAGCTGATGGGGAAGACCGTCACCGAGCAGGGATCTGGCGATGTGAATGTGAGATTTTTCTTTCCCTTATAATGACCTACGGATAGGGTCGAGTCATCCACATGGTGTATTACGACCGAGGGGAGAAGTAGCCATGCGCTAACCTGGGTTCCTCGTTGACAGTCATTCGCTAAGAAAGACCTGCCGGAGAGGCATCGGATTGTTAAGCCCGGTGATGCGATGACGATGGATCATCAGCCTGATCGGTATGTTTTTTTTGCATATTGGTTGAATAGTGGTGGTGGTGGTACCGCTTGTTGGAAGTTCTGGGTGATTGCTGACCGGGTGTGATTGTAGGTTGAACATCCATGTGGATGAGAGTGGGACGGTTCATAATGTCAACTTTGGTTGAAGTTAGAATTACATCTCACGTGAATGAATGTGAGAGTCGATGAGATTCGTTACGTCGATGATGATGATTATGATGATTGCTTCTACTGAAAACGGAAGGCTATTCACACGAAATGAATTGTACATTTACTTTAATTGTCATGATTTTTGGAAATGAAGGCTTTGATATAGTCATGGATTGGCCGTTTCTATTTGATTCGTAGTGATACTAATTTGATATGGTGGTAAGGGTAAGGAGGGTCTTTTTGTGGAGATTTACTCGGCCTTCCAGCGCAGGAGGGTGAAGGAGTGCTTGGGGAAGACATAGGAGCCCTTGGCTTCCCAGGTGCTCTCGGTGATGCCCACCTCCTGCTTGCCGTTCATGTTGCTGACCGCAAGGTTGTCGCCAGTGACGGTGAACACCGAGACCTGCCCGGTGGGACCCTCGACCTTGGTCTCGAGGTCTTTGTCCTCGCTGATGTTGACAACCGCGACGTTGACATAGCCGTCCTCGCCGAGAGTGGCGCTGACGTCCAGCCACGGGGTGTCCTTGACGCTGCGCACCCACTTGGGGGAGGTCTCGCCCTCGTAGGTAGCGCTGGACAGGTGCGTGCTGATGGTCCAGCCCCGCATGTACTTGGAGAAGAGGTACAGCGGCCACCAGGTGGTCTGCTTGGTGATGCCGTCCTTGGTCGTCATCAGGGGCGAGATCACGTTCACGCTCTGCGCGATGCACGCCATGCCAACGTCCTTGCTCTTGCGGACGAAGACGTTGAGCCAGACGGCGACGGCCAACGCGTCTGACAGCGTGTAGGATTCTTCCGCGCCCTTGCTGCCTTCGGCGCGGATGGGGTCCCAGACGTTCCACTCGTCGAAGCAGATCGTGGGACGGGGTTGCTCGGGAGGAACTCCGTTCTCGATCATCGCGAGGTCGATCAGGGAGGAAGTGATCTCAATGGCACGCTCTCCGGCCAAGGGAGCGGTGACGTTGGGGAGGTGTGAGTCAGAGGTCGTGTACAGGTGGATACTGTGCATATCAATCAAGGGGACTGCACTGGTGGAAAGCTCGGAGTGAGCAGGAAGAAGACAGTGCTTCAAGGTGTAGTGATCCCAGGAGGCGAAACCGGTTTGGCCGCAGAGGATCAAGACGAGACTAGGGTCGAGAAGCTTGAGAGCTATGGATGTCATTAGTATGTTGCTCGTTCAACATGATCGAGTTGTGAAGCTACCTTTGGCCCATTGGTAGGCTTTGTGTGCGTATGCCTCCTGGGTCATTTGCTCAACCTGCCATGGCCCCCATACTTCATTTCCAAGGGCCCAGTATTTGACCTAGATCTATCAGTCAATATAAGAAAGTCGTGGAGATAAAGAACTGCTTACATTGTATGGCTCCTCACGGCCATGCTTCCGGCGAAGGTTGGCATAGTAGGTATCTCTAGTACCATTGCAGTAATCAACCCAAGCGAGTGCTGCATATTTGAGTTAGCTTAACCTTCGAAGTATAACTCAAAAGTCGAGAGTGACTAATATACCTTCATCAAGAGTACCTATTGATTGATCAGTGAAAGTTTCGATGATACAAAAATTGTGTCACTTACCAGTTCCGAAGTTCAAGCAGAGATAGGGCTCAGTTCCAAGTACCTCGCACCACTTCATGAACTCATCCGTTCCGAATTGGTTTGTCTCTGTTCCCAGCCAGGCTAACTCAGGTCTAAGTAGGAAGATATTACAATCAGTACATGGTGAACGCTTGTGTTACAGGTAGCAAGTGTAAGAGAAAGGAGTGAGGCGGATGCAGAGTTATCCAGGACATCGAAGATAGGAAAGTGAACAAGTGAAGCACTCAAGGCTGCAACAACATACCTGGAAGGCCGGTTCTCTCTCGGGCCAACACCATCAATCCAGTGGTACGTTGCCATGAAGTTGCCACCGGGATAGCGGACGACAGGGATGTTTAGCTCCTTGAGGGCTTCGATCACATCCGTTCTGAAACCATTCTCATCCGATAGCTTGTTTCCTGGGTCATAGATGCCACCGTAGATGCATCGGCCCATGTGCCTTTCCAAAGTGTTAGCTGCGTAAGTACTAGGATCATGGCAGGCCCTTGAGCTTACTCTGTAAAACCCGCATAGATGTTGGGGTTGATCTTAGAAATGCGCCTTGTTGGGTGGATGGAAATACTAGGCGCATCCTGGTCGTTAAGCTTTGTAAAGGTGGTCATGGCGGCAAAGGAAAAAAAAGCAGGAAAGAGGCTTGAGAAGACGAGATCCGATTGGTATGAGGAAAATAAAATGTACAAAGGGATCGTAGGCAGGTCTCTTCTTTCCCCAAGTACACTGGATGCATTGCTGTCGACATGGCAGACCGGCAACTAATATTAATGTGCTGAAGCTATGGAAGCCCGCCAGGATGAATCGGGCAAATCCCCTGCGGGGTTGGTCCGGACTTGGGCCGATCTCAGTAGAGAGCAAACGAGCGATGGACAGTCAGGTTACTGTTTGGGGTGCAAGCGAATTGTTTCGACGCCGTTGTCGCGGAGGATGAAGCCGAGGCAACGCCACGGCAAATTTCCGTCAATCAGCATGTGCGCCGTGACAAGTCTCGCTTCCCATCCCAGGCATCGTGTAGACGCCCGCATCCCGCTATCACAAAGCGTTGCTTGGCTGCGCAAGACCACACATGCCGATAGGTCATGCATGGCATGGTAATTCGATTGGCTCCGCAGGTGTTATGAGCCTTGCATCCCGAGCAGGATGAAGCTGGCAAGCAAGAAACCCTGTCCGGGGGGACCACCAAATCGTCTAGTCCACCGAAACCTCCACCGGTCTTTTCGTGAACTGGGAAAGTCACGATGTCATGATCATGACCCGGTTGAGGAGGGAGGACAAGCCCGGGATTGCCCCAGATTCTGGGCCTACACGTGGGTTGAGTGGCTGTCATCCCCGGATGTTCATAAAGGCCCGCAAACCCTGAACCTGGGGTGGAATCTCCGCATTTTTCATCTGTGATCTTCCTTAGCGAATGATCAAATCCACTGGCTCCACTGTGGTCATTGCAGATTCAAGCCCTTCAACATGCGTCTCTCTCCGGCATGGTACCAGGTAAGTCTTCGAAGAACCAGTTTGTAGGTATAGGCATTAGCATGCTGATGTTCATTCTTTCTCCAGTTCTTGGTCGGTGTCTTCGCCTCTGTCGGCTCGTTCCTTTATGGATGTATGTATACATAATGTCGCTGCTTTTTCGCTTCGTCGACGCTAATAGGCATACTTGCAGACGATCTGGGTGTGATTGCGGAGGTCATCGCCAGTGGTTCTTTCATGACTAAATTCAATCCGGACAGTACTCAACAGTAAGTTCCATCGTTATAACGTCGTGCTGCATGACTCTGACAGGCGTTCAGAGGTCTCGTTGTCTCCATGTTCACTGCAGGTGCTTTCTGCGGTGCAGCATTCGCAGGTCCTACTGGTGATCGACTGGGTCGACGATGGACCATCGCTATCGGCTGTCTGATTTTCTGCCTTGGCGGAGGTCTTCAGACTGGAGCTCGGTCAATTGAATTCTTGTACAGCGGAAGATTCTTTGCCGGTCTTGGGTAAGTCTCACATTTCAGGCATAGTGGTGGAGAGGAGGACGTATGAAGAACATGTGCTGACACTCCCACGTCTGCAGAGTCGGCTTCCTTACCATGATCATTCCCCTTTACCAAGCTGAGATCTGCCACCCTGACATTCGAGGTCGAGTCACAGCGCTACAACAGTTCATGCTTGGTGTCGGTTCGCTGTGTGCAGCCTGGATTTCTTATGGCACATACATTGGCTTCTCCCCGACCAACGATGCCCAGTGGCAAGTGCCCCTTGGTCTGCAGATCGCACCAGCTGTTTGTCTGGGTCTTCTCATCATGTTCTTCCCAGAGGTAAGGCTCATCATATCATGGATCATCGTCGATATTCGAGTACATCTCGCTAACCAATCATCAGTCTCCTCGTTGGCTTATCGATCACGGTAAACATGAAGAAGGTCTAAAGACGCTGGCCCAGCTTCATGCTCATGGTAACGAGGATGACTCGTGGGTGCGTGCGGAATACCAGCAAATTCAAGAGAGTATCAAGTTTGAACATGATAATGAGGCCAAATCTTACGCGGAACTCTTCACCTCGCGCTCTTCCTTCCGTCGCCTGTTCCTCTGCTGTGCTCTTCAGGCGTCCGTACAGATGACGGGTGTATCTGCCATCCAGTAAGTGCACTCTATATCATAGGAAAACGTCAAGTTGAACTAACCGCTCACAATCCGACAGGTACTATTCCGTGACAATCTACAAGCAAATCGGTATCGCCGGTGACGATACCCTTCGGTACCAGGCCATCAACTCCATCATCGCCTTGGTCGCTCAATTCCTCTGCATCATGTTCATCGATCGCTTCGGTCGTCGTTGGACTTTGATCGGTGGCAACTTGGGCAATTGTGTCACCTTCATCATCGCCTGTGCTCTTCTCGCCAAGTTTCCTCCAGAGGCCAACAACACAGGCGCTCACTGGGGCTTCATCATCATGACCTGGCTGTACAACTTCTCATTCTCGTGCACTTGCGGTCCCCTGTCGTGGATCATTCCCGCAGAGGTCTTCGACACACGGACACGTTCCAAGGGTGTGTCGCTGGCTTGCATGATTTCCTATGCCTTCAACACCATGATCGGCCAAGTGACCCCCATTGCGATGGAGAGCATTCGCTACAAGTACTACTTCCTATTCATCATCTGTAACTTCACGAACGCCGTGTTCTTCTGGCTTCTTCTTCCTGAGACCAAGAAGCTTCCTCTTGAGGAGATGAATGCCCTCTTCTCCAATTCCCCTTGGATTGTGGTTGGAACACGCAAGGAAGACTATATCACCAACGACTTGGAGCGCCGTGTCGAGGAACAGGAGGAGAAGAGGGGCGCCTTTGCGACACACGCTGAAGCTCACGAGTAGAGGATTTGATGGCGTATGCGATACGCATGTCTATCGCTGCTGTCTGCGGGGGGTTGCACCCTAAGTGTGCGGAGAGGAGCTTTGAAGAGTCCTAGTATGACGGGGGACTTCTGGCCTCCCTAATTAATTGTTAGCATGTGGCAGTATGTAGTGACTTCGATAATACCCCTGATATAGTCACAGAAATCATGAATTGAAGGTATAATTGAATAGGATACGGCATCCATGACGTGTGTAAAATGTCTTCCTGCCGTGATGTTACTTCTCTTGCGGGGGAAAGTCACATGGCCACCCATAAGGTCTCACTCTTATGGTTTGCGCCCTTACGTGGGACAAAATGAGATTGGTTTGCTACACATCAATTGGAATCTTACATTGCAGGATAGAGATATCTAGGAGTTCGGCTCGCTGTCCGGTCCGTGCTTCTCCCTGCTTTCCCAGGACATTTGCATCTCTTGCAATGGCATGAACTCGGAACATCGTCCATTTCCTGGCCCCTTCAGCATCACCAAACATGAACCTGCTAGGATTGCTGCGAAAAAAGATGCCAAACAATCATCCACGGTCATCACAGCAAAAAGCACCACTCTACTTGTCGACATTCCTTCAACTCAACTGGCAACAACGCCATCTTCTCTTCAGAGTCTGTGCAAATTGGACTACTGAAAGGCGATGCCAAGCGAACCTCTGTATGGTATCATTAATGACCGATCATCGCATAGTTTCTTTCTGCCGGATTAACTACCGCCACATACAACGAGTGACGCAACCGAGCACCACGGAGCTGGGTTGACAAAATCGTAGCGTACAGGCGAGGGAAAGGTCATTCAAATCGCTTCATCAATCACATAGCTTATTCAGAGTCAGAACTATACCCAGCAAGACCGAGGGACAATGAAGGTGGATTCGCTGTCGGCTTAAGTACCGGTTTCTCCATGCTCGTGCTCTTCTTCGGGGATTGTCCAGTTTTAACAGCACTTTCGGCAGTGGCTGAGGTTTTCGACTTTTCACTGCCTTTCTGTGCTGATGTAGACTGTTGTTGACTTGTTTCTGCCGGGGACTTCTTAGATGCAGATTGGGGTGACTGTTCGCCTGTCGGACTTGCGGCAGAATCACCACTGAATGACTTGCGTTTCTTCCCCGGAACAAGGAGGTCCCTGCTCTTCTCGCGTCGCCTCTTACGCGCAGGCAACTTCCAGTCCTCCCCTTCGGCTGCCGGAACCACGTCTGCAGATGTATCTTCAAGAAGTGTCTTTTCCGCCTCTTCCCGCTGTCGTCGGAACAATTCTAATCCTTCCGCAGTCTCCTTTCTCACAGCAGCCTCCTTTGCTCGCGTTGATTCCATTATCGAGTCAAGAAAGTCGACCTCATCTTCGTCCAGCGATCGGAATTGGTTCTTCAGCTTGATTTTCTCTTCGAAGGCTTCTTGCTTCGCCACTATGCGACAACGACAGATCACCCTAACATGTCAATCCAGGGAGTTCATGCAAGCCTTAGACTTTGCAGAAGAGCATGTTGATGTAACTCACTCTTGTTTTGCTGAAGCACTTCAAACAGACTCTTTCCCCCATCCTGTTTTCCCAGCTCCGCTTTGCGCCGGCGTTCCTCCTCGAGCTCTTGCTGCACACGGTACCAATCGTCATCGCGTTCGACTGGCTCTTGATCCGTCCCCGCAGATACAAATCCGGATGACATGTTGGGAGGTTAATGTGGCAGTTGATATAGGGTCCCTCGCGGCTGGGGTGTTGCGGCTTCTCCGCGGATACGGATAACGTCCTGAACGGTCAAGCGGACCTAGCGAATGAGAGTATTAGGGGCATAAGTTGTTGCCCACTGTTAGCTGCACTACCTGAGCACCTTGCTGGCTGTGGCTCTCGAGCGCCGTAAGTTCAAGCGATAAAGTCAATATGCCTGCGTCACTGAACCACTGTTGAATTGTGGTCTCCTAGAATTCAACCGCGTTCTGGATAGGGAGCCACAGTGGACTGGCAGAATCGAGCGGTGAAAAGAGAGACCTGATATCAATTGGTTCCTTTGAGCGGAACCCCACCAAAGCGGAGAATCGAGTTTAGGCAAAATGCCGCATTACTAGTGATTTCTCTGGGGGAAGATTGCCATAATCTGCAGCGTTAAAGCCGAACGTGGTGTAAAACCTGGAGCTGATTATTATTTGCACAAAAACAAGGTTTGCAACTGCTTTGTGGCCAGTCATTTACACTATCTTTGCTTGGTCAGCAATGCGCAGCTTCGGTTAGTTATTCTGAGTTCACATGTTTGGACTTCTTACTAGAAGCTCTCGGTTAAATAAATTTTTGTCCCAAATCAGTGGTCAACCACAGAATTCAGTAAGATAGATACTATACTCCGAATAAACCAAGTCCAAGTAGGTAGACCTGTTTCTAATGATTTTTGCGACAGGTCAATTTGAGCACTAGATGTGATCTAGTCGTTGTAGCACTAGCTGATACGCTCGAGACCTCTTGTACCATTTGGGGCATTGTAGCACCATGCTGTGTTAGTGAGCGGTTAATTCTCTGCGATAGCAGATTGGCAACGAGATGACCATGCCCGCAGTGTCGTGTATCGGTTTCAGATTGCGACTGGACATGATTGGGTCCCCTCATAGATAGTTACCTGGGCAAAAAGGCCCTTTGGGATCCGTCTATGAATTGTCCCCACCATTGAACGGAACCCCTCAATCCGACTATCGTCATCGCTCCGCTCATAGCGTGCTGGATGGACCTGCCTCCTCATCACGGTTTATCGGCTTCCAGAGCTACTCAGCCCCCGGCGCCTATAAAGTCGGTCTAAATCTTCATTCTGCTTGTTCGATTTTTCCTTACTCTTCTTTCCCCCGTTCAATTCCTCTTACACTCGAAACTCTTGTGAAAATTCCCCTCAGGTACCATCTAAACAAGCCGCAATGTCGAACCTTGAGCACACCAAGTAAGCCAGCTGGCCCCACCAACAGCCCCAATTGGTTTGTTTGACTTACACTTATGATTCTGCAGGAAAACTTACACCCTCAACACTGGTGATAAGATCCCAGCTGTCGGCCTGGGTACATGGCAGAGTGGACCCAACCAGGTCAGAGAGGCTGTCAAGAATGCCCTCTTGAAGGGTTACCGCCACATTGACACGTAAGTCAAGCAATGCGACTGATCCGGAGCCTCATGCGATTTCCATACTGATAATCTTTGCGCGGCAGTGCCCTTGCTTACGGCAACGAGGCTGAGGTCGGCCAGGGCATCAAGGACTCTGGTGTCCCTCGCGAGGAGATCTGGATCACGACCAAGCTCAACAACACCTGGCACCACCGCGTCGCCGAGGGCATTGACTCTTCTCTCAAGAGCCTCGGAGTTGACTACGTTGACCTCTATCTTATCCACTGGCCTTGCGCCACCGACCCCAATGACACTTCGAAGCACCTTCCCGACTGGGACTTCATCAAGACCTGGTACGAAGCCATTACCCTTCATAGAACCGGTGAGAGTGAATTGGTATACTGATTAGTGCGGAAATTCAGGCAAGAGATGCAGAAGCTGCCCGCCACCGGCAAGGTCCGTAACATCGGTGTTTCCAACTTCGGAATCAAGAACCTTGAGAAGCTTCTGAACGACCCAAGCACCAAGATCGTTCCGGCCGTCAACCAGATCGAGTTGCACCCCAACAACCCCTCTCCCAAGCTGGTGGCCTACAACACCTCCAAGGGCATCCACTCCACCGGCTACTCCTGCCTCGGCTCGACCAACTCTCCTCTCTACAAGGATAGGACCCTCTTGGACCTCGCCGAGAAGAAGGGCAAGACTCCCCAGCAGGTTCTCCTTGTGTGGGGCTTGAACAAGGGTTGGAGTGTTATTCCCAAGTCCGTCAGCAAGGAGCGCATTGATGCTAACTTCGAGCTCGACGGCTGGGACCTGACCGAGGAGGAGGTCAACCAGCTGGACAACTTGAAGGATCGCTTCAAGGTTTGCGGTGATGACTGGCTCCCTATCAAGGTGTTCTTTGGCGACGACGAGTGAACGACTGTTACGATACGAAACAAAACAAGTTCTAGATTATAGATTCAATGTACATACAATTGATTGATGAACAAACATACCTCTCAGGTAATAGAAAGGCTCGGCCTGTCTCAGCTCTTATTTGAGATTTAGCTTATCTCTTCTGTTCCCTCCGGGGTAAGCCGTTCAATCATGTGAGAAAGAATGTAGATGTATGTCTCAAGAGCAGGAAACATTTTGCGGGGTAAATACGGGGCGGAGATATGAACGAATGCGGGTGCGCTGTACTCGGCCAACACAACTGATGAACCCCTATGGACTATTGGAAAATGTAAGAGCAAGATCATACCAAAAATGAGATTTGACTCATACGATTAGTCCAGTCTGGTTTGATGTCGAGTTGCCACATCAAACCACCTTCGGGGCACGTGGATCCGGATCACATGCTGCACCGCCACCCGCCACCCGCCGTCTCCCTCGTCATCACCTCATCCAACCCCGTCCTATCTCCTTTCTTCCTACAACCGCCCAGGGATGGTCATTCCACCTTATCTCCATTTTTAGTTCTATTATCTGTTGCAGTCAGGATGCCGCCTTCTAACGGGCACCTGCTGCTCCCCAAGGTGTGGAGAGCGGCCAGGTGAGTCATTTGCCACATAGATACGCCGCCGAGTACTAGCTGCTAATACGTCTCTTGGTAGGTCTGCCTACGAGAAGGCATGCAAGACACTAAGATCGAAATTCCCCGAGCAACTTCCTCAGGGCTCGCTTCGACTCCAACCTGAATATGTGAGAGTTGCTCACAGACAACCTATAAACCGAGCGGCTGCTATTCGTCAAGCCCGTAGTCGTCAATTCTCGACCCGTGCGGCGGGATCCTTCGTCTCTTATCTCCGCAGTGGTCTTCAAGCGGATCGCGCTGCGACGACGAAGGTATCGTCTGTTGCATCCAATGTTAGCCGGTTGACAACTCGTGCTCCATTCGCGTCAGCGCTCCGCCCGAACTTGACGGGTGGCACCTTAGGCCGCACGGCTGGAGGCTATACAATTGGTGCCGGCCGCATCGGCGGTGCGCGGTACTTCTCGCATGGCCCAGCTGCACCTGCTCAAGTCATTAACAACGTGTCTATGGGTGTGCGGGCGTTCTTTCTTTCCGGTCAGAAGGCTCGCTTCGATGGAGTTGACCCTATCACTGGGAATAAGCGGTACAAGGCCGTTAGCAAGCTTCAAGACGAGGCTGAGCGGAAGATGTCTGCCATCCCTCGTACGGCTCCCGGGTCTTTCATTGATTTCCAGATCGCTCCTACCATCACCGCCTTTGGCTTGCAGAAGAACCTGGCTGCCACTGGCACCTATGATGATCAGACGCTCAACTCGGAGGGTCTCCTGGATTTGCTGTCTGCCGATTTTGCCCGAGCTCTCAAGGATCTGGCTGTCGTTCTCAACGACTTGAAGCGTCTGAAGACATTGGGTGACATGCCCATTCTGCTACATGACCGATCCACGATCAGAGTGCGTTTCCCAGGGTGCGATGCTCAAACAGTTGAGCGGCTATGTGACGAGGCGGGCATCCAACGAGGGAAGATCATGCAAGACGAGGAGTTCGACCTCCATACGGGTGCTGATCTTGCCCTTCTGTTCCCGTTTGCTCCCAGCATCCCGGCGTCTTCAGAGGCGGACGACTACTTCTATAAGTTTCAGGCCATGCAGTCCCAGGCTCCGGAACAAGTCGATTGGCATGCCATGATGTCCCCCGAGAAGCATAGCGACGCATCGCCTAGTGTGCACAGACAACCCTCCAACCAGGTCAGCTTCGAGGATGTGACAATTTTCGCCGAGAATCCCTGGGCATCGCCTTTATCAGATTATTCCAGCATCAACGTGAGCGAGCTTGGTGATCATACCTACTTTCATGAGACTCTAAGCAGTGGTGTCCCTGTCACCACTTCTGAATACGACGGATCGGACGGAATCCGCAAGTTTATCGCTGAATGCGACAGGGCTGCGCGATTTTGAAGCACATACCATCTTTTGCCCTCGAACATTTGTTCCTTATTTCCCTGCGTTATGCTTTTTTTGTTTCTACATGTAAACAAGCGAATCACGAGTATGCCAGGCAACTCTGATCTACCAGCCATCTATCATACGATGGATGTTCATACTCAACACATATACCACTATTGCAATTCGAATTGATAATTAGCTTCTCTGCGCGCCAGGAATACCATATATCCGATACATCCCATCTTCAAGTAATATCAGCAATATTATAAGTTTCGCTCAGCGCACACGGGTGGGTAGTAGGGCCGCAAGGCCGATTTCGACTAGATCAGCAACTACAGGTGCGACGATCTTGTGGAAGAAAGGCTCCGCTCCTTTGCATTATTTAGTCGGTGTCGTTTATGTCAATTCCCAAGCCCCGAATCTAGTCTCTTAAAACAAAACGCCCGGTGCTTCAGGATGTCAACGTGCAGGTCGCATTTGTCAAATAGCCATGTCAACTCGCGAAACTCTTGGCCATGCACTTTGAAGATCATATTTGGGGAGATGATTGATCTGGCGTCACTCACTGGAGCGATCAAGTCAGATGAGTCTGTTCCCGTGCAGGGCTGGAAGAAGATCAAAGGACGATCTTCCTCGTTCGGCCCATTTATGCCACAGAGAGTCCGTCTTGAGCAATTAACAACGCGGGCATCTGGACTTCACTCTCAAGAAAAAGGAATTAGTAAAATGTCTTATTACACGGATTGCAATACTCTCTTGCACCTGGCCAATCACATTGTGGAATTGCTCTAGCAGAATGGTGTGTATGCGTTCTGTCCGTCTTTTTGGTGGTTTCGGTCATGTCGTGAGATGTCTTTGGCCTGGCATGTATTAGAAGACGTTTACCAGTACTTCAAATGAAGATTGAATATCTTCGAAAGAACAAGTCCGTTGCTGCCAGCACGTCGAGGTTCGATTCAGTACTAAACTTCATATATTGCATCCACCGCCAAGATGAAAGTGCTTTGGACGCTTGCTCCATTTCTCCTGACTGCCGTAGAGGCTCGCTCTGCTGCAAGCACAACGGCCAACTCAGCAAGCGCCGCAACTTCGGCTTCGACTGCTGCTATCAGCGGCAACCCTTTTAGCGGGTATCAGCTCTATGCCAACCCTTACTACAAATCCGAGGCGGAGAGCCTGGCGATTCCATCCATGTCTGCCTCGCTTGCAGCAAAGGCCAGCACCGCTGCGGAGGTCCCATCGTTTTACTGGATGTGAGTGATCGCAAACGCCATGAGACATTCTATATCAGACGGCTGACAAGGCGTGATGCGGATCAGTGACACCGCCGATAAGGTTTCCACGATGGGGACATACCTCAAGGACATCAAGGTCCAGAATGCAGCTGGCGCAAAACCTCCCATCGCAGGCATATTCGTCGTCTACGACCTGCCTGACCGCGATTATTCCGCCTGGCAAGCAACGGAGAGTGCTCCATCAGCGACGGCGGCGTGGGAAAGTACAAGCGTACATCGATTCAATCCGCGCGCATATCCTGGCATACTCCGATGTTCGGCCTATTTTGATCATCGGTGAGTTTGCTTTGGCACTTGATACTCTTTTCTGATGGACTCAAAACACTGACGTTGACCGCAACCAGAACCCGACAGCTTAACCAACCTTGTGGCGAATCTCAACATCGCCAAATGTGCTAATGCCCAGTCCGCATATCTGGAGTGCACCAACTATGTCCTCAAGCAGCCGAATCTGCCGAATGTGGCCGTGTACCTCGACGCTGGTATGTGAAAGCAAAAACGGTTGAGATGGTTACTGAGATTGACATGATCGCTTTTCTAGGCCATGCGGGCTGGCTGGGCTGGCCCGCCAATATCCAACCGGCCGCAGAACTATACGCGTCGGTCTATTCGAACGCCTCGTCGCCAGCTGCTGTCCGTGGCCTGGCAACTAATGTAGCCAACTACAACGCATGGAGTGTCTCCTCGTGCCCATCCTACACCTCCGGGAACAATGTCTGCGACGAGCAGAGCTACATCAACGCGTTCGCTCCGAAGCTGGCTAGTGCTAGGTTCGAGGCCTTTTACATTGTGGATACAGGTGAATTGAAGGAGCACCTGCGAGCAGATTGGGCGAGCAGCTGATAAGTTGTTATCACAGGCTGTGCTGGGAAGCAGCCAACGGGACAGAGTGCATGGGGTGACTGGTGCAATATCAAGGGCACCGGGTTCGTGGCTCGACCATCTACCGGCACTGGGAACGAGCTCGCTGATGCGTCCTTTTGAGTCAAGCCAGGTGGAGAGAGTGATGAGACTTCGGATAGCAGCTCGGCGCGCTATGATGCTCACTGTGGGTATTCTGATGCCCTGCAGCCTGCCCCCGAGGCTGGCACTTGGTTCCAGGTAGGTGTTGGTCCTATGCCTGCTGTATTAATTCAGTTTGGGTGCTGACATGATTATTAGGCATACTTTGAGCAGTTTCTCACGAAGGCTAGCCCGGCCTTCTAGTTTGAAGCCAAAATATCTCTCATTTGAGAGATACTACCATGCTAGGGATGTTTTATGTCATGATATATACTAGTATACTGCGATGAGGATTGGAACCTGATATCAGTGGCTTTGAGTTCCATAGCGCTATTGGTGACATGGTACTCATAGCTGGGTTGACTACTTGCGCAGTAGGGAGGTTGAGCCGTATACTTGATATGCAACTTATCAATAAGATCAGCATTCTACAAACGAGTAAGATAAGGCACGTGGTACAGAGTATAAGAGAGGCATGGAGGGCAGCAAAGGCGGTAAGATAACACCCGTACAAGCTCACCGCCAACCCCGCGCTAAACTAGAAGGAGGGTGATCCGATCCACTGATAACAGTCCATCCGCATGGAGATTCACACACTGCAACTATCTTGAATCTGGAAGCTCATTTACTCATACGACATCCCCGACCCTCTCCGCTTTTCCAAGAACATCGATCCTTACATGATTTGAAAGGGAGACATTTAGCCGGTACAGTTCTGGGGACTCTCCTGTGCTGGGGTTGTCCGACCGGGTCTCAGCAACTGCGACAAGTTCATCGAAGAAATCATAATATCTTTTGATCCTACCCCTCTCGATTAGCCGCCGCCCAGACAATATGGAGGACTTCAACAGTGAGACTGATAGCGACTACACCAGCTACTGGAGAGATTGGGTAAGGCGCCTCTATATTGCCTATCTATTCCCTTTTCCCCGTGATCGATGCGGATCGCGCTTCGATGGCAAGTGTACGAGGACAGGTGTAGGGGATATGTTCTGGAAAAAGCATGAAAACAGATGCGGAGGCAGCTATGTCTCAAGCGAATTCTGTCCTCACCATTTTTGGTTGGCATGTGTTGAGCTCCAACGGACATTCCCATTTCACGATGGCTGTACTTCTGCATTGAATCTCTACATCTTCCCCTTTTAACTCACATTCGTCCCACGTCAACATTGTCCTTGCTCATTCGATTGATTCCTCGGAAACCTGTGACTAACTTCTCTGGCAAGTTCATCTCTTCACGGGGCAATGAGTACTTTTGCGAAATCGACGAAGACTACCTTACGGACCGCTTCAACTTGACCGGTCTGAACACCGAAGTCGCATACTACCAGTACGCCCTGGACCTAGTGACAGATGTGTTCGATCTCGACGCAGACGACGACCTACGCGAGCAGATTGAGAAGTCGGCACGCCATCTGTACGGCCTAGTCCATGCGAGATACATCGTCACCACCCGAGGCCTTGCTAAGATGGTAAGAAGACCGAGGCTTTTTGTCCCCGCGGCCATCACTGACCACTCTAAATAGGTTGACAAGCTCAAGCGCGGCGATTTCGGCAAGTGCCCCCGTGTCATGTGCGAGGGCCACCCGCTCTTGCCGATGGGCCAGCACGATACTCCCAACATGAGCACCGTCCGGCTCTACTGCTCCCGATGCGAGGACGTCTACCACCCCAAGTCGTCCCGCCACGCCTCGATCGACGGAGCCTACTTCGGCACCTCCTTCCACAGCATGCTCTTCCAGGTGTACCCCGCGTTGATGCCGGAGAAGAGCATCCGCCGCTACGAGCCCCGCGTATTCGGATTCAAGGTGCACGCCAGCGCCGCGTTGGCCCGCTGGCAGGATCAGTATCGCGAAGATATGAAGACGGCTCTCCGCGACGTCGGAGTCGAGGTCAAATACATCGAAGACGACAGCGAAGAAGACCAGGAAGAAGACGACGACGATGAGCCGATCTCGGAGACCAAGGGAGAGGAGAAGGTTATCGGCGACGCTGCTTCGGGCCGTATGGACCTCGGCAATTAAAGTAAAGCGGTGTTCAAATTTTTTTTCTCTCTACATCTCCCTCTCTCATCACATCTGGCTACACATCCTCTATCGTCCTTGAAAACGGAGTTGTTGTCTCCTTTTACCCCCTTACCATATATTTCAATTGCATTACATCCTTCTGAAACCACTCATATGCATTTCAAGGATCGGCCATGTTTTCTTTTTCTTCTTTACCCTCCGTCTCATATTTTCCCTTCAAGTTAATGTTTGCTGAGAATTGCAGAAGGGGAGAAGACGAGGATTATTTCATCTTTTTCTCTCGTGTCTCGAAAATATCTCATGTTACTTTGCATTTATGATTATGAAACACTGGTGGCGTTGGAAGTCCTTCCGGAGATGGCGGGTTCTGTTTCTATCTTCCTTCTGATGTGAACTAGTTTCTTCTTTCCGGCCGCCCGGCTTCAGGATATACATTCGATACTACGGCTTGATTGATTCTTTTGGCTTCATTCGTGTCTGTCTCTTGGTGAAGAACGAAGACACATGGTGGACTGCGTTGTCTCTCTTACGGAGTCATTACCATCTACATGCTTGCATACTTGCAAATGTGGTCATTGGTAGGAGCGCTATGAAATCCGGTCGTAAATGCATTGAGAATGTAAGTCTAGGTCGTGTATCCTTAATATGTGCAGCAATAAAAAAGAAAGAAAGGGGGAAAAGAAGATGTAGATCACCCCTGCAGCTCCAGGAGCTTCTCCAGCGTGAAGGCAACGGCCCGCGCCAGCTCGATTCCCTTGTCCCAAGGATCGTCGTGCGCGCCTTCAACTGCCAGCATCTCCACCAGTTTCTTTCCGCTCTGAAAAGAAGAAGAGGAAGACCAGGGCTCCAAGGCCTCCCTCATCACCTCCTGCTGACGCACATTAACCAGCTCATCATCCACCGAGTGCGCCAACACCGCCAACCGCCCGGCCGTCCACCCACCCACTATCCCGTCCTTCTCATCCCGAACCACCGCAGGAGACACCGCATCCCACGGCTCCTCTTCGGCGCCAAACGCCCCCTCGATGATCTGCTGATATGCCGAGATACTCGCATGATCATCCCGCAAGAGCCGTAGGTCATAGATGCCCGCCATCCCCAGAATCGCCTGGGGACCCGTCGCAACCGCCCCGCTGCCGCTGCCACCGCCACTGGGACCCTGATTGCGAAACCGACCCATCACCGTCTGGAACGCCAGCGTTGCGCCGCAGCTGTGTCCGACGAGGATGTAGCGATCCCCGAATGCGTACTTGCGCTGCAGGAACGCCAGCGCGGCCTGCACGTCGGCGATGTGGTCCGGGTGCACGGCGGCGCGGTATTCCTTTGGGTCGGTGATGTTGCGGTCCTGCGGGTGGTCCGGGTGCGGGCTGAGGCGGTAGTTGATGGAAGCGAAGCCGGCGACGTGGGCGTGGGTGGTCGAGGCGTAGGGTTCTGAGGCTGTGAGGATCGAGGCCGCTGGGGCGAAGTAGTTGAGCGCTGTTTGCGTGGGATCGCGCCAGGCTCCGCCGTGGATAAAGCTGTTTTTGTGATTTAGGTATGGTTAGTGATTGTTCTGGTATATGTCGGTTCTTAGAAAGGAAGATGGAGGTCTGCGTATGAGTATGTGGCATGGTAGGGGGCGAGGGATGGGGAGGGGGTCAACGTACATTATCCAGTAACCTTTGTCGGGGAACCCCGATAAGGTACTTATGGTCACGGTCTGGAGGGCATGTTGGGTTCCATAAGAAAAGGTTTCAGGGATCATTTGATCGGCTGCAATCTTAGAAGGGATAGACATTGGCTAATGACTGGGAGATTAGAGGTTAGAATGCTGGGAGGGGCGGTAGAATAAAGGGGATTGGAGGCATAAATCAAGAGAGTCATTATGATGGAAGTGCTGTTGGAGAGTCTGGTTAGCTTGGCGTAGGTTTGGCCTGTGGAGTGATTGAGTATTGGCCGGACTGGCTAGGCTTATCGCGACCCAGCACTGATAGACAGATGGTTCAGGGTCGGACTCCATGGAATCTGAGCGAATGCGAGATTCCAGTATTGGACCTCCATAATACATGACTGAGGAGGCATCACTGGAGTGCATTTGTTAAGAGGAATGGAAGGTCGATGCGTCGGCAGGTACAGAGTAGAAGTGACCGCCACTGCGGGCGGGCAAGGCATTGCATTGCCCAACTGGGCAGCGGCGCTTTCTGCCCGTATGGGACTTGGCACACTAGCCACATCGGGTGCTAGGCGGTGGGAGAAATGCTGAATTCCATCCACACAAACCATCGCCGCCGTTCAACCCATCGTCGCCGTCTATACACGTATACTCTGGGCTGCTGCATCCAACATGGCGGAGTAAGTGCCTCTATCTGCTCGATAAATTGCTCCAGAGTCAAGGCTAATGTTTAATCAACAGGAAAGAAGTTCCTCTCACGGCCGTCAAGGTCGAGGCCTTGGTATGAAACCACCCTGAAAATCTTCCTCACCCCCCCGCCTTAGACAGCCCGGCCAGTCATGATACTGACAGTGCTCGCCATTAGGTCGTGATGAAAATCATCAAGCACGGCTCCCAATCCTTCCCCACGACTGCGACCGGTTCGATCGTTGGTATGGATGTCAACGGCACCCTGGAGATCACAAACTCTTTCCCCTTCCCCGTCGTCGAGATGCCCGCGGAGTCGCACTTCGACAATGCCGCTCCCAACCCGGCGGCTGCTGCCCCTCGCGCGAAGGCCAACGCCGTCTACCAGGCCGAGATGGTCCGTATGCTTCGCGAGGTCAACGTTGACGCCAACAATGTCGGATGGTACACCAGCGCCAACATGGGCAACTTCGTCAACATGAACGTGATTGAGAACCAGTTCTTTTACCAGAAGGAGATGAACGAGCGGACAGTCGCCCTTGTGCACGATGTCAGCCGCAGTGCACAGGGAAGCTTGAGCTTGCGTGCCTTCCGCCTGTCTCCCAAGTTCATGACCGCTTTCAAGGAGAACAAGTTCACCTCCGAGGAGTAAGTCTTTGTCTCTGGAAATGGAAATGGACTGCGGTTGCTAACATTTATCAGGCTCCAAAAGTCCAACCTGAGATACCAGGACATCTTCGTTGAACTCCCCGTTGAAATCCACAACTCCCACCTGATCACCTCTTTCATCCACCAGCTCCAGTCCCCCATCCAGTCCGCCCCCACCGAGCTGCCCACCTCTTTGTCTGCTCTGGAGTCTGGACCCTTCGCCAAGTCTTCCGTCCTGGCACCCAACTTTGACAACCTCTCCCTCAGCATTGATCCTTTCCTGGAGAAGAACTGCGACCTTCTGCTCGACAGCATCGAGGTTCACCACACCGAGACCAACAACTTCCAGTACTACCAGCGCTCGCTTGCCCGTGAGCAGGCCAAGATCACTGCCTGGCAAAACAAGCGCAAGACTGAGAATGCCAACCGCGCGACCCTCAAGCAGCCTCTCCTCCCTGAGGACGAGTGGCAGCGTCTGTTCAAGCTCCCTCAGGAGCCCAGCCGTCTGGACAGCATGCTGAACAGCCGCCAGGTCGAGCAGTATGCCCGCCAGGTCGACAGCTTCGTTGCCTCCACGACGGGCAAGATGTTCGCCGTCAAGGGTAACCTGCTGCCGGGAGAGACCGCCAAATAGAGCGGAGGATGTGAGAGAAAGCGAGAAGAAGAGGCCGCCTGATATGATTTTGCCTCAAAACTGTGGGGATTCTGGGAATCGCATGCATGACCTTACGGCGTAGGGAGGGAAAATTCTGTATCTGACTGTTAATATGTCTCCTGGTTGTTTCTTATTCCAGTGACGAATAGAGTTACGGGATATGATTTTGAGAGATTTTTTCTTCTTTCAATCTATATAGGTTTTTTTTTTCATTTTGTTGTTTATGGGCAGCATTTCCCTCCCGGCCCCGGATCCCAATGCCCATCCGTCTTTCAAGTCTGCATTTCCCCAGGTCCGAGGTCGTTTTGAGGCTTGGCCGCTTTGGGATTGGCGTTGCCCTAACTGCCTTGTTAGGGCCAAGCTGCACACGTGCTGGTTTTGATGACCTCATCATTTGATACCTTTGCTGCCGATAACGATTAGATAAGGATAGATACAATGACGATTGCTTCATCCTGGTTCACTCCTGTCTTCAATTTGACGCTGATAGACAGACATTGGGTCCGTATGGTAGTAGACCATGCCGAGCAGCAATTCCGACATATGGCTCGTAAGTTTTTCGGTCTTGTCCAATCCGCGCATCCCAAGAGCCTGAAGCAGCAAACCAAGCCATATCCACATCCTCCCATCCCCGTTCCCATGCCCACCTGCATCACCCCCAGAGAAACCTAACATCAGAATCTAGTCCGGCGCCTTCGCCGTAGTCGTCACCGACTTCATGGTCTACCCCTTCGACACACTGAAAACCCGCATCCAATCGCCAAACTACAGCACCGTATACAAAGACGCAACAACGGGGAACGTAAAGCGGTCGCTATTATTCAAAGGCCTCTACCAAGGCGTAAGAAGCGTCGTACTAGCGACAATCCCAGCCTGTACGTCACACATCCCCATACAGAACCTAAATCTCACAAGAGTGATAAAGCAGGAGCATTCTTCACAACCTACGAATCCATCAAACAAACCCTCACGCACCTCTCCACGAGTACCACCACCACCACCACCACCAACAACCAAAAGGAATCTATCCTCCCAACACCAGTAATCCACTCCCTGGCCTCCTGCACCGCCGAAGCAGTATCATGCTTCATCCTCACGCCGGCAGAAGTGCTGAAGCAGAATGCGCAGATGGTTAATGATACCGTCGGCGAGAATATTTCCCCAGAGACCCAGGCGAGAACGAGGAAGAGGAGGAGTGTAACGCTTACTGTGCTCCGTCGGTTCAGACATCAGCCCTGGAAGCTCTGGAGCGGGTATACGGCGCTACTGGGCCGGAATCTGCCGTTTAGGGGATTCAGTTTCCGATTTTTGAGTTCGTGAGGGGGAGGGTTGTTGCTTTTCGGGAGCGGGATCGGCGGGGAGGTGAGTCGTCCCAAGAGGGGACGGCTAATGCGCCGGACTCGGATTCAGACTCGAACGCGACCTCCATATCCGAACGTGTATACGTAACCGGTATCGCGGGCAGTGTGGCGGGGACGATCTCCTCGGTAGTAACCACGCCGATAGACGTGGTGAAGACGCGGATGATGCTGGCTGCTACTTCTTCTTCTTCACAAAGTGAAGATCGGAAACAAAAGAGGGGGCCAAGTGCGTGGGCGGTTGGGAAGGAGGTTTATCGGCGTGAGGGGGTGAAGGGTCTCTTCAGGGGGGGTGCGTTAAGGGCGTTCTGGACGGCCATCTCCTTTGGGATTTATCTGGGTATGTATGAGGGGGGAAAGGTGTATTTGGGGAATCGACGGGCGGAGAAAGATGCGCGAGCAGATGAGGGGGCGCCTCTGTAGATAGACTAATTACGCATGAATTGTTTTCCTACTGGAGGGATAGATAGATCGGCTGTCTTAATCAAGGTTTGTCATTTGATAAGAGAGAAAGAAACAGACATTCCATGGTAATCGTACATCATCAATTTTTCAAAGGCAATCATCTAATATCGTCCAATTGGATACAAAGTCGCATCCAAGTAACATAACCAATCACTTATCATCAATCAGGATATCTTCCAAGTTCAGTTTTCGTTGGTCGGTCGTTTCATCATTGTTCATAGTTCATAAAGAAAGAGCGCCACTCCAAAAACACCATTCTTGGACTTTCGTATAAACGTGCTGAGGAACTGCATGCACCCCTCTTGCCATTGGCATTAACCCAGATTGGTCAATTTGCGGAACCAGTTGGGCATTCGGCCATTGCTGACCGGCGGCGGCGCGTAACGCTCATCGTAGCGAGTTTCATACGGCGACCTCATCCCACGGACTCGTTCGTAGTCTCCACTGCCTGAGCTCCGTTCGGAGCGTCGAACCTCGCGTTTCCTGGCGCGGAGCTCGTCGATCTCCTGATCCGTGAGCCCCGGGTATCGGGCTCGGCGGCGAGCGCGGCGGCGCAGTTCACGGCGTGCGTCTTCGTCCGAGGAGATCGAGCCACCATTCGCTGCCTCTTCCGGGCCTGCAGGCATGTCGACAACCGTGGCCATGACCGGCGGCGGTTCAGGCGGATCATCCGCTTGAGAGTCGATCCAGGATGAGGTCTTATCCTTGCGGCCACCAGCCATCATCGGCCGGAATCTCTCCGCATCAGGCGGAGGGGCCCTGGACTTGCGACGTCTCGACCGTTCGCCATTTGCAGATCGTTCCTGAGGATGATGATGAGGAGCTCGGTCGGCGTCCATCATGCCACCGAAATAGAAGTCTTGGGCAGCCCGATCATCGACGTGCATGGTCCGGCGCTTGGACCGGGAGTCGTATGTGGGGGGCGCGGGCGCCGCCTCGTACATCTCCGCCTCGCGCTGCCGTCGCCGCTCGCGCCGCTGCGCAGCCCTAGCTTCGGCCGCCTCGCGGGCCTCTTCCTCTTCTCGGGCACGCCGCTCCCGCTCCTCACGGGCAGCCCGGCGCGCGCGGCGCTCCTCGCGTCGCCGTTCGGCTTCCCTCTCCTCCTCCTCGCGCAGCTGTCTCTCTTGCATCTCCCGCTCCCGTGCCAATTCTCGCTCTCTGCGCCGAGCCCGCCTCTCCTCCGCCTCCCGCCATTCGCTTTCGCGGAGCTGATCCGACGCGGCCTGTTGTCGCGCGGCGCGTCGAGCTCTGCGCGCCGCTCGCCGTGCTTCTGCCTCCTCGGCGTCTGTTTCCGGGAACGCTTCCGCCGGATGCGCATCTGTCAGGAAGCCTTCGCCGTCCATATCCGGCATCTCAGTCCGTCTTCTCCTGCTCTCGTGTCTCATTCGACGCAATTCGTCTCGCTCCGGCTCGGTCATGTACCTAGCATCATCGTCGCGATAAGATCGAGGCCTATGGCGTTCTGCGATGTCGGGTCGAGTCGATCGCCGCAAAGACCCTATTAGGCCCTTAAGACCACTAGGTCCAGGCTCTGGCTTCCTTGGGGTCGTGTTTGATCGTCTGAGCCGTCGCTCCCTTGGGGCTTCGACAAACGCGATATCATCGGGTCCAGAGTACACCTCGGGACCTTGATGATGTTTCTCGTCCATAATGGCAGCGTCGTCCAATTCGTCATGTCGAGATCTCGACTGGTAGGGTGGAATCAGTAATCGAAGCCCATGCACAATGAACAATCTATGCGCTGCTTACCTTGTGTCGAGACCGTCTATCAGAGTGCCGAGATCCTCTTGAGCCACCCTCTCTGGGTGCAGAAGCGTCGAGGTCATCTCGGTCCACCATGACCATATCGTCCTCTTCAATAGCATACGGATCAGGCACTGCTAGTCCGTCATATCAGTATGGGATGCACCAACCAGCAACTAGAATAGATAGTACCTGATCTTCTCCGAGAGCCATGAGGCCGTTCTCGTCTCGAGGAGCCGTTCGTACCCATCATCCTGGCAGCCTTATCCGGTATGTCTCGGTGGTTGTCTGGTGGTGGCGTGGGTAATTTAGTATCGTTCACATCATCGCCATCTTTCACCTCTACGGAGGGGCGTCTTGATATCGGCCTAGACGCTTGGGCTCCAGACTTCTTCATCGACTTCTTCTGGGACGGCGGGGGCATCCCCAGGATAAAGTGGGAGAGTTTCATACCTCGGCTTTGTCGAGCTTCTCTGCGTCGGCGATCCCTGTCAGAAGTAGACGACTTGTCGGCCTCGTTCTCCGGCTCCTCCTTGGACCTGGAATGTCTGGTGGATTTCGAGCGCACCATGAGCGGTGGGGACTGCTCCTGCTCACCCCTATGTCTAGACTCCCTCGGGGGCGGTCTCTTGGAATTGGGAGTCGCAGCCCAGAATCCCCATGACGCAGCACCAGACGTGCGCTCCACGCGGGCTCGCTCTTTCGGGGCCATCTTCTCCGGCTGGGTCTCGATAGGCTCCGGGGGAGGCGTCGGAGGTCCACCGTTACCTACATCGGCCAGTGGAGGATCCACTGGAAGGGCAGCCTGCTCAAGGCTGGGTACTTTCTTGCTCCTCTTCTTCGGCTTTTCAGGTTCTGGGACAGGCACCGCCTCGATTTCTGGCTGCAGCTCGCGCTCTTGCTGGATCTCGAGCTCTGCTTCGGGCTCCAGAGCAGGGGCCGGGGGTTCCTCCGCAACAGGGTCAAGGACAGGCTCCGGCTCCGGCTCGATGGCCTTCTTCTTTTTCTTCTTCTCTGTTTTTGAAGAAGGCACGGGAACAGGCTCGGGTTCGGGTTCGGGCTCTATCACGGGCTCTGGATCAGGTATTGGGGCTGGAGCGGGTTCGGGCTCGGGTTCTGCGGCTGGTTCCGGGATGGGATCAGGGACGGGCACCGGCGCTGGCTCTGGCTCGACTACCTTTGCCTTCTTCTTTTCCTTTTTCTTAGCCTTCTTCGACAACGTTACTGGCTCTGCCACTGGCTCCGGTTCTAGTTGCACCGGTTCAGGAATAGGTTCAGGCTCAGGCTCAGGCTCCTGGGTGGGGGGTTCCGGAACGGGAGGAGGGGGTATATCGTCGTACTCGTCGTCAAACGCGTCAGGAAAGCTTCCAGGTACTAAATCACGCGGACTCTTTCTCGGTCGATATGGCTCAGGCTCAATCTCCACAGGAGTTTCTTCCTGGGGAAGAACTTCCTCAACGACTTCCTCTGCTGGAGGCAGCACGACTTCCTTCGCCTTGGTCTTCCCAGCTTTGTCCTTCAATTTATCCTTCTTTGCCTGCTCCAGAGCCTTGATGCGCTCAGCTAGGGACAGCTTGGCTGATGACTTGGTCTTGGAGGTGACAACAGGAGTCTTTGTTGGCGGGGCGGCTTGTTCCTCGACAACTGGTGGCATTGGCGCCTCGGGCGCTTCGGGCGCTTCTGGCATCTGGGGTGCATCGTCAATGTCGATTAATAAGTCATCGTCAGCAGGCTTGCTCTCCGGCTCAGGCTTAGGCTCAAGCTCGATGGGTTTGGCTTTCTCAGCGGACTTTTTCTTCGTCGCCTTCGGCTTACCCATCGTAGCTGCTCCAAGAGTCGCCCAGAATCCCATTGAAGCCTTTGGCGTCTCCTCAACCCCGAACCCCTTGTTAGCACCCTTGGAAGGCTTGGCATCATAGTCGTCCCAGAGAGGCTCCACTGGCACATGCTCTGTAGGCACATAACCTTCTGGCTCGTGTGTGAACCCCAGAGAAGGAGGAGTAGGTGCAGGCGGTGGTGGTTCCACTGCAATTTTGCTGCCTTTCTTGTTTTTCTTGTCCTTCGCAGAACTACAGATACCCCAGCTTTCTTCCTCGTAGACCTGTTCGGCTTGTATAGGTTCGGGAGCTACTTCTGGTATAGGCTCAGGTGCCGGTTCGGGTACTGTTACTGGCTCGGGCTCCGGTTCCACAACAGGCTCTGGTTCGGGCTCTGGTTCTTTCACTGGTTCCGGGGCGGGTTCAGGAACCGTTTCTGGCTCCGGGGCGGGTTCTTCAGGTTTAGGTGGTGGAGGGGGCGGCCAGTCAAAGTCTTTGCCCGGGACAGGCAGTCCTTTCTTAGCCAGCTGCTTTTCTCTCTTCTTTCGCTCCTTGGAATTCAACTTATCCCAGTTGTCGTACAACGGATTATCTGGGATAGCCGGAGGCTCTGGTTCTGGTTCTGGTTCGGGCTCAGGTTCAAGTACCGGCTCAGGTTCGGGTTCGGGTTCGGCCTCGAGCACTGGCTCGGGCTCAGGTTCTGGCGCTGGCTCTACAGGCTCAGGTACAGGCTCAGGTTCCGGCTCTTGCACCGACTCTTGCACGGGCTCTGGTTCTGGCTCCGGCTCCGGCTCCGGTTCAGCTTTCGGAGGTGGTGGCCATTCGAAGTCTTTGCCAGGAATAGGAAGCCCTTTCTTGACCAACTGTTTCTCTCTCTTCTTCCGGTCCTTAGAGTTTAGGTTCTCCCAGTTATCGTAGAGAGGGCTGTCCGGTATGGCTGGCGCCTCGGGCTCAGGTTCAGGCTCGGGCTCGAGTACTGGCTCGGGTTCAGGCTCAGGCTCTGGCTCAGGTTCAGGTTCAGGTTCAGGTTCAGGTTCAGGTTCAGGTTCAGGTTCAGGTTCAGGCTCTTTCACTGGTTCGGGCTCGGGCTCGGGCTCTGCAGCCTTGCCCTTCTTCTTTTTCTTATCCTTCTTTGACAAGCCCCAGGCTCCCCAATCATCCTCTTCTTTCTTCTCTTCAACAGGCACCGGCTCTGGCTCAGCTGGAGGCTCCAGAGCTGGCTCCTCCACAATGGGCTCTTCCAGAATAGCATTCTTCTTGGCCTTCTTGTCCTTCTTCTTCGTGGTAGAAGTCCAATTATTCCAGTCGTCCTCTGGCGGGGCGGGATCAGCCGCTGCCGGTGGCTCAGGCGCAGTGAGATCTGCAGATGCTGCTTCCTCAATCGGGGCGGCCTCTTTCTTCTTCTTCTTTTTGTCCTTCTTCGAGAGCTGTGCGCCCCAGCCCCAGTCATCATCAGCGATCTCTGGGAGCTTCTCCGGCTCCGGATTTGGCTCAGGTTCTGGCACAGTTTCAGGCTCTTGGACGGGTTCTGGCTCCGGTTCTTTGGGGGGCTCCTCCTCGGCGTCCTTCTTCTTTTTCTTATTGTCCTTCTTGCTCAAGGTGAAGCCGCCCCAGAGATCGTCCTCGGCCTTGGTCTCCTCCCCACTGACAGCAGCGTTGGCGTTATCGGTGCTGTTGCTGACGGGTTCGTCGATACCGCCAAAGCCAAACCCAACACTAGTGGTCGTCTTCGACCCAAAAGACCAAGGGTTGTCCTCCTTCGCCTTGTCGGGTTTGTTCAACGAATCAAGACCCCATTTATTGCCTGTCGAACCCCAGTCTTTGCCCCAGCCGCCGCCGAAGCCGAAATCGACATCTCCGGCGGGGGGAGGCAGACCTAAGTCCAATTGCGGCACATTGTCACTCAGGCTCACCTCCTGGAAACCATTTGTTGCTGGCTCGGGAACAGACTCAGAGATAAGGTCGGCGGCCTGTGTTCACAAGTTACATATACTCTTAGCGATGTGCGTGCTGAAAATGATGAGATAATTGCCTACCTTGCCTTTCTTTTTCTTCTTCTTTCCCGCGGTTGTGAACCCACCCCAGTCATCGTCATTCCCTCCATCCACATCGTCCGCCCAGCTGAGGTTATTGGTAGTGGCAGCGGCCTCTTCGGCTGCTTTTTTCTCCTCTTCCTCTTTAGCTTTCTGCTCCTCCTCTTCCTTGGCCAGTCTCTCCTCTTCCTCTTTCGCTAATCGTTCTTCTTCTTCCTTGGCTGCTTTCTCCTCCTCTTCCTTCCTGAGACGTTCTTCTTCCTCCTGCTTCTTCTTTTTCTTACTCTTTTTCGTTGTGGGGGCCCAGGCGCCCCAATCGTCTTCCTCTTCGTTATTCCCGCCATCTCCATCCCCGCCGTCTCCACCCGCATTCTCATCTCCGCCATTGCTTCCATCTCCAGCATCGCCGCCGCCGTCGTTGCCAGAATTGTCGCCATTCTGATCGTCACCTCCGCCCTCGTCTTGCTTATCACTGCCCTCGGCTGGCGGTGGGGTCTTCTCCGGTTGGGACTGTGGCGTGGTCTTTTTCTTCTTCTTCCCCCCTTTGTGTTCTCGGATACCGGAAATGTCCTCAAAATCTATCGCGCGCGATTGCGTCTTCTCCTTCGCGCCCGCGGTTCTCCGTACTGGGGCCGAGTCATGGGTGGTCATGTCTTTCCGATGAGCGAATGGGGCAAGAGTAGAGTAGTCTGGGGGAAGGTCGGTCACAGCCTCGTCGTAGGAAGGTGGGGGTACGTCATCATAGCCTTCATATTCAGAAGTGCCTCGTATATCGACTTCCAATGCGGCGTTCGACACGTAGAAGGCCTTCAAAGATGATTTCGTACCCTGGAAGTATGGTTTTCTGCTGTTAGCATTCTCCTATCAACCCTGAGCCTAATTTTATGGACACGAGGTAATAACTGCAAAGCCCGCGGGATAGGCCATACCTTGACCGTTACATAGCTCTCATTGCGCAGCGCGCAGCTGACTGTTGCAGCAACATCCCGGATCACCGCGAGATACGCTTGATCCCGGTCCAACTGAACCCAGCCTGGCATCTCGCCGCCGCGTTTCTCGGCATAACTTGGCCAACAAGACTCGATTTGAGTATGGGAGTCACCCCTTTTCGAATCGGCGAATTGGCCATGGTGATGCTCGGGTCTGCGCACGACGCCCATGCTGGTTTCAAACAAAAGTGATCACGCTTGTAGAGATGGGGCCGAGAAGGCTCTCTCGTCTAGGTCAAGCACATGGGGGGGGATTGTCTCAAAAGGGAGATCAGGCCTCGACCTGAGGCGGTAGTTCCCTGGTTCCAATGTGGAGTGGATGATGCAGATCTAGTCTTCACGAAAGTCGTCGGGAGTGAAGCAGAGAATGATCCAACAGGAAGTAGTAGTAGCGCGAATCGATGAACACAAAGGGGCGGAAGGAGTAAATGAGAAAGCCTCCCTAGAAATCGCACCAACAGGCAACCCTAACGCAATGGGAGTCACACCACGCGAAAAGATAGAAGAACGTCACGCTGACGAAAAATTGCAGTAAACGAGCCTCTGAAAGGGGGCCGGGCCTCAAAAATAGATAAGCGCACACCCAAAGGTATGTTGGCGATATGCGAGGAGAAGCGAGAAATGACGGCAAAGGGCTTAGTAGGGGAAAGTAGGGATGCAGAGGCAGGCCATCGAGTCGACCACAAGGCGGTGGAAAGAGGACAAGAGAAGGAGCGCAACGCTGCTGCTCGATGAAACTCCAGTCTAGTCAAGGAGTGGGTTGGGATTGGCCGTGATGTGATGCAAAAGCCACCTCAGGAATGTGAGCTAATACCAGACTTGAAGACGAGAAATTAGCCAGCGGTCGCGCAGAGGGTGTGGATGGAAAGGGAGGAATTCTAGGAGGTGGGGGGAGAAGTATGAATTAGAAAATGGAGGTCTTACATTTCTGTCAGCCTTTGCGATTGACAGACGCGACAGAGTGATTTGATCAAACCAAAGAGAGGAAGCGAACAGAAAAAGAAAAGAAAAGAAAAGGTAAAAAGAACGGCCGAGATGAAATGGCCGAAGCCAGGACGGCGTATAGTAAGTAAGTAAGTTGATAGGATGGCGGTGGCTGGGAATAGGACGGCACCAACAACCAGGCTAAGAGATTGCTCTAGACTGTCGAGGGTGTTGTAGGGGTCACCGCTGATCGGACCTGAGTTAGTGGTGCAGTCGATCAGCCATCAGCAAACAGTCAATTACGAGGATTGAACGGAACGAGAGGCAAATAAGAAAGATCCCTGAGATGGCCGGACAAATGCAAAGGGAAAAGAGATGGAGCGACTCACGCAGGGACAAGCCAGTCACACTCCGAGGGGGCGGTGGACAAATGCGCCTATCGATAACGAGGCCACCCCTCCTTTGTGCACGAGATGGAGAGAGAGAAAAAGGGGAGGGGGGGGGGGGTAGTAAAAACGGTACTACCTATAGTAGCAGAGGAATTATACCTAGGTATGCTTAGGAGTAGTTACTATACCTAGAGTATAGTAATTCTTCTTGTTGATGTTGCTGTTGCTGTTGTCGCTATGATTGTCCCGCAGAATGGAGATTCAATGCTTCCACCACAGACATATAACAGAAAAGAACCTCCCTGACAGAATTGACTCATGCACATCGGAACATCAGTCGGAGATGCCTTACATTAACCGATAGCGGAGCAAGAGGGGTTGGAGTCGAACTATGTATGGAGTAATGTATTCGTTGTCAACCTCAAGTGGGGGGATTGTCAACATTTCAAGGACCTGATGAAGCTAAAGAACTCCCGTTCCTTGGTTCAACCCCGTGGCCCGATAGTTAAATCAGTTAAACAACTGAAGGTACATGCAATGAATAGCTCTGTTGTTGTTCGTGTTTGTTCAGTGGGAGATGCATGAGGCAACCAGGCAGAAAGAGTACGATCTCGACTTTGTCCTACAATTCATTCTTCCCCACGTGCCTCAATCATGTCTTCTCAACATCAACAACAACAGCAGCAACTCAACATGAACCCAAGATTGACACTGCAGGGCTTCATCATCCGACATGCTGCGATGCAACCATCAGGCAGCCAGAAGGAAAAAGTCTGTCCACTATTATTCAGCGAGAAACTCGGGTTGCGTCAAAAATGGAAGCAGTTCTTCACCGCATCGAAGGCAAAGATAGCCCAGAGCCTATCAAACGCGTGGGCCGCTGGGGAAAGTCAACAACCCCATCTGACGCCGCCGCCGCTTGACTTTGCTCTTCCGGTTCTAGTAGACTAGACACTATCGACTACTGTAGGAGCATCCAAAAATGTGTTTAGCATTGACAGCTGTTCTCACGATTTGTCTCCGATACCCGCAATTGCTGCAGTGTTGCAAGAAAGACCCTATCTAGTCTACTGAGGCAGGAGTAGTGCTACCGGCATTCCCGGTGTCCCGCACAGCAGAGAGGGTCATATGCATGCCCATCCATCCTTCGTCCCACCACCGCTGCTGGCAACACTGCAGCCCGTCTGTGTCCCTCTTTTCTTCGTGTCCGGTGTTTCTTCAGCAACACTTGAGACTGTGATATACCTCCTGTGCGACTGCGGCGGGCCAGTCAATCGGTCCGGATAGGAGAGAGAAAAAAAAAATCAGGAGGCGAGAGTCATGCGAGCTTGGAGAGAAAAGCTAATATCATAGCATCAAGCGCCGTAACCACCGCAAAAGAATCAATCAGCTCACTCTTACTCTCATGTGGCCAGTCGTCTAACTTATTGCTTGGATTGGGAGCTCCCGGGAGCTTTCCCCGCGCGTAGACGAGGTCTTTGTGTCATCTTGAACTGCAGCTGTTCTATTGAAGCTATACAAGTCAGCAGTGAAATTACCTTAACGAATTGAAGTAGTCTTAAGGCCGTCAGCGATTGGACCGATGAATAGCATTCAATGTCTTTAGAGTGTGTTCTAGCTATTCACCTGCTTCCAGAAACCTGGTTAGTATGTTTTTCTTGTACTGTACCAGGAGTGCATCACGGACTCGAAGACTCAGGCACAAACGCTCCAACAGCCAATATCCAATTGACTGAAAGAGCATCAATAAAAAATCAACCACGGAATCCAACATGAAACCAATCCACCATGTAAGCCAACACCAAAAAAGCCAGTCCAACCCTCCAACCGCATTGACCCCTCAAACGCCTAGCAAATAAACACAATCCCAAACACGACCCCGTTTCACCGCACCCCGAGGAAGTATAAATTCCCGCAACGCCATTTCCGCCGATCGACAGCACGCAGGCGGGCACGTAGGGAAGTGGGCGGTCCCAAAGTCCAGATACACGACCGAGCACTTGTAGACAACATCAACAACAGCAACAGAATGACTCACAGGATCTAGGCCGCTGCATGTGCCAGGGGACAAACCACACCAGCAGCCAAAAAAAAAAAAAAGCCTCGCAGAGGTATGTATGGATGGAAGCTGTATGCCCGCCCCTCAGTCCCCATCGACTGCATGATCTGTGATGCAGCTGCTCACCTTCATGCCCAATATCTCAGCATCTGAACATCTAGATCGCAACATTCAGTTCCACGTGTTGGCGGCAATGCACTCAAACCAAAGGGTATGGTTGGATTTTATAATGGGTCTGTGATACAAAGAGCTGCTGCTGCTGCTGTGAGTCATAGGCTGATTCGATAGCTAGGCGCGGAAAGCCGATTGTTTGGGAGTCTACACTGTGCGGCTTTCGGGCAACGCTTCTATTCTTTTGACGCGGGAATGGAGGTTGAGTGCGAGGACATTTAAGCTACATCATGGCTTCTTAAAGGAATTGGTAGCGGATGGTTAGTCAAAGTGCCGCTTCCCAGGCATGGTATCTAGTCTCGTGGAGCCAATCTCATTTCACAACCTTTCATTCTGTTCTTCTCATAGAGTACAAGAGTCATCAATACAAGTGCCATCCCTCACGATTGAAGCTTGACAAGAGAAGACAAGATAAGCGGTACAGACAGGGCATGAAATCGGAGGCCAAAGCAACCGATCATTGTTTAGGAAACATCTCTAGTTCATCCTGGCTCGGAGACCCATTCCATCCCAGTACCCATTAGTAGACACTCCGAGACCATTGCTTAGCAAAATTGCTATCATATCATCCTTAATCCATGCGGGATAATCTCCTTACTCGCGCGCCTCCTTTCCGATGATGGAGGGTTCATCTCCGTAGACATCCTTGAACTCGCGAATATAACGCTCCTTGTCCTCGTTGTAAGCCTGCTGGTAAACCTATGACTTGGTGTTAGCGGTTTTCGGCGGACATGGGAGCCTGGACAGTACCTCTTTCTCCTCAGGCGTTACACTCTTCCAGGACTCGGCGATGCGGCGCATCCGGTCCTTGATGGGCAGGCTCGCTAGTCCCAGGTCTTCCTGCATTTGGGTCTTGACGAATTGAGCAAAAGGAACCAGAGGGCGGGAAACCAGGCGAGGGTCTTCGAGCTGCATTGTATGCTTGGTTCCCTTCTTGCCGGTCAGTCTGGCGAGTCTCCGCCTGGCCTTGTTGGCATCTCGGATCTGGGTAGGGGTGTAGCTCTTGATCCATTTGGCCATGGCTTCCTCGTTCTTCGCCTTATTCTCCTCGGCGGTGCGCGCGAATCCCTGGTTTGAAAGCAATCATCAGCATCAATTCTACCCCGTGCATTGGGCGTTGGCAAATACCTCCTCTTCCTCGGCGGTGAGGTTCCTCGCCCGCTGAATAGCTTCAAGGTTGATGTAAATGCCCCGCAGGTCTCGCCGCTCCTTCTGAACCGTCTCCGACATGACCTTCCGGGCCACACCAAACGCAGTCTGAGGAAGCATGGGGGGCGGAGTTAGACATAGCTCCTTGGTCTGGCGGATTTCCTTTCTGAGTGCCTTCTTCTTTTGTTCCTCGGACAGAGGCTTGCTCTTCTTCTTCTCCTCTTTAACCGCATCCTTGTCTTGAACCTTCACCTTTCGGATCTTGGAGGTTCCTTGAGCAGCTGCGCCTTTGGCGGCCTTCGGCTTTGGCTCGGAATCCTTAGCCTTAGTAGTCTTAGTCTTGGTCTTGGCGGCAGTCGCGTATGTGTTGATCAAGCTTGGGCGCAAAACGGGGGCACGCGCGGCAAGAAGGCCAGCGAAGCGACCGCGCGGGAACATGGAGAGACGTCTGATATGAGTCTGAGAGATCATTTGACGAGCGGGACGCGAGAAAGCCTCGCTGACGTTGAGGTGCTGGAGGAACGCGCCTCCCTGGCGAGCAAGCTTGGTAGACATGGTTCAAAACAATGCCCGGAGGTCGCTGCAAACACGAGACCAGACTGAATGGGTCGGTTGTTAAGATTAGGTCCTAATAATTGAATGGGAAAAGGGAGGAAAAAAAAAAACAAAAAAAGCCTGTCGGCTGAAGTGTTAGCTCTCCTCTATATGGAAGGGGAGGGAGCGCAGTTTCGCAGGGGGAATAGAGCTCACTGACGGAACCGGAAGAGGTTGGGAAACGAAAGCACTCTGGGCTGCACCACCGGGAGTGGACGCGCAGCTCCCCCGCCTAGGTCATGAACCGTTTGCCAGGAACTTGTATCAGGAAGAACCTATCTCACGTGACTCGGGCATCAAGCCGGGCGGCGCATATAAGTCACGTGGCGTATGACCTTGCTCTTGCGGCCCGTCCGAAGTCTCCCAGAAATGCCGGGCCAAGAACACGACGGCGATCAAGATCTAGAGTACATCTTTCCTCCCCAACTGAGACTCGCCATCAGCGCAACATCGACACACTAATCACTGGTCTAACTGAAATAACTGAATGGAAGGGTAAACATCCACTTCAATATCCTATCCACGTGCTCGAGCTTTCTCTTGAGTCTCCGTGATACTACTCATCGTTGGCCTGCAACAATGGCTCGCCACGGGGATACTCGCTCACCATCACCTGTAGGCAGCACATATTCCTCATCCAGACGGAGTCGCAGAGACGATGAGCGCTATGAGAGGAGCAGGCGCGACGATGGCAGGAGTTACCGCCGATCGCGCAGTCCGGAGGTGAGTTATTCTGTGGCCAACCTCGTTAGATCTTACGGTGAACCCCAAACTAATCATGTTTCCCCCGGACTTGCAGCGACGATACCGTGACCACGACCGCGACCGAGATTCCTACCGGAGACGCGACCGCTCGTTAGACAGACGTGACGACTATCGTGATGAAGACAGCTATCGCCCCAGCCGCAGGGATCGCTCACGCGATCGGCGCCGGTCAAGAGACCGAGACGAGCAGCGGGACTACCGTCGACGAAGCCGCGATAGGGATTATCGAAGCAGGCGAGAAGACTCCCGCGATCGGGCTCGGAGACGGACAGATGATTCTGCTGACTTGAAACACAAGTCTAGACGGGACGACAGCCGGGATCGGGCGAGGCGCTCGCGGTCTAGGTCTCATCAGGTAAGATACCGCTGTCCGTTTCTTTCTATGGAGTAAGGCTGATACGTTTATTCTAGACATCCAAACAGTCGACTCCAGCGCCCGCAGCCCCAACAGAAGACGAGAAAAGAGCAGAACGGCGCGCGAAATTGGAGGCATGGAAACAGAAACAAGCAGCCGAGAAGGAGCGCAAGCAGCGCGAGGCTGCTGCGGCTGGTGGAGCTCGGAGTATCTTGGAAGAAATTGATAGAAAGTCTGGCTTATCGCCGGCTGTCAGTTCTCCTCAATCTCCAGCCCCGCAGGTTGTTGATGCGGCACCCGCTTCGTATGCGGGCAAATTTGATCCCAAGGCTATTGCTAAGAAGGGAGCCTCAACAACCTCGCCTGCGCCAGCTGTGTTGGGCAACGACGTTGCTGTGCCACTTCCCGCAAAATCCACCATTACCCCAACATCTGGCAGCCCGGCTCCGGGTACGAGCAGCTCTTCCTGTACGCTCCCTTCCCCTCTCAAAGCCCGTCGTTTCAAGACTAACATTAGAATTCAAGCTACCTTAAAAGCCAAAGGCAATGTGGGCAGGTTTGGTTTGGGCAGTAAACAGGCCGGTGAGGCTGAAAAGTCCACCGCTACAAGGACTTTGGGGTTCGGGGAGGAAGAGTCAACCCGGCGGAAGCTTGAGAGGCTGCCAACCCCGCCCCTGGACGATACGAAGGATATAAATGGAACTGCAGGCGCGGGTGCCGAGGATGATGACGAGGACGATGTCGACATGCATGATGGGACGGAGGAAGAGAACGCGGCAGCCGCCCGCGCAGCTGCCGAAAGGCGAGAGGAGCGCTTGCAGTTGGCTCAATCCACGGACAACCCACAAGAAACCAACGGTGACACGGTCATGGAAGACGTATCAAACAACCAGCCCCTCGACAACATGGAAGTCGATGCTCAAGAGGAAGAAGAGGAGGTTGACCCATTGGATGCTTTCATGTCCGAGCTCGTCGAGTCCGCTCCTCCAAGGAAGAAGGCCGGTGCGACGTTCTCGCGCACCAAACAACAGCAGCCGGAGGCCATTTTCGGCGATGAGCACGATATTGACGTGACTGCTGTCGGCGAGGGGGATGCGGATGACTTCCTCGCTATTGCCAACAAGGCAAAGAAGAAAAAAGATATCCCCGCGGTCGATCATCAGAAAGTAGAATACGAGCCATTCAGGAGAAAGTTCTACACTGAGCCTTCTGACTTGGCGCAAATTTCCGAGGAGGAGGCTGCAAGCCTGCGGCTGGAACTCGATGGCATTAAAGTTCGCGGTGTGGATGTTCCCAAGCCAGTGCAGAAGTGGTCTCAATGCGGACTAGGCGTGCAGACTCTGGATGTGATTGAGAAGCTTGGCTACGAGAGGACCACGTCCATTCAAGCGCAAGCGATCCCTGCAATCATGTCTGGTCGGGATGTCATTGGTGTTGCGAAAACAGGTTCGGGTAAGACGATCGCGTTCTTGATCCCCATGTTCCGGCATATCAGGGATCAACGGCCGTTGGAGAATATGGAAGGCCCGATAGGTCTGATCATGACGCCTACCCGCGAATTGGCGACACAGATTCATAAGGACTGCAAACCATTCCTCAAAGCCCTGAACCTTCGGGCTGTCTGCGCTTACGGTGGAGCTCCCATCAAGGACCAGATTGCCGATCTCAAGCGCGGTGCCGAAATAATCGTCTGCACGCCTGGGCGTATGATTGACCTTCTCGCAGCTAACGCTGGACGGGTCACCAATCTGCGTCGGGTCACATACGTTGTTCTTGATGAAGCTGATCGTATGTTCGACATGGGTTTTGAGCCCCAGGTGATGAAGATCATGGCCAACATACGGCCTGATCGGCAAACCGTTCTGTTCTCCGCTACCTTCCCGCGGAACATGGAAGCGCTGGCTCGCAAGACCCTTACCAAACCTATTGAGATTGTGGTCGGTGGCAAGAGTGTCGTTGCTCCAGAGATTACGCAGATTGTCGAGGTCCGCAACGATGATCAAAAATTCGTGCGACTCCTCGAGTTGCTTGGTAACCTGTATTCGAACGAAGAGAACGAGGACGCCCGGGCTCTTATCTTCGTCGATCGCCAAGAAGCCGCCGATACTCTCCTTCGAGAACTGATGCGCAAGGGCTATCCGTGCATGTCTATCCACGGCGGCAAGGATCAGATCGATCGCGATTCCACCATTGAGGATTTCAAGGCCGGCATCTTCCCGGTCCTTGTCGCTACCTCGGTTGCTGCCCGTGGTCTAGATGTCAAGCAACTCAAGCTTGTTGTCAATTACGATGCACCCAACCATCTTGAGGACTATGTCCACCGTGCTGGACGTACCGGTCGTGCTGGAAACACCGGAACGGCCGTCACTTTCGTGACGGAGGACCAAGAACGGTACTCGGTGGACATTGCCAAAGCCCTCAAGCAGAGTGGGCAGAAGGTTCCCGAACCGGTGCAGAAGATGGTCGACTCATTCTTGGAGAAGGTCAAGGCCGGTAAGGAGAAGGCCAGTGCCTCTGGCTTTGGTGGTAAAGGCTTGGAACGGCTGGATCAGGAGCGAGACGCTGCACGTCTGCGTGAACGGCGCACGTACAAGACCGGCGAAGAGGGCGAGGAGGAAGAGGAGAAGGACGAGAAGAAGAATGAACAAGCCGAAGATCGGTTCGCTAAGGCAATTTCGTCCGTTCAGGCCACAGCAACGGCATCGACATCTATGCCAGGCGTTCCCAAGGGTATTGATCTGGATGGCAAGATCACTGTGCACAGGACCGAGAAGGATCCTAACAGCGCATCGAAGAACCCACTGGACAAGGTGGGCTCGGCTGTTGCGGATATTCACGCTCGTCTGAGCCGTGCCGGTGTGATGAGATCTGGAGTGCCCATCGATAATCGCGGCCCAGATGCGGGAGCTTTCCATGCCACGCTGGAGATCAACGACTTCCCCCGTAAGTTTGCTTCTGTCTTTGTTTCTACCTCTGACGTGTATACTAATTCATGCTACAGAGAAAGCCAGATGGGCTGTCACCAATCGCACGAACGTCGCCAAGATCCTCGAAGCCACCGGCACGTCGATTACAACCAAGGGCAGTTTCTATGCGACCGGCAAAGAGCCTGGTCCTGGAGAAAATCCCAAGCTATATATTCTTGTTGAGGGTGAGACAGAGCTGGCCGTCACGAACGCCATGCGCGAGTTGATGCGGTTGCTGAAGGAGGGCACGATCGCCGCGGCGGACAGCGACGCTCGTGCTCCCGTGGGTGGACGGTACAATGTGGTCTAGTTGAGTGGCGAGATTTAAATGTAGTCATAGACGTTATGGCATTCATGCCTTGTATCTGTATCCTTTGCGCACTGTAATAAAAGTAGCCAACCAGGGTATTCACCATTGCGCCATTGTCAACAAGCAAAATATCAAGCCCGCAAATATCATCAAACCGCACAGGAAACTATGCAACCAACGCCCAAAACAAACTCCAAGCCATGAAACATGATCAACCAACTTAACCCCACCAACTCTACACCTCCCGATCTATATACAACACCGAAACCGGCTCAAAATTCTCCATCACTCACTCCCACCTCCGCGCCTCCGCCGCCCCATCCGCATCCCTAGCCGCAATCTCATCCTGACTAGCCTTCACCAACGTCTGCGCCTGAGTCTGCGCCCTCTGCTCCGCCAACTTAGACCCAAGCTTCCCCTTGCTAGCGGTATTGTTCGCAGACTCAGCACGTTTCTGTAGCACGAAAACGAGCATATCAGCCCGCTGTTCCATTCACAACTTTCCCGGTCTGCACGCCAAACATCAGGATGCAGATATAGTATAGTTGTAACTCACCTGCGCCGCCAACGCGGCCTTTGCCCTCGCATCCTCATTGTCCTTCCCGGGTGTTGACGCAGCGGTACCATCGCCGCCGACTGTCCTTCCTGACGGGCCAGAACCCCAATTTGTGCTCGAGTGGGATTTCGGGAGCGAGGCGCGCGGGCCGGAGGGTTTCGTTGTGGCTGCACTGGTGGTGTTGGTGGTGTCGTTTGCGCCGAGGACGCGGCCGGGTCGGGCGAAGGCGTCGGGTTCGTTCGAGGATTTGGAGCAGATGTTGCCCATTGTTGTTATTATTGTGGTGGTGGTGGTCGTGCGGGGGTCGTTGTCGAGGTTGGAGTATAAGACGAAAGGGGTCGCACGCTGGGTGATTCAATTCGTGCTGGAGAACCGTGTAGGAGGTAAGGATAGGTTTAGTTCTCTGCGCTGGTTGGTCAAGTTCTTGTGGGGTGGTATCGTGTCTAGCTGCTGGGTTGGGATCAAGGCTGGAATTGGAGTCTGGGTCTGGAGCGGCGGCTGTTGCGGCGGATGATGCTGGCTGATGCGAGGATGCGGTCCGTCGGAGCAGGCAGCCGCGGTGGGCACGTGCGGCAGCCGCTAGCTTAACGGTTGGCTGGCCTGAGCCTTGCTTTGCTTGATGATCGTGAGCATTGTCGTTGGTGGAATTTCTATGGTTCTAGGCTCAGGGCTGTGTATAGTTAGGGACTGGTACAGCTGAGGAGTTTGGGGTTTCGTGGTGGAGGTTGTGCTTTCTTCTACCAAGCTGATAACTACCTCGACGTACGATTATTGCTCTAGTGCGGTCTGATCAGTTAAGCTAGACAACATCCCTCTGTTAATTGGACGATACTGATAAACAACCTATATAGGTCCAGGTATGGATGTTGACTCACCGACCGGAAGTCCTCCGGAGTCCTGTTGTGTTAATCAACCTCAGGCCGCCATCCCCCAAGGCGGCATTCATTCTATTTGGCGGGCAGAACCCTGTCGAAGAGATTTCCCGCCCAACGTCTGGACCGCCCATGGGTGGGTGCAATGGATGGATTTCCCTTGTTCGGTTCCCCTTCTCAGACTCTCACCGATTGACTTTTTTTTATTACCCTCATCGGTCAGAGGCAGTTTAACCGGCACTCTGAATTAACCTCAGAAACAACGGATCCTCCCTGTAACTACACGGAAGAGAGATGACTGAGAAATCCTGACATTTAGCGGGCTACCATTGGCTGGGAGTGGTGGTGGGGGACATGACGCCATTCCCCAAGGTCCTCGTCCCCAAGGTCCTCATTATTTTTTCCCTCTGATTAGATCCGCGTCGGTATTGCGACGGTATCGGTACCGAAAATACCTGCCCTACTGGCTTTACTCGGCCCTGACTCTACGCCCCCTACAGTGCCCTGAAGCAGTGCTGTTCAGTACACAGGCTACCCTAAACCTGGTCTACCCAAACCTACCGTACTTCACCCTGCGACTGCTGGATCCCAGATTCTCTCACATCCCACATCGGTTACCTACATGCGCCCTCATGCTGGCTCCCAAGGTCCTCAGGCTCTTTTGCCCGCTCAACCCAGGCGGTCTGTCTTTTCTCTCCACGCTTCCTGGAGACTTTTGCGCATAGCCTCTGTCGCACCACAGGTTCTAGCTATCGCTGGACGATCCTTTGCATAATCTGCTGTTCTAATTGGTATGTGACATGTCATGTCCGCTCGCGTGGTGGTGGTGGTGGTGGAGGAGGTGGAGGAGGGGGACTGGGCTGACTTGCCACACTTGAAACTGACGACAGAACATAGCCAGACAGACCCCAGACCAGACCATCAGTCTATTTCCACACCAGTCCCCGCTCCCATCGGTCATCAGGGCGGAGGATTCTGTGAGACCGTGACTCTTGTCGACTCGCCTGAGGCATAGATTGTCTCCTTCACTTCACTTCCTAGCCGGCGCTGCCCATGGCCCTCCCTTCACACGACACCATGGCTTCGCACACGAAGAAAGACGATTTCTGTCTGGAGTGCCATTGGGAGGCATTCCATCTGGACGTAAAAGACCCGGAAGAGCCTACTGAGACCGAGGCTCAGGTGCCCCAATGGAATTGCTCCGAGGAGGAGCATCACCCGGCGGTCCCCCATTGTGATGTCGGGGAGGACTGTCACGTTGACGACGATTGCTGTGACATGGACAATTGCTCCACCACCTGCCCATCCGTCTGCGACGGCTTCGTCGACTGCGAGGAGGTCGCCGAGTGCTCTGTATCACATTGTGATGACGTTCACTGCAATGATACGAATTGCGACAGCACGGACCCAGTCTGCTTTGATGAGCACTGCTTCGGCAGTGGCACCAATGCCTATGGCGAGCACAGTCTCGAGGCGTTACTAGCCTTAGGGTCGCCGTTGAACCTCGAGTCAACCGATCTGCTGTCTTCGACCACGCTGCCCCAGGCGCCGGACGAGCAGCCTAAGCCAGCCGGGCTCCCTGCCACCGGCCTGGTGGGTTCCACAGATGCCTTTTTCGCTCCCTTCGCGCCCGGGCCGATGTCACACTGCCACTCCCACAGCCATCAGCACTTCCAGTGCCACGATTTCTCCAAAGATGCTCACCTCGCGTGGTATCCGATGCCCACCTCGGTCAACCCTGCGGACGTCTTTCACATGATGAACGTATGTCCAGACCTGAGTACATGCCATCATCAGTTCCACGTACAGCAGGTGCCAGACTGCAGTGAGCATCAGAAGCCTACCGACGATGCCACCTCGAACTCGTTTACCTGCTTCCATATCAATCCCAACCCGAATCACAGCCATCCTCACAATCACAACCACAACCACAACCACGGCCACAGTCACAGTCACAGTCACCTCCACACTCACAATGCCATCGACACGACCGACATGACCAACCTAACGCCCACCCAAGAAACACCCACAGTCACAACACAACGTAAACCCTGTCGCACACACGTCCACCGCTGCCGAACCCACAGCCACGCCCACCATCATTACTCTCCCTACTCCCCTTACTCGCGCCACTCCCGGTCCAGCGTGAGCTCCCAGCTGAGTCCCGGGGAAACGCCGCCTCCGCTGGACGGAGGCTCGTCTTCCGTGCTGACCAGCCCGGAGTACATCCCCGAGACCGAGTCCCACACATGCCGATGGACCACGATCAGCGCCGACGGCACCAAAAAGGCCTGCGGGGCCACTTTCTCGGACTCCTGTGGTCTGCAGGAGCACCTCATCGCCTGCCACATGGCCACAGTGGAGGGTGCCAAGGGCACGGGGTATTACTGCTGCTGGGAGGGCTGCCACCGGCCGGACGAGCCGTTCTCGCAGAAGTCCAAGCTGCAGGGCCACTTCCTGACGCACAGCAACTGTAAGTTTCTTAGATCATCGGTAGTTTATAGATCATCCACTGACCGCGAACTAGACAAGAACTTCAAATGCTCCGTGTGCGGCAAGTTCTTCGCCCGCCAGGCCACGCTGGAGCGGCACGAGCGCAGCCATCGCGGCGAGAAGCCGTACAAATGCGCCGAGTGCGGCAAGTCGTTTACCGACAGTAGCGAGCTGAGTATGTTTTTGTTTCCTTGGGACCGGTCAGGAGATGTCATTCACTAATCTGGAGCACAGAAACGCATTCGCGGACCCATACGGGCGAAAAGCCTTTCAAATGCACATATCCGGGCTGTAACTTCCAAACGGGCGATGTACGTGTTCTTTGTTGCGTTTGAGTTGTCGTCGTTGTCCAATACTGACAGATGCAGTCGTCCAACATGTCCAGTCACCGACTGAGTAAGTTTGAGGTTGAGGTTGCAAGAACCATAGGATAGTAGCTGACTGGCGATAGCGCACGGCGAGCGACGGCATAAATGCCACTACCCGGGCTGCACGAAGAGCTTCACGCGCCACGGTGAGTATCCATTCGCCTTTGACACGGGATCCAGCTAATGGGACATGAATGACAGATCAACTCAAACGACACCTCAAAAGCACGCATAAAGACTGCAGTAGCAGCACCACTATGCCTTCTCCTTTGACGGACCAGTTCGGATTGTCACTCGCCGGAGTGGCGTGAGCTGTGCCGAGTTACGATACCCTATATATAGCCAGAGCAATGTTCCAGATGTGGATATGGATGTAGATGTATTATGGACAATGACCACCACCTCCACCACCACCACTACCTCATTAATTTCTTCCCTCTTGTAAACCATAATCATACAACTAGAGTCACCTTCCCAAACATCTCACTTTAAACTCAAAGTAAGCGTTCCCGGGGGAGAACCCCCGGACCCCCCTTTCTTTCAACTCCCTGGCCACCCTCAATCCTATACCCAGAATAAAAGACTCCGGGGGGGAACCCCCGGACCCCCCTTCCCTTCAGCTTCCTGGCAACCTCATTCTATACCACTAGAATAGGCGTTATCCAGGGGAGAACCCCCGGGACCCCCCTTCCTTTCAGATTCCTGGACACCTATCGATTAATCCTCCTTCCCCCGCTCCTCTAAAAGCTCAACCCCCCCCTTCAACTCCCGAACCCGCTGCCCAACCCGCCTCCGCACCTCCGCCCGCGTCTCAGCATCCACCCCCTGCGGATTCAGCCCCGTGTCGACCGTCGCCGGCGCCTCCGCCCCGTCCTCCACCCCAAACACCTTCTCCACCCCCGCCCGCCCCGCCGCGTCCAGCACCGACACGTCCCGCGTGTACAGCGCGTACACCGCCAGCAGCTCGTTCAGCGCCTCCCGCGCCGCCTCCCGGTCCGACGCCGCGTAGATCGTCGCCCCGTCCGTGCTCTCCGTCGCGATCTCGAATTCGTCTTTCGCCGTTTCGTATCTAATTCTTTTGTTAATTGGGCTGGGTTGATTTGGGCGGGGGGTTTGAGGGATTGCGTACAGATCCTGCAGCTCTTCCACGATCACGTCGCTGGTGGATTTGCCTGTTGGGCTTGTTGTGTAGGCTGCTTTCGCGATGGGGGTCCGGGGATGAAGGTATCGGGTTGCGGGTGAGGGTGAGATTGGAGCTGAGGTTCGGGGGAAGGTGGTTGTTCGGCTTCGGATGGCGGCGGTTGATAAGGGACGGAGTATGCGGGGGATGCGCGGATAAGATGTCAATTGGAGGTGGAGGGCTCTAGGGGAGAGCGTGGTGGGGAGTCCTCTCGGTGGCATTTTGGATTTAGTCAAGTAATTGATTGGGTTTGTAGTGAAATTGGATGAATTGAGTTCGGTGTGAGAATTGAGATGAAAGGAGGAGAAAGTCGTTGCGGGGAGAAAGGAGAAAGAGAAAGAGAGCTCTATGATGGCATGGCATGCATGACGTCCGCTCCGGCGGAGGTAAGCTCACGTGCCTGCTGCTGTCTGTATTACCTACTCAACAGAACCACCATCATAACTGCCTAGCATAATTCTAAAGAGATCCAATTCTTCTATAATCTATCTATTTTAACATCCCCGCCCCCCAAAATCAAGTCGTAAACTTCAACCCCCCATTAGCACAAACCACACTCCCAGTACACCAACCCGCATCCTCAGTGCACAACATCCCCACGACACCTGCCACCTCCCCAGTGAACCCGGGCCTCCGCCCACCCATCTTCTCCCGAATCAACCGCTTCTGCTCCTCGGACAGCGCATCCAACTGCTTATCGTCCTCCAGCATCTTACTCAGCGGCGTAGCATCCTGAAACCCCTGCATCTGCTTCCAGAACTCCTCACCCGTGGCAAAATACATATCCCCGATGACGGGGCCGGGGTTCACGGCGTTGACAGTCGCAAAGTCGGCCAGCTCGCGCGCCCAGGTGCGGGTCATGGCCTCGAGGGCGGCCTTGGTGCCGCCGTAGACGGACTGGCCGCCGAAGCCCAGCGCCGACGAGACCGACGAGATGTTGACGATGCGGCCCGCCCGCGGCGCGTGCCGCGGCAGGTACGGCGCCACCGCCTGCGTCAGCAGCAGCGGCGCCAGCACGTTGATCGTGTAGTGCCAGTTGAAGTACTCCGCGTCGATTGCGCCCTTGGCCGTGTCGTTCAGGAACCGGTCCTGCGATACGCCTGCGTTGTTGATGAGGATGTCGATTGTAAGGGGTTGCGGTTGCTGCTGGTTGGAGGTGCTAGAGGAGGATGATGATGATGATGAGGTGGAGGCGAATTCGTGGCGCGCGACGCTGAGGATGTGCTCGATGGCTGGGGCCGGGTCACTCAGATCTGCCTGCACTGGCACACACCGGATTGAGTGCTCGCGCGCAAGCTGCTGGCAGAGCGACTCGGTGCGCGCCCGCGACGAGTCCGACGTGTAGTTGAGGAGGAGCGAACAGCCCTTGCGAGCCAGGTTGTGCGCGATGGCTTCGCCGATGCCTGTGCAGTGGGATTGATGGTTAGTTGGTGCTTGCGGTGGCATTTGTGCATGTTTCCACAACTACTAAGTGCTTACCTCGGGATCCGCCGGTGATGATGGCGAGCTTTCCTGCGAGAATGCCAGACATCTTGGAGAGTAGACGTAGTGTAGGTTCGGCGGGAGTGGAAAGTGTAGAGGAGAGACAGAGAGAGGAGATGGCGGGGGAGTCTGGAATAAAATAGTATCTGCCCCTCTTGTAATTGATATGCTCCCCTCGAACTATAATCTCCTAACTCATCACGGCTAAATCCCTCTGCGCTGTAACTGAATTCCGCTCGGATAATAAGAATTGATCACCTGAACCATCCCCATACTATCATTCTCCACTTGCGATAAGTATACTACGCTCGCCGGAAAATTCCCTAATCGGGCCTGATACCCCGGCGGGCCAACAACACCAACAAAAAATACATCCATCCGTTACCAATTTCTCCACACTTCACTCGCAATCCAGCTAACTATACAAAACACATACCGAAAGCTCAACCAAGCTTCACCCCCTTAAACGCCCTCGCATTCTCCTCAATGGCCTTCTCCACAGGCAATCGCTCCATACTACTAGCGCCAAAGAACCCATGAACGCCCTTCACACGCTGCAGCACATACTGCGCATCGTCAGGCCCAGCCACAGGACCACCATGGCACAGCACGATAACCTCGGGGTTAATGCGGACGACGGCATCGCGGACCTCCTGGATGATGCCGACGCAATCATCCAGCGATAGCGCAGTCTGCGCGCCGATGGTGCCGGAGGTGGTCAGGCCGAGGTGCACGACGATGACGTCCGCGCCGGCGCGCGCCATGCGCTCGCCCTCGTCGACGTTGAAGACGTACGGTGTGGTGACGAGGTCCATCTCGTGCGCCAGCCGGATCATCTCCACCTCGCGGTCGTAGCCCATGCCCGTCTCCTCCAGGTTCGCCCGGAACTTGCCGTCGATCAGCCCCACCGTGGGGAAGTTCTGCACGCCCACGAAGCCCAACGTGCGGAGCTGCGTGAGGAACGCGCTCATGTTGCGGAAGGGGTCGGTACCGCACACTCCTGCGAGAACGGGCGTGTTCTCGACGATCGGGAGGACTTCGGAGGCCTGGTTGTTGCTTTGTTTAGCCTCGCTCGGGGATTGATTAGTTGGGGATGGAGGGTTGAGGGGTGAGTAGATTTAGGAGATGGGATTGCCATACCATCTCGACGACCACCGCGTTGGCGTCGGAGCAGGGCATCATGCCTGCTAGAGAGCCTCGGCCGGCCATGCGGAATCGGCCCGAGTTGTAGACTAGAATGAGATCGGCTCCGCCCTTTTCGATGAATTTGGCGGAGAGTCCAATTCCTGCGCTTTTGGTGAGCTTGCTATACCTATCTATGCATGTGGTAAGGAGGGATTGAGGCCGAAGGGAGAGGTACCAGCTCCAGCTCCGACAATGATAGAGCCATCTGCGATGGTCTTGCGCAAACGGGCGAGGACTTCTTGTCTGTTTGTTGGGCGCATTTTGTGAGACGGCCGTGTGTTTGTTTGATTGCAAGGAGGAGTAATGTTCGAAAGACAAACGATAACAAAGCTGGGAGATGGGGGGAGAAGAGTTCAGGGAAGAGGAAAGTTGCAGAGAAGAAGAGGGGCAGAACAAACAGACAACATCATCGTGCAGATCCAACGTTACACCAGAACCTCATACATCATCAACCCCACCTCAGACTCCCTCACGATAAATATCACACTCGAGCATTAAGATCCCCACCTAAGATCATGTCTTCATAATCAAAACAATCCCTTGAGTTGCAGACACAACCATGTCCTCAACTCCATCATCCCCGACTGTCCTCCTAGTCGGCACGTGCGATACCAAATTGGCGGAGCTGCTCTATACACGTTCGCAACTGCTCTCATCCTCCGCCGGTACTCCATCACCAGCAGTGCTACTGCTAGATATCGGTCATGAACCTCTAGACCACCCTGAAATCGACATTCCCCATCCGAAGCTCGGCTCCGAGTACCACAAACACCAACACGCCAATGAATCAACCGACTACACCTCCCTCTCCCGCCAATCCTACACCCAGGCCGTCACCGAATCCACCACCCGCATCATCTCCGACCTCTACAATGCGCACAAGATCCACGCTATCTTCGCCCTGGGCGGCAGCTGCGGCACCTCCATCGCCACCGCCGCCATGCGCCGCGCCCTCCCCATCGGCTTCCCCAAATTGATGCTCTCCACCATGGCCAGCGGCAACATAGCCCCTTACGTCGAAGAAACCGACATCATCATGATGTACAGCGTCGTCGACATCGCGGGAACCAATTCAATCCTCACTCGCATTCTGGATAATGCAGCCGCGGCAGCCAGCGCGATGGCTGTATCCTACTTTCACCATCACCAGCAGCAACAGCAAGCCCTAAACGCCACCAACCGCAATCAACCCGAAAACAACTCTCCCAACCCCAAAAGGATCGGAATCACCATGTTTGGCGTGACAACGCCCTGCGTCACCGAGATTCAGCGCCTCTTAGCTGAGCTCCCGGAGCCGAACGAGGTGTACATCTTCCACGCCACCGGCTCCGGTGGCAAGGCCATGGAGCGGCTCGTCCGCGAGCACCAGCTCGACGCGGTCATCGACCTGACCACATCGGAGATTGTCGATGAGCTGGTCGGCGGCGTGCTCTCCGCGGGACCGCATCGACTGGAGGCTGCGGCATCCGCGGGGATCCCTCAGGTGGTCAGCGTGGGCGCGTGCGATATGATCAACTACGGCACAAGGGATACAGTCCCTGAGAGGCTTGCAGACCGCAACATCTATGAGCATAATCCGACGGTGACGCTGGTGAGGACTACCCCCGAAGAGAATCGTAAGGTGGGGAGGTTCATTGTTGAGAAGTTGCGGGGGGCGCGGAAGCCGGAGAATATCGTGGTGGTCTTGCCGACTGGGGGTGTGAGTAAGTTGGATGTCAAAGGGGAGGCGTATTGGCATCCGGAGGCGGATGAGGTGTTGTTTCGGACGATCGAGGAGGGGCTAGATGGCTCTGGGGTGGAGGTAGTAAGAAGGGAGGAGGATGTCAATCATCCCGGATTTGCGAAAGTTTTGGTGGACACCCTAAGACTGGTGATGGAGGAATGATGCCGGCAGTATAAGCAGTGCTTTGCAATGTGAGGATCTGGCAAGTGTTGGACAAAAATTTGATGCTCAATGCAGGTAGAGTAAGAAAGCTCTAATACAGAATTACTGCCTCCGGGAAGACATACTTGAAAGCTCGCTGTTTGATGCCTGTGACAGACCAAGTCGAACTTCCCTCCATCACAAGTACACCAAGCTCCTCGGCTTCCTCCTATCCTCCTTGATTGCCATATTTTAATGCAAGATTTCCCCTTGACTAATCAGAGTCGAGGGCTGCTCGGGCCCCTGCACCCGTTTCCAGATGTTCATTACCTGCACTAACAGATCTTCTGCCTCATGATACCTCGCATCACCATCCAGGCAGGTGTCCGCATTGTGCATGTAGTCAATGTACCGCTGCTGTTGGCTTCTGAACTCGTCCTCACGAATCAAGAAGATGGCGTGAGGCAGGTATTGCCGCAGCAATGGTCGGTTGGCATGGTCGTGCTGTGAAAAGGCCTCGCTCAATTGGCTTGCCGCTCTTCGTACGTAGAGCGAGAACCGTTGCTCTTTCTTCATCCAGTTTCGCGTGGCCAGATGTACCAGGCGATGAAGGGTTATGGAGCCTTCTCCTGGCTGGGTGGTGATAAATGAGTAGGCGCTGAGAAGCCCAAGGGCTTCGACTATCCTCTTTTTGGATGCGGGTCGGGGCAGGAACGAGTGCGGGATATTGCGCGGATTGATGCAAGCCATCAGAGACAGGTAGTCTGAGGCAAGAGGGTCAATCCTTTTAATCTGATGAAAGGAGATAAGCCACGTCAGAGCCACAGGATTTTGAACATCCTTGTAGCGGCCATCATCGCTGAAGTCTTCGCTCAGAAGCTCGACAACATCAGCCTCCTCTTCCTGGAGAAGCAGCAAGTAATCAGCCAATGCAATCCCATTCTCATTTATATATGCTGCTGCTTGAGTGATGGCTAATGGAAGAAAGGTAAGCTGTTTCAGAAGAGTAGTTGCTGTTTGAGAGTCGACAAGTAGACTTTCGCTTCGAAGCAGAGATCTTTTGAGCAGCTCCAACCCCGTGTCATGGTCAAGTTCAGGAACAAGTATAACATCCGCAGATACCAGTCTCACGGCCAATTTCCGGTTGCGGCTGGTGAAGATGATACTACCAGTATGGCCTTTATCGATTCGAGGCAGGAAGTTCTTCAGTGGCGGAGTCTTACTATCTCCCTTGGTCCATATGTCCAAATCATCTGCATTGTCGAAGATCAGAAGCCACTTGCCGCTGTCGGGACTACTGAAGTAAGCCTGGAGATGCTCTTTGATCCTAGCTGGGTTTACCCCCTGTAAGCCCACTAGCTGTGCAATTGCCATGTAGGCTCGTTGGATAGACTCATAGCTGGTGCAAGGGATCCAGAAAATCGAACAATCGGGGTCTTGGTCTCGCATCCGGTAGGCCAGCTCCAGAGCGACTTGCGTCTTTCCAACTCCACCCAGTCCGGTCACAGCAACGATCCTGGGGCCATCGGCGATAGAAATTCGTTCTTCGGCCTCGGCTATCTCTTGCTGGCGACCAACGAAGCGTGGGTTTCTTCTGAATGGGATCATCAGGTGCCGTTCTTTGCTGACATCTATAGAGAACTCAAAGAATATATTTAGTCTTGAGCACAAGGTTTGCTGATATTCGATCATATTACTGACCTTCTCGTTGCAGAGGCCTCCAGTACTCCAAGAAGGCTTTTGCCGCGGACGCTGCGGTTGCTGCGGCATATGCTTGCCATGATTCAATTTTATGGCTGTCAGCATAGTCGCACACCCCTTTGATGATGATGCACGACACATTATCCCACACGCCAGCCCCCTGCGTCTCAAACGCAATCATCTTCTCTTTCTTCACAATCTCATCACGGTGTTTCCCTGATTTCATCACTGTATCAGCGGACGCGACGGTTCCAATATGTGTCGCCACTTTATCCGCTTCAAGCCGATTCCGGCACCGTATGACTTGGTTCCTGTCACATCCAAGCTCATCGCAACACATATCCAACGCGTCCTCGCAGACGTCGTTCAGTGAGCCACCCTCCAAACAACAGCACCTGACACCAGAGCCCAACTCATGGTGCCTGTGAATGACCGAAGCATCGAAGAGCACATCATCAACCCCGGGGTGCTCCCACCGCTCTTCCAATTGTTGTAGCGTGCGCAGATGCCGCAACACCTGAGTCTGAAGCTCTGCGCTGGGCCGCGACCCCCGAAGGCCATTGAGCAGCGTGCGTATCTCACGATCCGGCCGTCCGAGCGCGTCAAGGACACCCGTCTTCCGTCGAAAACCCCCCGGATATCGTCGGCCGAAATCATATTCAATCACCGAATCGCTGATGATCACGTCCCCCAAAAATATTTCTTGATGTTTGGAGGGTGACGGCGCGCCTTGGCATATTCCTACCAACAAAGCCAGCTGGATGCCCGTGTAGCTGACCCGTAGGCTTGATGTGACACTAGCTGCACTCCCTTTGCCCATGCCGGGCATGTAGGACAGGACCACATCGTGCTGACCGATCCTGCCGGTCAGGTAGGCATTTGCATCGCCGGGCTGCTTGCCGTAGTGCTGGCCTAGTCGATCGTAGTGTTCGTCGAAGAGGCCCTCGACGGCATCGGCCTCGAGGGGGAGGGCGCAGATGATTGCGATTGCGAAATCGGCCCGGCTTTTGGGGCGCATTGCGTTTGGCCCGAGGAGTAGCTACCGAGCAGCCTGCCAACTTAGACCAAGTTATACAGCCTCCCTCTTTCTTTCACAAACTTGATGAGTGAAGCATATTGAGAAAGATCTGGAAATGTATCTGGGTGGGAGTAGGTAGAGGTATTAATAGGCACTCGAGCTTATGATCATTGCCAATCACAGGTCTTAAATAGCCGCTCAGGGGTGAGGGGGCAGTGCATGAGGCTGGTTTCGGGCTGTCGCTCTCAAGCACTTGAGCTGCTGGCATCTTGGAATAAGTGGTACGGAATCGCCATGCCTCAAACTGTCCGCGTTGCTCTCGAAACATTGGCAAGTTGCCCAGAACCATGCGTGGCGCGCGCTTCGGTGAATGCGCCGGACCGACCAGACTTATGTATGGCCACGCCATGCCATGTATGTTTAGCATGCCCTGCCAGGAGGCTTCGCTGAATTACACACCAACTGCATAGATACTGGTATCTATGTAGTAGCTAGAAAGGAGCTCCATGGTGTGCTTATTCCCGGACCGATCTGCCACGTAGCATCCCCCGTCTCCCAACGCTAACACGACGGGCCAGATAGTTGTTTTCTCAAGCCGCCTTTTGGTTGCAGGCACGATTCGATACGACTATAATGGCGTTTATTTATCGGGGATGGAGCACACCAGGGAAAAGTGGCGCTTTATTTGGAAGCTGCCGGCCTGTCTCACGGAGTTGAGTTTTGGGACTTTGGTAATGAGAGCGGCGATGATATCGTTTAGGCCATGAGACTCTAGATTTAGTGAGTCGCTGACTGCAGCAAGCTCTCTTAATGAACCGCACTCTGCACGCCCACGCCTGTTGTTGTGGTGGTGGTGATGGTTGAGTGAATGTGTTCCGGTCCCGGAGCATTGTAGTCTGAATGATCTTAGATGCCTTAACTAGCTAAGATGGCTCTCCCAATCGACCGACAACCCAGCAAGCGAACTTGAGCCCTTGTATCTTCTTAGGTAAGTAGCGCACATGGACTCCGTTCTGGCTACTTAGTCAGCCCATGACCCTCCTCATCAGCACGTATCGACCTTGTTGGTTTGGGGGCGAATAACAGACCAAGCTACTTCCAAAGGTCAGTATCGCTACAGCCACTGCATAAGAACAAGATCCTCGAATGGTAGACAGCATGAACAGAGTTACTCATGGCCCATGGGTATTTCAGAGGAGACTGTTATTATGCCAGGAGAAAAAGAAAAGAAGGGAAGATCTCAAGTTTGCCGGGGCCGACCCGTTGCCGCCCCGACCCCGTATTGAACTGGGGCCCTTAAGCCCCTCCCGGCCACTCACCCCAGACCTCATTTGCCCGATGGCGGCAATCGTCCGCCGTACTCAGAGGCTCAGACCAGCCGTTCCCCCCCGATTGGAACCCCAGGGATCCGCCCGAACCCGCCCCGAGTAGCCACTAAGGGAGGGGACCAAATGCCTGCCGTGCGGTACTTGGATTACTATCAGATGGCTTGCCTACACTTACTATCTTCGAGATTCTTGCCCGAAGCGATTCTTTTTCGCGACGTGTCTCGCAATATTAGGATGCCTGCCATCTTCTCATTCAATAAAATATCCACCGGTTCTCGGTCTACCTTCACAGCACCTAGCAACCCATGCACAAAACACCCATCCACCCTATCCACAAATACCAACCTCTCACTCCCCAGAAGCAAACCTCACCTTCATCCTCATCCCATCCACCGGCTTAGCAGTGACCTGCATCGTCTAAACGCCGCCGTATCCCATTAGCATACCCCACACCACACGCAAACAATAAACAAACCAACCAAGGATGGTAGGAGGGGGAGAAGAAAAACTCACATTAAACAACTCCTCCACAACCTCAAATCGGCCCCTCTCCGCATCCAGCACCGGCTCACCCGCCGAATCCCGCGCAACAGCCCCTAGCCCAACCTTCTCGAAATCGAAATACCGGAGCGTACACGCAAGAATGACCCGGACCTCGAGATACACAAGCCCCTGCCCGATACAGTTGCGAGGGCCGCGCTCAAAGGGTCGCCACGCACTTGCGGGGATCTGCTCTGCACCACCTCCAAACTTCAACTTCTCACCATCCTTGGGAGATGCACTACCACCACCACGACCACCACTTTCAACAGCACCACCACAGGAACCAAAACCCCCTTCTAACCACCGCTCAGGCCAGAACTCCTCCCGCGTCGGCCCGTAGACCGCCTCGTCGCGCTGCACCACTGTCGCACAGTTATACATCACCACCCCATCAAGACATATCGTCCGTCCGTCGTCCGGAAGCGTCACTATGAACCCTGTTCCTGGGGGTGCATATCGCGCTGAACCTGAGGGGGGATGGAGGCGGAGGATCTCCTTGATGACTGCCGCGGTAAACGTCATCTGCGAGAGATACTTGTCTTCCCCGCCACTGTTCAACAACATTTCCGCGACTGCATCCGGTGAAGAGGACGTATCCTTGCCGAAGATCGTATCCAGCTCGCGCCGGACAGCCTGCAGCACACGCGGAGTCCGACTGAGTTCGTAGAAGGTCCATTGCAGGAGGATGCTGGTGGTGTCGTGGCCGGCGAAGAGGAAGGATTTGAGCTGGTCGGCGGTTTCGTGGAGGAATTCTGGAGTCAGGTGGTCGGTGTCGGTTTCTTGGAGGCTGAGGGCGAGGACGCTGCGGGAGGTGGGATTTCTGTCCCATGTGGTGGTTTGAGTTTGTTGTTGCCGATGCTGCTGCTGCTGCTCAGCGTATTTCGCCTTGATGTGTGTGATGAGGATGGCGTCGATCTGGCGGACGAGATGCTTGCGGCGGAGATACGTGAAGGGGACTAGGAGCCAGGAGAGGCGGAATTTGCTGATATTGCTGTCGCGGCTGTAGCTGGCGAGGAGTTGGCGGTAGAGTCGGGTGAGGGGGCTTTGTTGGTGGGGTAGGCGTTGGGCGTGCATGTCTGTGTCCATTGTTACGGCTCCTAGCATGTATGTATCAGACCTGGGGCTTCCACTCCAGAGAAATAACAGGGCTATTGGCAGTTACCGATGATATCCAGCGTGAGACTGGTGCAGCGGTCCTCGAGGGAGAATTCCTCTCCCGTCCGGGCATATTCATCAAGACACTGAACGAAGATCCGCGCCTTGTCGATAATGCACGGCAGCAATGTGAGAAGATGCTGAGGAGCGAAGCCCGGATTATAGCGCTTGCGTAGAGCTTTCCATTTATCGCCCTAATGGAAAGATAGCGAAGCATCCACGTATCAGCTGCCAATGGCCCGGAAAAAAGGGTTCCAATCACACAAACCTCGGCTGTGATCAAAGAATTGGGCCCCAGTAACGGCTCCAGCGCTTTCATAGTTGGAGACTTGCCCATACTATAGGGAAAGGTCTTTGTGCTTCTCGCGATCTGCTCGGCGATTTCATGGTTGCACACGATGCCGAGGACGCCCACCACCGGGCGAAGGTCGAGGAAATACAGCGGCGGATTGCCCAGGTAGGCCTTCACATCTTCGAATACATGGTCTGCAGGCTTTTAGATTAAATGCGATAGAATACATGAGGGACAAGCGAACCGACATGTCTGCGACGTTCGCCGCGATTGACGAAGTCGTTCAGCGCCTTCATGTGGCCCCAGACGAGGGAAGGGGGGAGTTGCGGCCACGAGGCATACTGTTCGAATCGCAGATATCGAAGCCGGCGCCACAGATAGAGGAATACCAGGGGAAGCAGTGCGAGGATCAGCGTTGGCGTAAGCATTGTATTGACATGGTGGTTTAATCGGGGGAAGTTGAGATTGGCGACTGGGAATGGGGAGGAAGAGGGTTTTCGACTGACATCATCTGCGATGGAGATGTCACATTCCCGCCCCCGCAACGGGGAATTGATTCTTCCTCTGAACTAAAGCTCAATCACCCAAGAACAAGGTTGTATTCGGCAACAAGCGTATCAACTATGGTACAGTCCCTAACCCGCAATCCAGACCCAAAGCGCCATGTTCAGTTCCACCAAAGATGATGCACTGTACTGTGCATGCCAACCACAACTCCAGCCAGATATCTCCCGCAATAAATTCCAGCAATAACACCTTTCCCAATAGCTTCATCTAATATTCCTGCAGTTTATCCACCAATACCCCCGTCAGCCGTCAATGGTAAATCGAGAACAGCGCCTGAAACCCGATAGTCAACTGATCCTTATCGCTAGTCGACAGCTTCCCCTGGCCAGCAGACAGCACCATCTTCATGGCGGCGGGCAAAGTCGTGGGGAAAGCCCTGGCAACGAGCCAACAGACGATCTCCAAGCGGGAACTCTGGTGGCAGATGGCGAAGTGCACGGCGCTATAGATATGCGACTTGTTAACGAAGCGCGCGTCGCCCACACCACGCAGCAAGGCCTGCATCTTCCGGTTATAGCGCCGACGATACTGCATCAATAGCTCGGGGGGGTCCTCATGGTCCTTATCCTTGGGCAAGCCCATGCGCAGCATGTTGAGGTTGGGGGTGATCCAGTGCGGGAAGCAGGTATAGCCCAGGAAGCGCGGCATGGTGTGGGCGTCGTCCCAGTCAACGAAGCCGGTGACGGCACCGTGGTCGTCGATCAGCACGTTCTTGGCGCTGAGGTCGGGGATGCTGAGCACGAACGACTCGCGGGGCTCGGTGCGCCGCTTGGTCGACAGCGGCAAGCACTCGATCATCAGGTCGAGCAGCACGCGGCTGCCACGGTCCCCGATATCATCCTGCCACTGACTGGTGCGCTGCAGCCGGTTGCGCAGGTACGCCGCCGACGAGGTGAAGGGGCCGAACTGCTCGATCTGGAACACGCCTCCCTGCGCACACCCCTCGCAAATATGCTGTAGGTGGATAGAACGGTTGTGAGTCTCGTTCCAGCTATAGCAAGGTAGCTGCGCGGCCGGTTTACTTTGCCCGGGCTTATTCCCTTTCTCCTTCTCCTTCTCCTTCTCCTCGCCGCTACCGCTACCACCCTCCTCTTCAATCGACCCTATCTGCTCGAACTGAAACCCACGCAGCTGCGCCATCGCCTCCGCCACGCTGTCCAGAATACGCAGCCGCTTTTCCTCCAGCGGCACGGGGCCGGAGCGGTCGAACCACGCTTCGGCGACCATGCGGCCAGGGATGTGGGCCATGACGATGTAGGGCGCCTTGAGCGGGTTGGCGAAGCCGGTGTTGAAGTCGAGGACGTCCGGCATGGGGATCCTGGTGCTTTTCTTGACGAAGCGCATCATGTGCGCCTGTGCCGTCAGCGCCCGCCGCGCCGTCTCGGTCATCTGGCCGTGGCGCGCGCTGGCCGGCACCCGGATCACGTATTTGAGCCCGTCGCTGAACTCGACGATGTGGATGAGATTGTACGTGCCAAGCCAGTGCTGCAGCACCCAGGCTGTCGGCGTGGTCGTCGCCGTGGCTGTGTTCTCTTTGCTGCTTTTATTGTTCTTGTTGTTGTTGGTGTCGGGGTTACTGCTGTACTTGCTGCGGACGCTGACGGCCAGCTTGACGAGCGCCTCGTTGGTGATGTCCATGAGCTCGCCGAACCGCTCTTGAACGAACTCGTCGTCGGGTTTCTCATCGTGGTAGATGAGTGCTGAAGACATGATGACCGTAATTTCGAGCAGGAGTTGGTGCAACGAACGCGTTGCAGGTCGCGGCTTAGTGGTTAGGGTTGGTTCAGTGACTGAAGATAGATGCTAGGAATGAGAATCGGTGATCAAAGAAAGATGATAGAGTGAAGTAAAACTGTGACCCCTCCCTCTCCACATGACGCTGTAGGCGGTCAAAGCGAGGTGTGTTTATCGGTGTTATTCACTTGTGAACAGCTACCAGAACGACGTCATCTCTAAGCGATGCTATACACAACACCGTCTCTATAGTTACATCCCGTCCCAACTGACGTTACCCACATATCATAGAAACCAAAATTAAAGGGCCACAAAAAGTACTTCTCTCCTTAAACATATTTATTAGGTTAGAGTACTTCATAAGCAGTGCCCGTTGTTTGATACTGATGCTTGTGTTCACACCACATACAACAAAGATGAGGTTCTGAGGACAAAGACACATAAAATCTTCTTCAGTTGGAAATGGTGCACTGGCGTTATCAAGAACTCGGACCACGGCAGAAGGATTATCATTACAGACTATATATAAAAATATAAGGTCTTATGCCCATAAACCTTGTCTAATTACTCCTCCATACTGACTATCTCTTGCATCAAGTCATACCGAATCTTCTCCCCCACGCGGCTATCTCTCTGATACTCCGGATGTGTCATGACCACTGACCTCATCCATTGCGCAGGGGTTGGAAGCTCTCCACTGGCCCGTTTGCTGATCACGTCTAGATACGGCTTCAATCGCTTTCTCTCCAGTAACGGAGTTTCAATGTACTGCAAATAGGCCCAAACGATGTTGATCAATCCCGGAAACCCGTTTGAAATTTTCCGGTTCTCGCCGTTCACAATCTCATCCATGGATAACAGAGCATACGGCGAGGAAGGGTCTTGATAGGGTTCTTTAGAGCTTCTCCATGTGCTTGTCTTTGGTTTCATGCAGCAATCTGGTGAACATCCCTCACATGCGTGGTTGTTATGTGGCTCTGTTGTAGACCAGCCCGTGCGACGGAACCAGATTCGTTGGTCGAGCGCTGCGTTGCGTTTCTGGGCTCGCTCCATGGAGTCGCTCAGCTTGTCGATAGGAATATAGAAGCTCAGATGAAAGATGGTGATAGCGCGCGAGAGAAGGTAAATGAATATGGAAAATGCCGCATTGTCCAAGTCTGTCAGCTGAACTTCCATTGGCCGAAATTCGACTCGCCAGCCGGGTCCAGAGTCACTCAACGGGGGCTTCAGGCGTACATGTTGCCATACACTGTTGTAAAGCATATCAAAGAGACCCGTATGGTTGGGGTCAAATTGTTCGATATCTTCTCGACTCAAAATCATAGGGTCACGAGAAAGAACGGTTCCGAAGTGATGCGCCAAAGGCTCGTCCATTCCGCCATCCATAAGACGGCATTTAACTTTCTCATCGACAGGCTGCAGAGGTGTCTTGTTTTCCACATCCAGCGGTTTCTCTGACGAGATATATGTCCGATTCCAGGAATAGCGAGGTGGCTGTGGCAACTCTGTCAGTAAATTATCAGCCGCAGTAAGTGGTTTCACTTACGATTGTGGTCAGCTCTTCAGTCGTGCGATCATCGAGGCATGCGGAGATTCGTCCCCAGCGTGTATCTGTATCGACCAAATAGCCTTTGTACATAGGTGTTGCAGCAGTCAATGCCAACATGAGCGGCCCCAATGCCATAAGCTGATCGTGCAACCATCGAGCCTCAGGTTCATTTGGTGCTTGCATCGTGACTTGAATGCAGCAGCTTCCCATGCCAAGGCCGGGGCTTTCCAGATGCAGATGACCCTCTTTCGGGTCTGCTGGGGGTGGATGCTCTGTGGAGTACTCATACGACGCGGTTTTGTCGTAAAACGGTTGCTCCGTCGATTCGTCTCGAAAAACCGGGATATGGCTTTCAAACCGTCCTTGTCGTCGGGCAGCTAAGCTCTCTGTGACCATGATATAGCGTGTACTTGGATGATATATTTGGCGGTACAAAGCAGCTTGTGGAAAGACGCGGCTCAGCTCAGATGCTGTGAATTGTCCACGCGTACCAAGGCCAGGAAAGACACTGAGAGTCACAGGATGTTGACCTGGTAGTAAACATTGTCGAATCAACTTCCGCCTAAATTCCCGAGTCAATATTTGAGGCTCGATGAACTAGCCATGAAGAATCATTCACCTTAAACGCATGTTGCTTTCCGCATTCAATAATGCAGTTATTTCTCCCCCATACGGTTCCCCGGGGGTGGCTTCAACCATATATCGACCCCATTCCGGCTGAAAAGAAACCGCGTTCCAAGGCTCACTGTAACATATTAGCAAGTTACCTTTTCAGAAGCTACCCTATACTCACATGTTCTCTCCTTCGCAACGCTTCCTATATTGGCGCAGAACATCCTCTTGGCTCAAGAGCAGCGTTGCTTTGGATGTGCTCTTATCGAGGTTAATCAAGGTGTACTCGATCTAAGCAGTCAGCGGATATAGCGTCATTTGATTCGCTCAGAAAGCATACCTCATCTCCCCAGAGTGGCTCTGGATCAATTCGGTGTCGTTGTCTCTTCCAAAGGTGCAAAAGTTGCTTGTCTCGGTTAACCTTCCTGAACAGCCATATATAGGGTCAACACTCACTTCCGCCGCTCCTTGGCGAGCGATAGGCGCAAGTTCTTGGATTTCTTGCCATGAGATTGGTGCCGCGTTAAGTCTTCAACATTGAGGTCAGCTCGGTTGAGGAGGGGGTTTTCAGCTGTCGGGTGACATACGGAGGGCCCATGTTTGCAGATGTTGTTCGGATTCAATTTTTTTATTCTCAGTGTTACGCAAAGGTCGGCATCAGGCTATATAAGCCCAGGGGCTCGCGATCATAAAATCGAAGTAGACTTGGATATTGGTGTGACCACTCAATTCCGTGTCGATCGTCATCGAAAGCTGTAAAACACACACCGAGAGGTATCACCTGGCTGCGATGCTCGATGTACGTAATGAGGGCGGGAGAATAAGAAGGTCTCATGCATATTTCGAAAGTCTATGCTCGTCTATTGCCAATGATGAGATAGCACCGAACGGTAGCAGGCTGTTGCGGGTGCCCCTTGCATGGTGGCCTCGTCAGCTATGTCCGGGGAAGCGCCACCCCCGGCGGGAGAGCAAGCCATCAACGCCATCGGGCTTGGGTAAGAAGGTTGACAGAGGGCCAAGAAGCATTGATTGTCATTAGGCTGATTCTTGGTCGAGGCGTTCGCGTTTTGAACCCGGCTTGCGTGGTTGAGTCTCCCGCCTCTCGGGGCCGAGTGAATTGATCTGTGTTGACATACATATTTCTTGACTTGGCAAGGGTTCATTATGGTGGGCCCAAATAACGAATGCATTGGTTCCCAGGCTGTCGATAGGATGCTGCCTGCGATCCGTACGCGCAAAGCCAATGGTCAAGAAAATTGTCGTCGAGACGCGTAGGAATCATGTACGACGAGTCTCTGAGAGCGTGATATTTAGGCTGCAAGGGGTTGTGGATCAGCTTGTAGAGGGATTGACTTTAGATGAGATGAGAAAGTGGGATCGAGGAGGTCTGCTTAGATCTGATACCCTTCAGTATAGGCCCTTCATTCGGAATATACGCGCATCTCACACCGTACAACGCTTAACAGGCAAGTCGTCCTTGGCTGCATGAGAGCACTCGTCATCTCGTGGAGATCCCCCCTGGTATGCGAAGTTCTCAGGAAAAGGAGATGGCTTGGTAGAGGAGGTTGGCTTCGTCTTCGAAGTCGTCAGCCCGGAATGTCTGCGGCAGCACACCGCGAAGATGAAGCTTGAGCATCGGTAGAAATCGGAGGACTGGTCACTGTTCCGAAACGGGAAGGCTCAGGAGCTGGCCCCAAGAACCTTTGGGAGCCACGTGCCTGTAAGACGCGATCCTTGTCGACTTCAGTAGTCGAATTTATTTATTCTTCACGTTGAGATCTTTCTAGCAATCATCGTAAAATGTCCCAAATAACCGTGATCCTACTCGGGAGATTCTTATTGTCAAAATTAGGCGCAACAGTGTTGTTATATTCTCATCTACATGTACAAGTGACGGTAAAAGTACCCATATAGATGTGATAATTTCATAGAATTGGCAAAACATCCTAGAACCCGAGGAGAGCTTTTCATTGCTCTGCCCAACTACTCCTCCGTCTCAACCCTTCACCATACCTCCACAAAAACCACGGAATTGGACAACCGATGACCAGCGCCGTTAATCCTAGGACAGAATTCCCCCAGCCATACCCCAGCGCGCGGTACATAGGAGGACTAAACAACGGAAACCCGAATCCTGTCAAACCCCGCAGAATGTATACACCGCCATTGGCACTGGCCGCATAAACGCTATAGGTCTCAAGAAGATAGGCATTCGTGCATTGAAAGATGATGGTCGCGCCCATCAAGGGTAGAGCAATGCCGAGATCTGGGAAGATCCAGTGTGTTTGGGCCTCAGCGGTCCAACCGTAAATCAACAAACCAATTGGGATGAGAAGACTGGCAGGAATCATGAGGGGAAGGCGGAATTCCGGGTTGCGTTTCTTGGGGCATTGTTTGCTGGTGGTTTCATCCTCAAGGTCGGAGTGGTTCGGAGACAATTGCTGCTGCTGTCTCAGTTGGCGCCGCACCAGGTATTTGTAGACTTTGTCAGCAATAATAGCACAGGTTTGCGCACCAAGAAGGTAGCCAATGCATGGAGCGAGATAGTTGAGACTGCCTCGGCTAGTGGACATGTGGTATTGGGTAGTCCACAAAGTAGAGAAAGTCGATAGGACGAGATAAACCAAGCCGTAGAGGTAGCCATAATAGAGCGCTAGCACCTGGACTATAGGCTGGGTGAGGAGTAGACGAATGGAGCGTAGGAGAGTGCGTTTGTAGAGGTGCGCGAGAGACTCATTGTCTGGCTTATTGGCATCATCCATATCGAAGCGGGTGCGGAGTGTTGCGTCTTTGTAGTAAGGCTGAGACTGCAGCTTGTCCTTCTTGCTTCGAAGGAGAACAGGTGCATATGTTTCTCTAGCCAGACATATACCGACCAGGATGGCTACGCCGCCGAAAATGGACGTGGCATGGAATGCCCAACGCCAACTCGTATAGTCGGTGAGATAGGCACCGGCTATCGGACCAAGACAAGATCCCAGAACTGGACCCATGTTGAGGAGCGCGAGACCAAGACCGCGCTCTTCGGGGCGAAAGCAGTCGCCGATTGTGCTTGATCCGACCTGGTTTAAGCTGTCAGTGCGGTGATACTATGAGGGGCAAAGAGGAGCAGATACCGCCAGTGTGGCGCTTGCACCAAAACCACTCAGCAATCGAAAGACGAGCAACTGAGGGAAGCTCTTTGCAAATCCGCCAGCCAAATTGAAGACCAAAAAGAATAAGTTCCCTCCTTGTAAAACAGGTACACGCCCTACAAGCTCACTGAGTGGACCCAGCAGCAAAGGGCCTATACTGTAGGTAACCAAGAACAATGACACTGCCAATGGGCCCGTCACCGTAGAACCGACCTGGAATTCAGTCGAGATCGTGTCTACAGCGGGTGCAATTATGGTGGACGACAACGGCATGAGGAACACGGGCGGAATCAGCGTTAGCAGGACGATCCATTTTCGATAACTAGGCCAGTCGTGAGGGTGTTCGTCACGCTCAAAATCAATGATAATCGAAGAAGATGAAGACTGGCTGGATTGCAAGTGGGAATCTTGCTTCTCATCCTCCTGGGTAACCTGATTGTCCTTGTCATTCATGGTGGATCTTCGCACAAAAGCGCATACTCATTGATTGAATGCTGTAGAAGACATCTGACATATTTGTATTGTTCGTTTCGACGAGGAATTTGAGCAGGATCGAGCTGTGTCACAGTATGGATCCCAAACCTCAAGCAGGTACATTCCTTTGAAGCCACTTGCGTAATCCCTTGAAACGCCTTTATAGTTCGTCGTTGCCCTTGCATGATCTGCGGCAAATAATAATCCGACGATCTGCAATTCTGTGGCCCCTGGCAGATCACATCTTGAGGTGGTCGGCTGGGTTTCTGGTTCCGCGGGGCCAAGGGTCGGTCGTGTTTTTAGAAGATTATAGAGACTTATGATATATGGAAGCTATGAGATCACTTGTAACAGTGCAGTGACTTCCGTCCTGGAAAAGAGTAGGATCGTCATCTAGGCCCTTCTTGTGGCTCAAGCATGAATCACCTAGCAACTTGCAAGGATGTCGTCGAAAATAGGCTGGTTAGTACTGTAATGACCATAGAGTTTAATCAAACACAAGCTGACTAGTAACGGCAGATCGCCATAAATGAACGGAGATGTCTTGCTCTCTTATTTTCTTTTCTCCATAGTGGATTTACACAAGATAAACTGTCGATTGAATTGTCCTAGGGTTGACTTGTCTATCCCTTTTCTCTGTAGCTCGCGCACCTTTGAATTTCATGCCTCTTTCCATTTATCGCTTTTAGGGAGCGAGAAGTGTGTGCAACCTCATTAAGTAGGGAAATCTAATGTGAGCCTGTTCAAATCGGCTTCCAGTTTATATTGATGAGAATGCACCACACTGGTACATATATGCAGTGCCTCCAGGGCCAACCTGTCCGGAATCAAAGAGCCTGATAGCAATGTGTAGATCCTAAGATAGAAAAATTCGAGATTTTTGATGACAATATATACCTCCCGAAAGCATTGATGACATGGGCACATGCGCAGGCAAACGAGAGAGTAGCGGAAGCGAGTATGACCAATGGACGAGCTTAGCGAGGAAGAGAGTTTCTGAAGTGATAGAGGCTTTCACCTCGAGAAGTCTCCTAGGCAACTATTGGTTTCGATCCACCACCTTGCTTACCGTCGAGCACTGCAGAGCTAAGTTCCAAGATGGGGCACGTAAACAATTAACGGGGTTATCATCGCATAAGGTCTGTCTATAAGTACAGTACTTCCTCCATCCCCTCCCGCTCCACCCCCGTTCCTTTCTTTTATCTTTGACACCCCATCCTCTCCTCCCCACCAATTCACACTTCCTCGCAGTCTTTTCTTCATTCCCCGCCTTTAGTGGTCTGTGGAGAAGGTCAAGAGATGGGAGAATGTGATCTTCAGTGACCCCGGGAATCCGACTTGGGCAGAGGAAAGTATGAAATATCTGATCTGTTTGAATCCCGATTCGCACCAGCAGTGAGGAACCGGCCGCTGGATTTTACAACCTCAAAGATCGTTCTGTACCAGATAGCAAAACCATGAAGGTCAATCTTCCTGGGCTCATGCTGCCAGAGATGAGAGAAGCGTGAGCGCAAGGGCCAGGTGCCGTTGACAAAACTCCCCGAGCCAATCACAGAACCTACGAAGGAACCGTATATAGTGCTATGGAGTAATCACGTATCTCGTACGCAGCCCGTGATAGAATCAGGACCGGGGACGTGATCACCCATGAGATTAAAGACCCACCCAGTCAAGTATCTGCTTCCCAGCTCCGACCTCTTGTAAAAGCAATTCTACCTGCATCGGCTTGCTCGATCGTTCGGCGCGGCCGTGCCGATCGATGGAGATGTTGATGGTTCTTATAGCAGTGATCGTATCATGGACTGGTTGGAAACATGTGACCCGTTCGAAGTATAATATCGCTAGAAGCTTGCAGCATAGCAACAGCAGTTTAGTGTATCTGCTATCTAGTGCTTAACGATGGCTGGGATGATGCGATGGTGAAGGAGGGCCGCAGGCCTGGGTTCGAGTTGCAATTTCTCTACTTTGAGGCAGGGAGTTAGACAGTTAGAATATCATTGACACTCTAGGGCGACATGAGAAGGAGATGCGTACACCACACTCAAACATAGTAGGTCGTAGTGTAGAGACAAGGATGGCTGCAGTCTTAACCTCAAAAAGCTAGTCGGCTCGAGTTAAGGTTCGGCCCGGAGTTAGCAGTGCAGTCCGCATCTGCTAGCTTCATCATAGTGGCAAAATATTTATTGACTGCTAGAGAAGAACGGTTTGGGCGTCTCGGGCTAATAAGGGAGCAAATCATTGTTGAGACAGTGGCTATGGTTTTCAATTAGCGCACCTGGATATTCTCCAGGAGAAGTGAAGGTTGGTTTGTGCAATAATCGACATTCTAGATGCCATGGATTCTCTAAAACTGTACACAATGCAAAGGCAACTCTGGCACAGATCAATCCGCCGCTGAACGCTTGGTGGAGCAAAAAGAGACCAAAAGCGCCAGTCCTCCCCTGTATCATCAAGGTTCATAACGTGCCACGAGCTGGCAGGGTATCAATACAGGAACAAGCAAGGCCCTTCGCACATCCAACAGATAGTGGACGGAGCCAAGCGAGACGAGTCAATAAAAACAGGCAAAGGGAAAAGTAGGATAATGAGAGTCCAGGTACTGGTGGAACAAACAAAAGAGATCAAAAAGAATGCAATCCAAGCGAGTCAGGCAAAATATAAGATGTAAATGATGAAGACAATGAGAATGCAGCTGATGATGTTGGCCGCGGGTTGGCCAACCAGCGCCGATTCCTAGGGATTAGAGTCAGGATCATGATCATCCTTGGTAGGTTCCTCCTTGTCATTCTCGGCCTTCTTTTCAGCATCCAAGTTCTGCTCTTTCTGTTCCTCTTCCGCTTCGTCGGCTTCCGAAGCAGAATTCATTTTTTGAAGGGATGTCCCTTCGGTGGCTGCTACCTCATCCGCCGGATCTGACTTGCTTTCCGCGTCGGGCTGCGTCTCAGCATCGACAGTCTTGGTATCCTCCTCAGGCTGTTCACTTTGCTCCGCTTGCGCTGCCGCTGCTTCGGCTGCAGCTTTTTCCATCTCGGCCGCGCGCGCCTGCTGTCTCTCCCAGACCTCCTTGCGAATACGATCATCTTTGGCCCGACGGAGTCTTTCAGCCTCTTCGACGCCTCCACTCTTCTTCAGCTTGCCCTCCTCAACAAACGCACCGAGTTCCTTTTGGAATTTGCCGACCCGACGGGTTTCCAGCTCCTTCTGCCGAGCTTTCTCTGCTCTCTCAATCGCTTCCAGCCGAGATTCATGGTTGGGTTGCAGAGCGCGCACCTCTCCGAGAACGCTGTCTTTGGCCTTCACTGGGTCGACGGCCGGGTCGATCACGACGTTACGCGAAGTGTGGCGCAGGGTGGGACCGCCGGTAGCATTCTGCATCGCTTGCTGCTTGGTCGCCTGCTCGACAAGAGCAAAAGTCTGAGCAGCCTTCTCCAGGTCGTCCTGAAGATCAGCTGCAAGGTCTTCTTGCATGGTGAGCTGATCACGTTCTTCACAGACTAACTGGAGCTCCTTCTCCCAGATCTTCGTCCACACAGGCTTCTCCCGCTTGAGGAACTCTTGCATCTTCTTGATTTCCTTGGTGACAGCACTGATATCCTTACTGACAGTCTCGAGTTGCCTTGGGAGGGGACGAACGCCACGGCTCACCACATCCTTGCGGAGATCCTCAACAAGATCCTGAAGATCGTCCACGCGAGCCACGAGGCGTTCTGATTCTTCAGCAAGCTCCTTCTTACCAGCGTTCACACGCACGCGACCAGCATCGCCTTCATATGATGGTACGGAAACATCTGCAGCGGCGGTTTTCAAGCTGCCTGCCTTGGTGCGAATCGCGTTCATAGAGCTGGCAATGTCCGACGAAAAGTTCGAATATGTTTGCCGCAGAACTGCAAGGTCGCGTCTCAAGCTCTGAAGTTCTGCAACTTGACTGTCGCTTCCCGTGATTGGTCCCTTCCGACTGTCCTCGGAATTCGAGGTGCTCAGGACAGGCGCTGGAGGCGCGGCAGCCAGACGGGCCATTTCCTTAGCCGCCTCCAATTGACGCTCGGAAACACGTTGCATCATGCTCTCTTGGCCTTCCAGAGCACCTTTGACGCCTTCAATCAAACGACGAACTCCGCCGAGCTCATCATCAAAATGCTTCTTGACTTCATCGAGAATGTCAACGTTTAGCACCAAGACAGATCGATCCTTAACGTCACTCAGGTCCTCCAATTCATGACGGACGCCGGAAACAGGATCCTGGATATAAATCTCTGGCAAATCCACTCCATTGTTATGGGTGTTCCAGGCAAACTTCTCGATGAAAGCCAACTGGAGGCGCCCAATGGTGAGCCCAGAATAGCCTTCAGGAAGGACGAATTTCTTGATCTTGCTCCTGTATTGCAGAAACAGGGTGAGTTCCTTGCCCGGAGATTGCTGCTCTGGAGAATACTGAGAAGATTGCGGTGGGGTGGCGGTAGTAACAGCCGGTTGCCGTCGTTCTGATTTCGGCGTTCCGGGTAGAGCTGGTCCTGTCGACTCCTTTGTCGGTTCGAATGCTTCTGCAAGAGCTGGTTCCTCTGGGGGTTGAGGCAGGTCTGGTTGTCTTCCAACCACCGAAGCATCTGCTACGTCACCCTCCGGGCGTTCAGGGGCTTTGTCTTTGACAGTGTTGGTGGCGGTCACGGGTGACTGCGCACGCGGTTCGGCATGGGACTTTGGACGCTCCTCTTCGATGCTGGGGACCTTCGAGGAAGTCGAAACCGCGCCACCTTTCAGGTCGGTCAATCGGTTTGTCGATCGTTGTCGTCCATGGACGGACCCACGCAAGCGCACGGCGTTGAGAGATTCCCGAACATCCCGGCCACGATTCGGGATGGGAGAGTTTTGGGATGGAAGCACGGGAACTCCGTTCGATGAGCCGCCCAAGTGCTTTTGTATCTGATACGCAGAGAATCGTCGAGACGCACGGCGCTCCAACTCACCGCTTCTCTGCAGAGCACCCAGCGCATCGTCCTGTTTTGGAGGAGGCGGCGGTGCGGGGTACGAGGCAGGGGTGGAAGAAGCCACGGGAGCCTTTGAGGGGGTTGCGCCTTCTGTGTGCGAGGATTGGGACAAAATACTCTGCGTCTCTCTCCTGGAAGCCTCGCGTTCGGAATAGCTGCCCCGCGCATCCGCTGCTAATGTTGATGATGCTCGCGCCATCGCAGTGTCCTCCGCAGAGCCATTACTTCCGTAACGGCGAGTCGAGCGCTTCGGCGAGGTCACGGTCGACGCGGTTTCTTCATAGGCTTGGTTCATCGCCGCCTGCGTAGCTGCAGCACTTCCAGCACTCGCTTGTCGACCGGGCAACGGTCTACTTTCCTCCTTTTGCTGCCGGGACCGTAACCGAGCCTGCTTCTTCTTGAGTCCGTGGAGCAGATTAATAATGATATCACGGATGCGAGGGAGGTAGCGATCGAGAGCTTGCGGAGATGCATCTTGACTGAGGGTATCTTCGAGGATGGTGCGAAGGAGGTCTGGAACGGGGCCCAGATCTGAGGTGTCGACTCCAATAGCATTGAATGCGCGACAGGCCAGGTTGAATTCGTAGCCCAACCGCACGTAGACGTCTGAAACTTCATTTTCCGATGCTTGTCGTCGGGACCATTGTGTCAGGGTTTCGAGTAGCTGTTTCGTGGCCACCAAGAGATGCGTAACGCTCTTCTCGATTTGGTTAATCTGTCTTTCGGGCTGACGGGATCATCAGCACCACGAGGTCAGGCCGGAACATTTGTGGAGCAGCGATAAGGGGCGGTGACCACCAGCGGGCGCAACTTACCACCACGGTTTTGGATGATGATTGAGAACGTGTTGAGCTGGACGAGCTGCGGGGTGCAGACGCCATAGCGGACTCGACACTGCTACCTGACCCAGATGGAAAATGTTGAGCGGAGGGACTTCGCTGCTGGGAGCGAGAGGTGCTGGAGCCGGACTGCATGAGTGCAGCAGACAAGGAAGCTTCGAGGAGGATCCGTTCAAGGACCAGCAGTGGCTAGCTCGGAAATGTGACGATTTAAGAGCAACGAGCAGATGCAGGGTGCAAGGGAACGGGGAAGCGGACCCGAGAACTGTCTCAAAGGGTTGTGTAAGGGGAGAAGGCGGAACGACGGCGAGATTAGAATTTGGAAACGAGACCCAAAAAAAGGCTGTACAAGAAAGGGAGAGAAGTTGAAGAAAGGAGGAAATGAAGAGGCAGGGTAGGAAACACGAGTTCGCAACGAGTGTCAGACGCAGGAGAGAGATATAGCCAAGGAACCAGCCTCTTTTTTCACAGGATAGGGAGGGGGAAGGGTGGAAGAAGTGGTGGTGGTGGTGGTTGATTGAGGTGGTGGTGAATTTAGGTAGACAGGCTAATTCGGAAGACACGGAGTTAGTACTTGGGTAGGATAGTGGTCAGTCTAACAGTTTAGTTACCTAAGAGTAAGTAGGGTGGTTGACTAGCCAAGTTGTCGCTCTTATAGTTAGTTGTGCTGTTATTGTTGTCTAAGTTAGTTTTGTTTCTTGGGCACCCGATCAAGTTTGCTCAAGACTTGAGCCCCCAATCCAAGTCCAGTCCGTCCTCAATGAGTGAGTGATTGAGTGTTCTATCAATGAATGGTTGTCCAGTCGCTGCGGTAAGTGCGTTGGTTAGCGCCGGCCTTGTCTGGCTGTAATGCCTGAGGCATCTTAAATCCACAGCACAGTCCTCCGATAGGCTTCCAAGTCACATGCTCCACCAGCCTCCGGGATTTTCCAGGCACAATGATAATGGTGCATTGCAGCTCCCCCTCCCCCCCACAGCTCAGCTTTGCTGCTGATCTACCTAGTATAGTGGTTGAGCAGGGTCTGGGATGGTCTTGTATACTAATCTCCTACAATTTCATACTGTTTTGTCTGGTTCTTTTTCACTGTACTCATTCGTAACTGAGATGGGCACGCTGTAGAGTGAACCTTACTATCGACTATCGAGTCCCACCCGATCCTCCTCATCCCTGAATAGAACTCGTTTCTTCTTCTGCTGTGGATGTGAGACTGCAGATTCGCATTGACGTAGGGCTTCCCCACGACGAATAGTTACTTGCTATCAATTTTCCGACATGGTCAGTCTGTGCCACCACGCAGTTGACGGTAATCTGCAGTCGACCGTCTATCTGGGCTATTCATGATCGCATCATTTTCGTTATATCGACACCTGACCAAAGTCCCTCCAGCTTGGACTGTTTCATCCTATCTTACGTAATGAGCCCATGTCTATTTTTAAACTACGACATGGTAGACTAGGTATATCAAAAAGTCAAACCTCTAGCTAGGAACAACAGAGCGAAGACTCATCCACAGGAAGGGCCACGATGGGTGTCAATATCATTGTGTAGCTTACTACAGCCGACTAACAACTTCTTCGCTGCTCGGTGGTTGGACCTGACCGAGTATTGTCTGACCGGATCGGCCATCTGTCGCTGTCTCTTGATGAGTGTTCGCATAGGATCTCACGCAGCCCCTGTGGAAAGTGCTAATTGGTCTGCGGTACTTTGCGACAACATGGAGCTGATTTGCAGCACGGAGGCTCTCCCACACCGATATTCGAAAGGCTTCGGCCACACACTTAGTATTTCATCCAAGGGAAAGCGGCGAGCGTGGCCATATGCAGGCTAAATGTTACCATTCCTGATCTTCACCTGCTGTTGTTCTCTCCCACTCAAGACCACCGCAGAGCATGACCTAACCTCAGTAAACATAAGTCGACAATACAATCGATCCCGAGGTATGAGACAAAAATGACTTTTTGGGTCAAAGGGGTCATGATCTGTCTTGGTATTTGTCGGATGTGTTGGCCGTACGGTAACCCTTGCTGGGGACACCATCAGCTAAGACCCTTCGAGCCACAATCTCTTCATCCCTCAAAGTTAGGTGCACCGCTACGGTTCAGCCACGCTGACAGCACAGAGATCAGATGAAGCGACTCTCGTGGACTCGAAGCAAAGAGCTTCTATGCAGTAAGGGACCCATTCCAGATCTCGAGAGGTACCGGTCCAGCCAGCATGACTGTAATTGGTAAGTATTGTATTTCAACCTCCAGTGGTAGTGGATCTAGGGTACTCGGGTGGGTTATGACAGGCCGCAAGGGCCCAGTCCATTGGTATTGAGAGATTTGAGATTGGCAAGCCGACGGAGGGAGACGTAGAGGCAAGTGGAGTGAGGCGACATGGTGCGTCTCAGTAGCGAGGTGGAACAGATGCACACCCACAGACGCATATGCATCACTGCATTCTGATTTCCTGGAACAGACGCACAAAAGGGGGAAGTATTTTTGGTGCTAAGCGACTTTTTTACAGGGTATCGAGGGAAAGAGAAAGCAGTTCTACCGAGTATTATACTGTTTTCCTGCCTTAGTGATCTTAGTGATGTTATACGCAGTTGTCATAAGTGGATGGAAAAGGTTGAGGATGAAGCATCCACGATGACGGCACCGCTAGCCCACTCGAGATAAACTACGGAGTACTCATTTTAAATCGATTCCAATCCAACCAATGTCAATTTGACAAGCTAATCGTCATTTCACCGATAGAAGAGGGCAACAACAAAGAACAACAAGAATGTTGAAGTAATGGAAATGAGCCTGGTCTCTTCCCCACCTACGCTTTTCCACCACCAACCAAGGGTCTTCTTCTGATGCCCACCCGGGAATCACTGACAAGCTTAACTAACCCCCGACCTTACCGTAAGAAGGGTAGTCTAAACTCGTACCCGTTCCAGTTCCAGTTCCAGTTCCATCACCAGTGCACCACCACACCTCTCCAACCTTTTGACGCCGACCTCTTCTGCTCTAGCTTTCCTCCGTCCCCTCCATCTCCCCCCTCCCCCCCCTCCAAATATTATTCACCCTCCTCCTTCCTCCCTCCTGCTATCGATCTACTCCGGTCGATACTGACAACGTCTATTCTGCTCGAAGACGTTTGTCTATTATCCTTTCCCTTCCTCTTCTCCTCCTCCTGTGGACGCTTTGTCTTCGTCCTTTTGCTTTTACCCTTTCCCTTTATTTCCCCTCTCAATTCCATCCCTCTCTGGAACTGTCGGTGGAATCTCAAATCGAGGTCCCGTGACTTGTCGCTGGCTCGCCTGGTCTGCTTTACGCCTTCTTCTTTTTCACTCCCCGCGCCTCTCTGGTTTTCTTACGCCTTCCTCCCACTTCGTCCCTTATCGCCGTCCGTCTGGCTCCCTTCGCGCAGGCGGTGTGTTCCCGGCTTCGTGCCTTCCCGTCGCTCCAAATTGCGGCTTTGCGTCGTGCGCCGACGTTGAGCTTTATCGTCACTGACGATCCAGCCAGATGGCTTCAACCGCCAACTCCGTGCCGGCCGCCAACAATGCCTCCGGCAATGCTGTCAACTCGCAGAACCCCAGCGCTAGGCCTACACTGAGATCGAGCGCCAGTACGAAAGCTTCGGATGGAAACCGGCGTCAATCCGGTAGTCCAATGGATGGTGGACAGAGGTACGTTTGTTGTCCAGCTCATTGCTACCCGTTGCTTGCAGTCCTTTCCTCCGACCGGCTTGCCCCATTGCACCTGTTTCGCCGCTGTTTCCGTGGCAGGGCTATAGTCGTGTGCTTCCTATCCTTTTGGCTTCCCTTTTTGAGCTTCATGGTCCCTCTGAACGAACCCGATGCCATGGGGTTCCGTCACTATTGGCGTTGTCATATCCCGCCTTCGCTTTATCTCTCACTTCATTCCTGCCTGGACATCCGAATAGTTGTAATTTTTAGCCATGTGCAACAGGTGGCGTCGGAGTCTTCCAGTTCTGCGTGGCATTGTATTGATATGCAAATGGACTAACACTTTATCTGTCAGGCGCAGTAACTCTCAGAAGGCTTGGTCACAAGGAAACCCAATCACTCAGCGATCGTCATATGCACAGCAAAACGGCAACATGCCCCAAAAGCAACCAGCGTCGTCCAGACCCTCGCCCAAAGAGTCGAACACGCCTGATCACCATGCACATGACCGTCTCGTGTTCTTGCTCACTAGCTTCATTGTAAGCTCCGCTGGGCCACAATTGCTGTCAAATTATCAGCTCGAAGGCTAACAGAAACTAGGGCCTAACTGCGACTGTCACCACAAAGAATGGAGAGAGGTTCACTGGGATTTTCTCGTCTGCATCTCTTGAACCGAATGAGTCTTCATTTCTTCTGAAGATGGTACAGCGGCCGACCAAGCAAGAACAGCACAGAGCGAATGGCGTGAGTGAGGCTTCTAGCCCATTCATGGGATCAGCACCGGATCACAGCATGTCTTTTGATGTCAAGGATGTGATCGATATCTCAGTGTCTGATGTTTCGACCACTGATGTTCTTGCCAAGGCCCCGAATGGTACGTACTAAGCCATCGCTTCAATTGTTCTATGACTGACAGCTTCCAGGTGCCTCTGTAGGCTTTAAGACTGATACCGATATCTCCGGCAATCTCGCAATTCGTGAGAGAACCCTGAAGCGCTGGGAGCCATCAGCAGACACGGATGTGGATCTATCCCTGGAAGGCGCGAATGCCTCGTCTGGATGGGATCAATTCGAGGCGAACGCAAGACTTTTTGGCGCCACTAGTAGTTATGATGAGAACATTTACACAACCAGGATCGATCGCTCGGATCCTGCTTATAAGCTGAAGGAAGCGGAAGCCGCTAGAATCGCTCGTGAGATTGAAGGCACTACTACGGACAACGTCCATATTCGCGAAGAGCGAGGTTTGGTGTCTGCGGACGACGGTGATGAGGAAGAGAAATATAGCGGTGTCCGCCGTGATGAGAAGAGCTTCCCACCTCTCATCTCTGGACAGCCAAACAAGTACACCCCGCCCGCCAGGAGACAAAACACTGGTCAATCCGCTCCTGTCAGCGCGTCTGCAGCCCCTACCCGGCCGGCCGCCAGTGTTTCGAAGGACGCCGTCACTCCTACACCAAAGGAGACTGCTGCGGCTCAGTCCCAGCCTACGCTATCGAAACCTGCCCCCACACCCACTCCCGCCGCCGACGCGGAGAAGAAGCCTGCGCCATCAAAGCCTCAAGCGGGCCCTACAGTGCCCGCTGCCACTAATGCTACTGCCAATGTTGAAGTCGAGGTGCTGGATTCATTCCGCCGGTTCGCCGATACTGAGAAGGCGAAGATGCAGGAACGTCGTCGTAACCAGGCCACCTACGACCGGACAATCAAACTCAACGAATTGATGAAGTTCTCCAAGAACTTCAAACTTGCTACTCCTGTTCCCAAGGACTTGGTGCCGATCCTTGCCAAGGATCCCCACAAACAGGAAGAAATCATTCAGAGAGCCCAGCAGCATGCCGAGGAGAAAACATCTACGAAATCTTCCCCGGCATCCGCGGAACCAAAACCAGTTGCCCGTGCTCCTGCGGCTACCGCCGTCGCTCCACCGGCTCAGACCGATCGTACCAACTTCCCGCGCGGCCGCCAAATGCTCCCCCCAACTGGGCCTAATACTGGCTCCAATGGACGACTTCCACAGCAGGCTATGCACGCCGGCCGTCCAGCCACAGGAATGCTTGGCCATCGCCTAGCTGATAACCTGCAGCAACGGAAGGGAGCTGCAATGGGCGCGATTCCTGCACCCTTGCCTATTAATGAAGTTCGCAGCCCACCGACCGGGCCTGCGGGTGATCAGCCTAGCGTTACCAGCCCGAGCAAGGCGCAGACTCCAACTTCGGCTGTCTCATCGAAATTCAACGTGAGGGCCATGGAATTCAAGCCGAACCCCGCGGCGAACACCTTCACACCCGGCACTTCGACAATTGCTTCTCCATTTACTCGAGGACGCTCTGTCTCGAGGGCCACCAGCCCGTCCGCTTTCTTCGGTGCGAAGAAGCCACGCCCAATCTCAGAGCGACCCTCCCTCAGCGAACAATTCAACCCTATCAAGCGTATGAAGAAGGAAAATGCAGAGAAAAGTGACAAAGATTACACTTTCAATGGTGGCATCCCCCCTGCCTATAAAACCCTGCCTACCTGGGATGTGCCTGCCGGCAACGAAGAGAAGACATATCTGCAGATGTTCAAGGCCCCTATCTCTGTGCCGGCCATTTCCCCTCAGAACCGGTCTGCGTCCAACTCGGCCATTCCTCATCAGCCACAGATGCCATTCCAGTATCCGCAGTCGTCTCAGGGTATGCCTCCCTCCAGTGGTCCTCCACACGGGCCTCATCTCCATCCTCAGCAGCATCATGGGTCTGGTCCACCTCATTTTGATGATCCCCATCGTATGCAGATGTCGGCTTCGACATCTCAAATGTTCCCTTCCCCCCGCTTGCAGCATGGTTATCCTTCCCCTATGGCGCCCCATGCTCAGTTGGCGTTCGGGCAGCCTATGCCACAATTCTACGTCAACCAGGGAGGCCCACAGCCCGCGCACATGAGACACTATCCCGGCGCTCCTCAATTCGTGAACCCACAATCTGGCATGGGGGCACCCATGATGGTCCAGCAGCCGTCTAGTGGGCCTTACATGGGCGTACCTCAAGGCGTGGCCCCCTATACCCCTCAGATGCAGATGTATTCGCCCAACCCTGGTCATGCCTATCCTCAACATGCGCCACCTCCCCAGCCCCATAGCGGCTATCCTAGTCCAAGTCGCGGTGCGCCGATGATGATGCACCAGAACTCTCAGCAGGGCCAGCCCCCACAGCCGGTTATGTTCATGTCTCCTGGCCAGCATGGACAGCCAGTGCACCCCTCTCAGCAGCCCGGTCACAGTATGTAACCGCCTACGCCTGCTCTTCTAATCACAGGCATGCTAACATTCGACTGGCAGTGCCCCCGGTTCGAGGGAACTATCCACAGCAACAGCAACCTCATTTCCAGTCTAGCCCTCACCAAGCGCATCATTACCCTCCTCACCAACACCGGACCCCTAGTACTGGCTATAATCAGATGCCTCAGGTACCACCTCAGGTCCCTGCTCAGCCGCCACAGGCTGCCGCGTCTGGCGCTCAAACACAGGAAGCTGCAGACGAAGTGAAATGAGGTCTCTTCTGAATTTCGCGAAACCCCATACCGCGGGCCTGCCAACCTATTCGAGGGGCTGTGCTGACCCTCCTTGGGCATTACTTGACTCCACTCCTCTGTGAACAAGATCAACTCACAGTTGGCGACTCCACTCTCCCGTGCCGTCCCACATCTCACCGTGTTTCCCAAAGCCATCAGTACCATGTTACCTTTGCGTCAAGCTCTTCGTTCATCGAAGACGCATACAGTTCCAGGCGAGCGGATTGCGATTAAATTTTGGTGCGTCTACTTTGGGTGATATGCGGTGTGCGGCCTATAACTAACGGTAGTAGACGAGCTGTCAGTCTTACATTGAGTCCCTCGGCCCCGCCAGGCCTGGGTGTCCGAGAGATTTGCCAGAGTTATAGGGTGAAGGATGACGGTTCTCCTCTCTCGGTTTGGCGTGTGGAGAGTCATGAAAATGACGGAGACCGTGGCTATTCTACACGAACTATACGTAGGTTGTTAGAAGTGATCTTGGATCCGACAATGCCCTTTTTTCGAGGAACTGTTCAAGTCATTGCTTTATGGCGGTGGCATTCTCGGGGGTCTATTTATTTTTCTCCTTTTTGTTTGTTTGTCAACTTGCGGTTACCATTATTTTTCGCGCGATGATGAAGGATGGGACAGATGCGTGTAAGAGAAGGTGGTCCCATGGAGGATGATGCATCAACGGATGCTGCCTTTGTGGTACGCCGGGGATCGTGGTAGGCATGGGCATGATGGAAGGTGGGTGAACCCATGAGATGGAAGCGCAGTGCATGTGGGGTATGAAAAGATGGGACGAGATGAGGAAATTTGAGGAGTGATTTGCGAGCAGCTTGAGAAACAATGAAATTTGCATCTGATTTTCGGATCCCATCACAAAATTAGACTTTCAGTAAACGCCTATAGAAGAGTTATGTGCAAACGGAGGTCAGGTTTGCTGGATTGTCCAAGTCTTCGAATCGATTTCCACAACCACAGACGATCAAGCAAGCAAAAACATCGAAACAGGGTGTCAAAGAACAATCACAAGGGTAGGGGCAACAACAGATCTCCTCAGGTCTTTTCAGTTTATAAAATTGGTCGTCATCCAGTCCACCGCAACAAAACCAACACCATCAGACTGGCACCACCGCCGCCGCACTTGCACCCTTTCCCTTCCCCCAAGAATCCATCGCCTCCCCCATCCACCCCGGCCAACCTCACACACCACACAGTCCCCAGAGAAACCTCGATTCCACAGCAAGCCACATATACCAAGCCCATAAGTTCCAACAAACCACCCTGCCAACACCCCACTTCCCCATCCCCAACACCAATTCCCAAAATACCACGGCACACCACATACCAAAAGGTACAAAGTATGGCAAGGGATTTCCCTAATACTCCCTCATTAACCCTCCATTCACCCCATCAACAACCCAACTCTCCCAACCCTCGCCCTCACCACACAGCAGCAGTTCAAACCGACAACCCACACACACACACATACACACACACATCATCCCTCCCAAAGCCCCTCAATCTCTCCGGATCGTCCCACCGGAACCCACGTCCCCAATCGTTCATGAGCCGGAGAAAGATATCGAGAGAAGAAACAAGGATCCTCGGAAGGGAAATCCGCGTGCATAATAGCGCAAAATGTCCGCCGCAGCCTTATAGTTTCTGTATAAGTTCCTCATGGAAGGTGAAGCGGAACCAGAAACCCCAAATTTGCGGCGCTGTTTGTTGTACACTTCTGTCCCTTTCGTGACCAAGGTATATATGCAGTGCTTGATTGCCTTGGTTCCGTGGGTGTGGGGACATGTGTCTGCTTATCTTTGGAAAGTGTGGTTGAGGGTGGGGTGGGGGAGAGGGTGCGGGGGATTTTGAGGTGTTGGAGGATGAGGGTAGGGAGAGGGAGGATATGTCAGAGGGGGTAGTGGGGGTGAGAGAGGGCTTGTAGGGGGTTTGGGTGGGTGGGATTCGTAAGTTTGAGGACGGCGTGGTGGGAGGCAGTGAAGGTGGAGGAGTTAGGGACTGGACTCTTTGGTTGGAAAGGAGGGGGTTTGGTGTGGGAGCGATGGGTGGTTTTGGTGCGGGGGAGGGCGCGGTCTGACCTTTTACCAGGTTCGCATCATTGGAGATCTGTGTTTTTTGGTGTAGGACGAGGGGAATGGTGTGGGTTAGGATGTGAAGGGGAGGTAGTTGGGTGTAGCTTGGTGGGAGGTCTCGCGTTCGAGTAGGTAGATAGGCATGGTAGAGAAGAGGTGGTAATGGAGGAACGAGCTGCGAAAGGATATTGGATGTAAGTGAGAACAAGATATGTAGATCGCATCACATTGAGAACAATGGTCGGGCTGCTTTCAGCATCATGAAGCTGTCGAGTCGGTGAAGCTGAAGCTGCATGGTAAACAAAGACGGCGACGCGATGAGAAGAAGAGGAACAGAAATGACGAAGCTTGACAGAAAGAATTCAGGCACTGGCCCGCGGGCCCTAAGCCCGATTGGGGGCGGGGCAGTTTAAGCCTACAGCGGTTTCCGCCTTCAACTTCGCCGAGTCCCGCGCGGGTGTTATTGATTGAGTGTCATCTCCCCTCCTCCACCTGTAAACCGCCATTGTCAGCTTGGAGGCTGCAACGCTTTCCTGCACTCGGCGCACAGTTGAAAATCTGTGTGTGAGACTCTCTATATACTCCGGATTTGTCCATATCACTAGCTTCACGTCTCTATTCGAAATCCCGGACGACTGTTGCGCTGCGACCGGCGCTGCTTGAGACCAGCTAGCGGCCTATTCCCTGTCACTCCACCCACGCCGGCAACAATGGATTTTCTGAAATCCGCCGTCGCGTCCGCCATCGCGAAGGGCAGCTCCTTTCCCTATTCTATTGGAGACAGAGTTGATCTTTCCGACTCCATTTGGGCTCTTCATAACGCTACAAAACGGGTATGGAGCTCTGTGTATACTGTCATGGGGTCGCATTGGTCATAGAGCTAATACAATGCGCTGCTGCAATTAGGAAGACGGCTCACTATGCAGTGTTTTTACCTTCGATATCGCGGCGAATAAATCTCGTTTACCGCTCGCCAAAAATGCAGTGCGCAAATCCCGGACTTTGAGACATCCCGGAGTGATCAAGGTGTTGGACACGATCGAGGTAATGCGCAGCTATGCACCCGACACCTCGTGCCAAGTACAGCAACTCTAATACTTCCTAGACCGACGCCAGTCTCTACATTGTTACCGAGCGAGTGGTGCCCCTATCCTGGCATGCGAAGCGGAGAAGCCTGAGCGAGGAAACGGCCAAATGGGGTTTATATGCGGTCGCAGTATGTGTTGTACAGGAGTCGGAATTTGTCTGCCACATTGGCTAACACTATGCTCAGTCCACGCTGAAGTTCATAAACGCTGATGCTTCGTCCGTCCATGGTGCTGTCAGAGCGTCGTCGGTGTTCACAAGTGAGAGTGGCGAGTGGAAGCTAGGCGGGTTCGACATTCTAAGTTCGATGAACGAAGAGGACGCCGTGATATATGTAAGGGCTGCTGTCGGAGATTTGGAGACAGAAGGTTGCTTACCTCTTTCTACAGACATACGCCAGTCTTTTGCCCGACGCCGCTCGATACACACCTCCGGAAGTCCTCAAGGGAGGTTGGAATATCATTAAAAGTCACCCGCTCACAGCTATCGACTCATATGGGCTGGGGATACTCATCTATGAAGTTTTCAACGGAAACTTCACGGGCAGCGATCAGGTGGGCAAGACGACAAACATTCCGCCTAGCATGCATCAAAGCTACAAACGTCTTTGCACGGCCAACCCTAAACTACGACTGAGTCCTGCGCATTTCGTCGAGCAGGGAAAGAAGAGTGGTGGATTTTTCCAGACGCCCCTTATTCGCTTATGCGATGACATAGAGAGCCTGGGCCTGAAAAACGATGCTGAACGAGAAGAGTTCGTGGAGTACGTGCTAGCCCGAGATCCAAACGTTTTGGATTGATGCTGACTGATGCAGTGAGCTCGATGGCTTGTCGGAAGACTTCCCAGAGGAGTTCTTTAAGATGAAGGTCCTTCCGGAACTTCTAAAATCTGTCGAATTTGGTGGAGGTGGTCCGAAAGTGCTCAGTGCTGTTCTGAAAATCGGTTCGAAATTGTCACAGGAGGAATTCAATGCAAAGCTTAGCCCAGTGATTGTCCGACTATTCGGCAACCCTGATCGAGCCCTTCGAGTCTGTCTATTGGATCACTTGCCCATGATGATCGATAACTTACCCCAGCGACTTGTCAATGACAAAATCTTCCCACAGATTGTAAGTCAATGGCCGCTCCAGATTGCTTGTCCATGCTAACACTTTCACGGTAGACGTCCGGTTTTACGGATGCGGCACCCGTTGTTCGCGAGCAGACAGTCAAGGCAGTCTTGCCGATTATCGATAAACTCAGCGACCGGACTATCAACGGTGATTTGCTGAAATATCTTGCGCGGACTGCGAATGATGAGCAACTTGGAATCCGTACCAATACGACTATCTGCTTAGGCAAAATAGCAAAGAATCTCGGGCAAGGGGTATGGGAGATCCGAGTCAAAACAGCTTTCATACGCTAACAATGGGCAGTCACGATCTAAAGTCCTTGTGGCAGCTTTCTCAAGATCCCTTCGAGACCCATTTGTGCACGCTCGCAGTGCTGGCTTGCTAGCATTTGGGGCGACGATGGAGTTTTTCTCGGAAGAGGATTGTGCGGGCAAAGTGCTGCCCGCCATTTGCCCTTCTCTTCTTGATAAGGAGAAGTATGAGTCATCCTAATCAATTCCTCCATGACTTAAGCTAAATATTGATACCAGAATGGTGCGAGATCAGGCGAACAAGACCTTGGACCTTTACCTCCAGCGAATTCGGAAGTATAGTAGCACCATGGCAGACACAGTGCTCCCATCGCCAAGCAGTCCGGAACCCGCCAAAGACACCGCTCGCATAGGAACCACGAACGATAAGTCGTGGGCGGGATGGGCGATCTCGTCTTTCACGAATAAGCTTACGGCGGCCAATGGCGAAATTGAGCCCACCGCAAGTACCGCCAAGCCTGCCGAGCCAGAACCTGTGCGCTCTGCGTCAGTTCCTCGGCCAACCCGGTCGTCGCCACTGGCACCCAAGGAGACAGCACGCCCCGCGGGTCATTCTTTGAACCGGTCCGTGTCGGAGCAGGCCCCTATGGCGACCAATGAGGAAGACCCCGAGGATGTCTACGACGCATGGGGGGCAATAGACGATGAGGATGAGAGCGCGCCAAAGGAGGAAGACCCTTTTGAGACTGCTTCGACTGCTAGCCCTACGGTGTCTGCTCCGGCGCGCAAAGCAGCCCCAGTGCCGTATGATGATGGTGGAGAGCCGGACTTTGCCGGGTGGCTTGCGGCACAGTCGAAGGTCAAAAAGCCGCTGCCTAAGGGCTTGAACAAGTCTAGCTCTACGCCTGTCTCTCGCACAACGAGTCGTAGCATTGTGGCTCAGCCTAAACCTGCAGCACCCGCTAAGAAGATAGATACCAAGCCCAAGGATGAGGACGAGGATGATGGATGGGGCGATGCATGGGATTAACGTTCCACGGTTTTTGCTATTGCATTGCAGGGAGGTAGGAGCAGGACGGTCATGATTACTTGGCTATCTAATTGGTATAGTATTGCGAACATTGACTTATAGATCGGAGTATAACATAATAGACTTACTTAGTATAAGTATAAGTTAGTATATACTTACTGATTGACTACTAAACATGAAACAAGATTAGTTAAAATCGATAAGGCCGAACCGAACCGACCGACTTTCAGCGGGGAACGGCCCCGTGATCACGACCGTCACATCCATTCGCCGATCCTCTCCGCCCGCCGCCCGCCGCCCGCCGCCCGATTCCACTTCACCAACTCATCCTCCGTTCACTTCTCCCGTCATTTCCTACTGTTTGTGTGCTTTATCTTTGCAAGTGCATCTCTGGTTGTATCTCTCTTTCATAGTTGAGATTTATTGGCTCCTCGTTCTCCCTCACAAGCCGTTGTGAGTCAGAATCTCACGGACAGCATTTGCCGATCTATTCGTTAATCCTGCTGCCTTCCAGCGCCTCCCTTGTCCCTGCGTCCATTCGGGCCGGTGGGTATTCTATGTCGTCTTGCGCGCGATGGATGACCATTGATGAACCTGAAGGTTGATCTGTCACTTGATAACCGTCCCCCATCCTTTCCTCCGGGACCAAGTCCCTCCACGCTATATCATGGATTCCGAAGAGGTTCCTCCTCCTCCTCCCCCATACTCCGCGGTCGACCCCATGATCGCCCAAGCCAGCAATAGGAACGCCGCCGCAATTGTAGAAGTCAATCGGGCCTTACTTCGCCTGCGGGGAGGTGATGCAGCATCCTTTGACCCGCCCGCGAGTCCTGCGTCCAGCATCGCTGGCAGTGAGGGCACAGCGTCCTCCGCTGCGTTGCCCGCTCATTTTACGTCTGCGGCCGCTTATTTCGCTGAGAGAGCCCCTCCAACGCAAAACATTGAACGACCGATCGTGGAACACTGCATCACCGTCTACCCACGGAGTCAGTCAAAGGACTTCCCGCGTCGCCCGCGGTGCTGGAATACGCGGACGGAAGACATCACCCAGCAGGACTGGGACATGTTTTTGAGATGTCTGTTTCCGCCGCACTTAGGACTTGCGTCTTCGTCTTCCGAATTACCCCGCCAACTCAGAGCAGAGATCCAGCGTGATCGCAAGGATCGACCGCAGGAAAGCGATGCGGATCGCAAGCGACGGATTGCCGCGGTGATTATGGAATGGAATCAATACTTCTTTGAACCGCGGTCAGCCCGTGTGATGTATAACTACGTGATAGATCCTCAGCGGGCGCCGCGATCGTCTCTCTGTCCGAGATGCTACCCCGCTGCAACAAGCCGCACTGGACAAGCTTCCTCGAATGCTGGTCGAAGTCGTCAGCAGGAGCCAAACGCGCCACCAGCAGCCCCAGGTCAGGTTGCCGTCGCCACTCCGAATGCTACACCTAGTGCTGGACCCTACGCTTTCCCGCCCTTCCCGCCTCCTCCCCCACCCGGTCCATATGGGGCTCCGTACCCTCCTCCCACATTCTATAACCCTCCAGGCGTCCCTCCTGTCCAGCCTCCTGTATATCCTTATGCTCCTCCGCCTCCGCCACCCCCAGGACAATATCCACTCCCCAACACCTGGGGATGGAATGCTCCCCCATATGGCTATGCTATTCAGAATCAAAGTCAATCGAAAGGCGGACCGTTAGGTTGGATAGCATCCTTGGCCTCTCAGGCCCAGAGATACGGTGAGCGCATCACGGAACAAGCTGCGCAATATGGCGATCACATTAGTGCACAAGCCCAACACTACGGCCGACAGGTCGAAGAACAAGCACTAGCTCACAGCCGATGGCTGGAGGAGCAAGCCGGCCTCTCAGGACGGAAAATGGAAGGCGCGTTTACCGGATTCGTTGGTCGCCCGCAAAACGAATGGGGTGCGTCTGAACCCCCCAAGATAGGATACTATAACACCCCCTACACGCAACCTGTGGTAGCCCCGACAGAGACGGCTACCGGGCTCATCACGAATCAACAGTCTGGTCCAACACCATCAGAACGGACTCGACGGGCGTCCGTGAGCTCGGAAGCCTCTGATACCTCTTTTTCATCGATCGATACCTTTTCCACGACCTCCGAGCTCAGCGCATCCGATCTGGCTACCGTCCGTGCGCAGCTGTTGTCACTGGACGACTACCACGACCGAGCCCTGTACGAACAAGCCGTGGGTCTACGCCGTCAACTCGACCTCTTACAAGAATCGCGGCGGCAGACCCGCCTTTCGGGCCGCAGCCACTGGCGCCACGGCTGGGGCCGCTGGGAGTCGCCACAGCAGCAACAGCGCAAACAAGCGGAGAAGCGCGCTGTCAAGGAAGAGACGCGGTCGACGCGCAAGGCGTTCCGGGATGTCGTCCGGCGGGCGCGGGAGGAGCAGCGCGAGCAGCGACGGCTGAAACGCAACCGACGCCGCCAGGAGCAACGCGCGCGACAGACGCCGGAGACTGCCGCGGACCCGGCTCTGGAGCAGCGCATGCAGAGTCTGGAGCTTGTGAATCACCGCGAGAGCCAGTCAACGGTGCAGTCGTCTGCGTCAGTCTCCTCTCCCGTTCGGTCTGTGGCTGAGACGGAGGCCAGCGAAATCAGCTCGGTCAGTACATTGAGCACGAAGTCATCCTGTAACGAAGAGAAAAAAGACGAGAAGAAGCTGATGCAGAAAGGGAAGGGAGAAGGCAGTGAGAAGAAGCCTGCTTCTTCGGACAAAGGATCTGAGAAGATAGCCGATGAGAAGGAAGCGGAGCATGAGAAACGAGGTCCGTCCGGACGCAAATAGTTTTCAGTGGTACGGAGGCGAAGGAGCATAGTGTGTGTTGTGTTGTTTAGCGAGCGGGATGGGATATGCATAGCAAGGTGTCTGTCTGTCAGTCTATCTATTGTGATGAAGTCGAGGCCATTCAAATGCGGAGTTTTTTTTTTTTCTTCTATGTGGACATGTTTTCAGCTATACCTTCGTGGGTTATATGAATTTTAGGGATGTTCCCATGGGGGAACAACAACCCACTGAACAATGATAACCTGATTTTTTTTTTTTTGACCAAGTTGTTCCTGCATGATGGATTCTCTATTTTTACCCTGTCTTTTTAACCATGCAAAAACGCCATGCATGCATGAAATGGTACAGACCAACCTCACCCGCAGTATAGCATCTCCCCATCCACCCCTCCATCCACTTCAACCTCAAATCCTAGAAGGATTTATTTATTTCCCAGCAGCCTCATTCTTCTCGACCAGATCCCCGACCCCCAACCCGCGGCCAACCTTAACGCGCACCATCCGCTCCTGATCCTTCTTATCATCCGCCTTACCCATCTCGCCCACGGCCTCGCCCTCGTCGCCGTCCTTCTCTTCATTGGCCGCGCGCTCGCGGTCCTCGCGCTCGATCTTCGCCCAGTCCACCCACATATCCGACAGATCCATGCGCATCGCGTACGCATCCTCGCCGTCAGCGTAGTACTTGCTCTCGACGCTCTCGACCTGGAACCCCAGCGTGTCGCGGTAGAGCCGCAGGGCCGCCGTGTTGGAGACGCGCACGTGCAGCGAGACGTATTGTGCGCGGTGAGACTCGGCCATTGCTCTTTCTATTCGTGATAACCAATTGATTTAGTTTGTGGTCTTTTTGTTGGGTGTCGGGTTTGGGGCGCAGCTCAACCCCAATTCCTCTGGCTAGTGTTTGGGGGAGGGGGGAAGGGAAAGACATACGACTCATCCGCATCAACCGCTCCGCAATCCCCAACCGACGGTGCGTGCGCATAACACTCAGACTCGTGATATGGCCGTGCGCGACACCGTCCGTGGGCTCCTCCTCCATCTTGGCCAACACATACCCGACGACCTTCGGGTAGGCGTCGGCGCCGCCGTGCTGGGCGTAGCCGTTCTTGGGCCGCACGACGGCCACGAAGGACAGCTGCGGCCAGGTGAGCGCGTGGTACAGGTAGTACTTTAGGAAGTAGTTCTCCGGGAGGTTGGTGATGTTGCAGGTTTGGATCGAGGGGAGGAGGTCGATGTACGAGGGGTACGAGCTTAGGGGGAGGATGTCGACCATTTTGGATTTTATGTTGTTTTTGTGGTGGTGGGAGGAGGTGTGGTGATGGTGGTGCTCCGCTTGGGAGGTTTTGTTGTTGTTTGTTCTGGTGGTGGTGGTGGAATTGGTGGGTTGGGTTGATTTGGCGGGGTGGATTTGGTATGGTGATCTTGATGCAGCTGCTTGTTGCTGGGCGGAGAGCAGACAGACAGACAGACAGACAAGAGAGAGGGCTGGTCAGGTGCTGCACTGGTCAGGTGGAGGCTAGCCCTTCTTGGGTTAGTCTGCTTGGTCTGGAAGAGGATCCCGGATCAACACTCGGATATGATCTATAAGTACTACTTCCTGTATGTATGTACAGTACTGTACAACATCCGCTCAGCCACTCCAGAGTACTGTACATTTCTTCGCTGTCAAGGACACTTTCACTATGATTAGCTTGATTTCTAGCGTGGCAAGCAATCTACCCGCATGCAGCAAATGAGATCTATCGCCTGAATTCTTCCTCCATCTCACACTTCTCCATTTGATGGTAAGCCTGCGCCGCGACACTACAGTACTTCTCCGCGAGACGCTCATCGCGCGCCACAAAAGCAAACTGACGCTTCCATTCCACCCAATGCTGGAGATCCAGAGCTGGCGCCTGCGCAAACCCGCCCGCTCCATCTTCTGACATTGGATCTATGCGTACCGATACTCCTCGTCCCCCCGGACCTACTGCGCAGCGGCGATGAGGTTGTTGCCGAGTTTGTTGGGGCCATCGATGGACCGCTTGGTCAACTCCGGGTCTTCACCCTCGGTGGTGGTGCCGGGCAGGATATCGCGGAGTGAGGGCGCTGAGGAAAGGCGCAGTTGATGAGTCCGGCGCAGGTCAGCCGGGCCCATGGCGGCGTTGAAGTTGCAGATGCGGTAGGGGGGGCCTGGACGTCTACGGGAGGTGGGAGAGGATGTGCGATTAGACCCTCAGACCATATACTTCTGAATATGGTAGTGTAGTTGTGGGGCACAAACGAGAAGAAGTGAACACTCACAAATAAATCCGTAGTCGAAGGCTTCGGTGACCGCTTCCCAACTTCCGTTTGGATCATCAAATGCCCACAGGGTTGTCGCCGTCCACGGTTCGTCTTCGATCTCGACCGGATTTAGGTCCGCTGGGTTGATGTGCTGGGGCAGTTGGTTTTTCCAACGACTCGAACCAAGTCGATCAGATGGTTCTGGCCTGCATGGTTAGGGCGGGAAAACCGAGCATGCTTTGGTCAAGGCTTGGAAGAAGGGTTCAAGGAATTGTCGCCCCTCCTGGGTTAATGGGGGTTCCTTGCCGTCTTCGCGATTGCGGCGCGTGATGGCCGTGATGCGCGCGTCCATGTCCAGGGCTATCTGCTGGGGCGTGAGTTGTGGGTTGACCGCGGCCTCTAGCTTGTTCTTGATCCATAGGTCATCCTCGTCGTCCCATTTGTCGTATAGCTTCCAATCGATCGGGGGCTCGTGTTCGCCTTGTTCTGCATGGTCCGGGGTCTGGACTAGGGTGGTCATGTTCTCGGTGGTGGGGGTGATGGTGGTGATCGGAAGATTGAGAAAGAGAAATGAACAAATGAGGGTATATTGAAGGTCAATTGGAGTATTAACCAGTTTATAGATAGTTTAGACAGCCTGTTCTGATTATATGGATAATTACAGTCAGTAAACAGAAACCGTTTAGTAATCACCAATCAAGTAAGCTGACTGGAGTAATCTGGAAGTAACTAAAGTTCCAGATGTGTATTGTATAATAAATCTATGAGTGTCCCAGAGTACAGTTAGATCATTTACGTATATGCTGCCCTTATAAAAAGCAGCAGCACCTCAATCGGGTAAGCAAACAGGGTAACCTTAGTTGCAACACAGTCCACTTATACACTATTGAACAGTATGTATTCAATTGCATGAATCGCTGCATTGTCCACACTATATATTCATTATACATCATACAAGACTCATTTCTCATGTCTGTCAGAAAAACCGAAAAAACTTATATAAGGTATATACTCAAAGCTAAAACATCCACCCCATCAATGACACTCCCACCATCAGCAATACCGTGCCGAGCACGCTGGGTCCCGGCACAAGTGTTGGTGCAGATGACGCTGTTCCACAGCATGATCCGCTGTATGTGACGTTGTTCATCTCGGCAGCCACTTCAAACACGGACCCGTTAAAGTTGCCGTAGTTGTAGTAATCCACCAACAGGAAGTTCGGAGGGCGACCCCACATATCTATAACCATGCACATCAGTATCTATGGGCGCTGACAGAGGTCAAAAGGCACATACCTGTACAGTTCTCGGCCATCCGGCCCAGACTCGCGTAGCCCGACACCGCGTTGGTCTGGTTCAGCATGGCCGTGTTGGGAATCAGCAGGCTGATGCTGCCGATGTTCACATCCAGGTTCAGATTGTGATTGGCCATATACATCCGGTTTTTGGCGTCCTCGACCGACAGATCAGGCGGGCGTTGCTCCGTGCAGGGGAACGCTGCATCCGTGGGCGAGAACGGGGTCTCCCACATCTGCGAGAACTCGTCCATGAGCCAGGGATAGGCCGTCTGGTTGGCCTGGTAGTCCATAAAGACGACCGCACGTTTGCCGGAGAGGATCATGTTGGACAGCGTCGGCCAGTCGTCCAGCACCATGGGGATCTTGGGCGGCGTCCACACGTAGTCCATCAGTCCCGAGTTTTCCACGGGCGCCGTGAAGTTGCCCGGGTCCACATAGTCGTAGTTGCCGATCAGGATCGTGACCACGTCGTAGGGGTGCGTCTTGATCCAAGTCGTCACCGTGGTCAGGTAGTCCTCCAGTTTGCCCACGTTCAACATCTCGCAGCTGGTGTGACAGAGATACAAGGTGCCGTTGACCAAGTGTGTCTGGAATTGCACTGTCACAGGACGGTCTGTATTAGCTCATGATGCGCAGCGAGTCTCATTGAGATACACTTACGCATGCGAATGCCATCGTTCAGCTGATCGGTCACCTTGTAAGCCTGGTTGGCTGCGGCGTTGCCCGGTTTGACGAATGGGCTGTTGTGCGCGGCGACCATGGTGATGTTGGAGTACTTGCGCGAGCAGAAGTCAGAGTATCCATTGCAGGGCTGTGTGTTGACGACTGGGGTCGAGGTTGCGGAGGTGGTGGAAGTCGACGTCGCATTGGCAGTGCCATTCATGGTATGGTGGCCACCCCCCACCAACAGGGTCAGCGAATTGGAGCTGGAAGTCGAGCGCGAGCTCGTCGTGGCGGTGGCATTCCTTGAAGTGCTGGCATCGGTGATCGTGCTGACGCCGGATCTTGTGGTGGTTCCAGTTGTGTGATCGTTGGAGAGCGTGATCGTTGTGGTGTACGAAAGATAGTCACCTGTCGGAAGCGTCGCTTCGCTGATGGAGGTGGTGACAGACCCGGTCAACACGAGCGCACCATCCCCTGCTGAGGTTATAGTAGTGGCATCATCTTTGGCGTAGGCAGGTAAGACGCTGGTCACCAGAAGGGGCAGCAGATTAGCGATCAACCGCATGATGCCGGTTGGGGCGGATGTGCGGGAGTCGGGGAAGCGTCGCAACCGATTTTTCGCGGTTTCGACTGAGGAAAAATATGCGTCTATATTTCAGCGGGTCTATAAATATATATATCAAGAATGAAAGAAGAATGTCAAGTTGCACGGGGAGATCAGGCGGGAGGGTAATGTGCCTGATGGGAGAAGAAAAAGGAATAATATTCCCCGAAGATGGAGAGAGAGAAAGAGGGTCGGAGGGAGTATTTTCAGGGAATAATGGATACAGTAAAGTAAAGTAAGTAAAGTAAAAGTACTCATGTAAAGTCAAGTAAAGACCTCAGTAATTCTTGCCGAAACTACCCCTGCAATTCGCTTCGTACTCGTTACTTGATTAGGCTGCAACCTTGCCCCCCTTTTTCAACCAATGACGACATTCTCTGCTGAACCTAAACTTACACCACGACGATCTTTTTTTGGGTGCTCTTACCAGTGCAAGTATGTACGTACAATACTGAATTCTGGTCTAGCCTTGACAACGCAAAACTAAGCCTGCGCAAATGAGCTTGTTAGCTGTTAGCTAGTCTATAGTCCCCAAAGTAGGAGATTAAACTATCCGAGACTAGGGTCGCATACATTCCCGTGCTAACCCCTAGGGATGAATTACAGGTGTCAGTAGCGGTCGTGGTTATCTCGAGATCTGCGAGTTAAAGCGAAGGTCAAACGGCTTGGCGAAAATGCCGACGTGTTTGACATCCGCTTAGCTTTAGACTTTAAGCCGAATGACTTGCAGAGTGAGATGGTGTCGTATTACCAAGCGAGGGCAGTGCCAACAGAGCGAGGCGATGCAGTGCTAAAATTAAAGTGATTATCGACTAGCTGTATAGAACTAGTTGCAGGTAGATTACGCCATGGGGACAAGCCTTTTTGAGCTTGAGATTACCCTCATATCTATTGAGAACCGTTCCCCTGCACGATGTTCTTCCCGTCCGTCCTCCTGATTGTTTAGATAAGTGTATCTCATGCTACCTGCCTCCAGCTGTAGCTTGGCTTAGTATAGCCACACTCATGCAAGCGCCGATCGGGGGACGATCCCAAGCGCATGGCTCTTCCTCTCAGCCGCCAAGTGGGGCCGGGCCTTACCACATGTGACGTCGCAGGCGTCTTATCCACCCAATCACACTCAAGCCACTTTCAGGCAGATCAATTCTCAGTTAGTTCAATTCCATCGCTTACCGATCCCTGATAGGCAGTCAGATTCCAGGCCCTATGGAGATTGAGGTTCACTTGCCTTGCTGGCTCAGTTCAGTGCAGGGCTTGCAGGCAATTGAGAAACAGATTAACAGTCTTCTCGATCAGCTACGATCATCACCTAGTCTCAGTTGGACCATCTGCACCCGCTTCTAAGTGGCGCCCACGTCCATCACAACCTCCTCCGCCTCCTCTCACCAGCCACCTCTTGCTTGACACACAGACACAGTCAGTCACAGAGTGAAACCGTAGACGGCGTAGAGAAGCTCCCGTCCCTGAGGGTCTAGATCTCATCCTTTCCCTCTTGGGCGCCGCAGCCGTCATTACGTGCGACTAGACCGTCAGGCGGAGTTGTTGTTACTGGTTACACTCCATTACTGTCTCCATTGATAATTTCACTTTTGTCCGATCTTTTCTCCTGTTGTATCCCCTTTCCACCTCACTAAACTCCGCGGCTTCTTCCCCTTCCTCCTTCCTCCCCCCCTCTCCTTCGTCTTCTCTCCTTTCCTCCTACTTCCTTATCGAGAACCCCTATAGTCATCGGGTTTTCCCATCCTTTACCATCTTCAAACCTAAAGACCCTGACAGTTTTGGGTCATTTTTCCTAGCACGTGGTTCCTGGAGGTGTAACGTCATCCACTGTGACGGGGAACCTTGGGTATATACACCCACACCCTTTCCGGTGCTCTTGCAGCACTCACTTCACCTCCAGCCCTGCATTTCCGATTCTGTATCGACGCTACTTTCGTTCCGAGGCCATTCTTCTCTTTCCTTTCCACAGCTCGCTACTTGATCTCTCCCCTTGACTCCAGGGTTTCCCCTCCGTATCACCCGCCCTGATCCGAATTTGATAGTGTGCCCGATTTCATGGCAAAGCTTCCCCCATTCAGCAAGGCCGCGCAACGACCGCAAGCCGGGAGAACACGGTCCAAGGTCCTCTGGCATCGCATCATCCGCTCGCTATGCTACCTGATCGCCTGCATCTTCTTAATCCTGGTGGTCATCGGCAACGTCGCCGACAAACCCGTCATTCGAGACACCTACTTCCTCAAGATCGACCTGGCCAACATCATCCCACTCTCCGTCCCCAATGCCGTTCTGATCAATACCATTGCCCGGACCATCGGGCTGCACGACTTCTACCAAGTCGGGCTCTGGAATTTCTGTGAAGGTTATCTGGATGAGGGCATCACGCGCTGCTCCAAGCCCAAGAATCTCTACTGGTTCAATCCCGTCGAGATCATCCTCAATGAGCTTCTCTCCGGCGCAACCAGTACGTTTTCTGAACCTCGCCCCTAAATGGTCTCCATTTCTAACCCTGATCTGTAAACCCTCAGTCGCCCTCCCCGCCGACATCACCTCGGCCCTCAAGATCGCCCGCATCGCCTCGCACTGGATGTTTGGCCTGTTCCTGACGGCGACCGTCCTCACCTTCATCCTTATCTTCCTCTCGCCGCTGGCCGTCTCCTCGCGGCCACCGCAGACCATCTCCGCCGACCCGGCCATCAACCAAACCCACCCGCAGCACCGCCGCCGCACCTTCGTCTTCCTGCGCGCGCTCCCCTTCCTGATCCTCACCTTCGTGACCGCGCTCTTCACCATCGTCGCGTCCGTAGTGGCGACCGTCATGTTCGTTATCTTCCGCAACGTCTTCACCTCGACCGACTACGACCTCAACATCGGCGCCTCGCTCGGCACCCGCATGCTGGCCTTCATGTGGATCGCCTCCGCGTTCACCCTCATCGCCTTCATCTTGCAGCTGGGGTCCTGCTGTGCCTCGTGCTGCGGCGGCCGGAAGGCGCGGAAGCAGCTGAGGCTGAACGAGAAGCAGCACCCCCACCACCACCACGATCCAAATGTCCCCGTCTCGGCCTCTTCATCGGAAGGCTCGAATGTCGAGAAGAGGGACGGCTTGAGGGTTTAAATTTACAGGTCAAGTCGAATCGGGATATAGCTACATCTGCTTACTTGATGGTTCGCGAAGGAGAGATGGAAAGAGAGCCGAACCGAGCGTGAGCGTTGAACAACCCATCAAAACCCTCGCCCCCTCCTCATCCCTGTCCCAGGGCCCCCCATACATACACCTCACCGACCATCAACCACCACCAACCCACCCACTTCCAGCTTGATACCTATACATACATCCTCGCTTTCACCCTCCCACATTTTCCCACACACCGGACATATATCACACCCACCCTGTCCGCAATTCAACATACATAGAACAAGCTCCGGGAAACCCCGGGGAAACGAAGGACGGCCAAGAAGGCAACTATGTGACTTAGAACGGAATTCTTGTTTCCCTAACTTAACAGTGAATGAAGAAGGCGCTGGGAAGAAGACTACAATTAACGATCTTGATGACTTATGATGAGGTATGGCTAGGGATTTCGTTTTATACACGGGTAAAAAAAATGAATATTGGCTTTGGAGCTTTCATTTTTAGGATCTGGTGAACCTTATTTTTTTTTACCTTGGTAGTGGTAACTAGTCTTATCGTGGTGATGACTTCATCTCTGGTGACGTAGATAGGAGCAGAGGTAGTGGTTCATGGAAAATGGGAATATGAGTGTAATGATTGCTAACGCTATGCATGCAGTTCTCTCCCGCGACAAACCCGGTAGTGAGCTAGTGTACCGTACTCAAATACATGATGTGATGACAATGGACTAACCCGGAAATATGAACAACGAAACGCCGACAATGCAGCTATGCCATGTGTTACATACATACATACAATGATACAAGAAAAAGGGGGGTTTTTTTGGGGCTATGAATTCCGAAAGTTGCTTGATAAGTGGGGAAAGAAAACTCCCCAAAAAGAAAGAACGAAGAGAACAACACAACCGGTGGGATCCGGTCACTTCAGGTAGGGTATCAATTTGCGCAAGAGACAATAAGAGACAAGAAAAGATTACGTCAAAAAAAAGGGATCAATCCGCTGTTCATCGGATGCCATCCATCAGCCCTGTGCTAGCTCTGCCTCCATCATACGAGCCAAATCGTCACTGCCAGTGTGATCGGAGGGTTCGAGGCGATCGGCTGACGCAAGCCCGGAGGCGGGGAGTTTGCGGATCCGTTCGGCCCCCAGTTCCAGGGCCTGAGGCCCACCGGGACAAAAGTCTTGCCGCGGGCGGGGGCTACCGCTGTGGCGCTCGACCGCGTCAGCGTCCGTCAGCCAAGTGTATTTTTTGCTGCGGAGGGATTGCAACATCTCCGCTTGCCGCTGCTTTTCGGCCGGGGTTGGGCTTACCCTGACCGGTGGGTCGTCGGCAGTCAGGTCGATCGTCACCGGTTCGGGGTTGGGCGGACTGGGAGCGACGGGGTGGTGAGAAGGTGCTTGGGGGACGGTGGTTGCGGGACCGGCTGAATGGGGCCCAATGCCGGTGAGTGCTTGTGCAGAAGCTTGCTGGTTCGGTTTTGGCTGCAACTCTCGAGGAGGTTTGTATCCAGTTGGGATTCCAGTCACCGCTGGCACCTGCTTCTGTACCTGGATCTCATATAAGAGATGGTTGTAGACCGTGCCAAGCTCATGGAGCTTGCTCTTCCATTCAAGAGTTTCCTTCTTGTACTGCTCCACCCTGTTCTTGTGCTGAGTGCAAACCCGTCGAAGCATTGCATTCTCATCTCGTAGCATTTCGTACTGCGTCTTTCCCGTTCGCCTGTCAACTGTGCTCATTTCCGTCAAATGGTCCAATTTGGTCCTTAGCTTATGCCGTTCCACCGAAAGCTGCTGCACTCGGCTTTTCAGTGTGGACAGGCGGAAGTTGGCTCGGTCTTCTGCGACCTCAATACATCGGACGTGGATGTTAGGAGCAGACGGCAGGTAACCCAGAGGTCCGGCATAGGTTGGATATGGCGAGATGTATGGCGGCTGTTCGCACACACGCTGTAGTACCTCGCGACTTGTGCTGTCAATGAGATCCTGATCATCAATGAGAAACCGCTGTTTGGTGGCCTCGCTGATCGATGGGGTGTCTTGAGGGACGATATCGGTGCTAGTGGGTGGCTTAACTCCGGCAAGCTCCTGGCTGAGCTCGTCAAAGTCGAAATCCGGCAATCCATCGTATGACAGCCCCATAGGCACATCGAAAGGCGATTGGTCGAAGAACGGACCTAACGCTTCAAACAAAGTCGCAGGCGTCGGTTGATCAGGGTCTAACGGCGTATGGGGACCAGTTCCGCTTCGGTCAGGTTGCAAAGTCGAGTCGAGGGACAGCAAAGACGGGGTTTTATCTGGAGATATCGTAGTCTCATCCCGATTGGATTCCAGAGCCTGCCTCTTAAAAGTCTGCTGCCAGAGGTCGGACTCCTCAAATGCTTCTGTGCCAGCTCGCTTGCGTGAATCAAATGCCGCATCAAGTTCATGGAACATGAGCTCAGAGTCGAATAACGGATCGTACAAGTCCTCCGCTGCCTCTGTGGATGGCTCAGCAGGCGAATCGTGAATCTCCGGCGTGGAGGTTTTCGTCGACAAGTCTTCCGACAGGCGCGATTCATTTCGACCGCCAGAAATGGTGTTTCCGTTCCCCTTATGTGTCAAGTCGGTTTTGACCTCCTCGGGTTGGTCCGCGTGAGTGGGCGTGACGTGCTGGTCGACTGAGTTGGACTTCGCTTCTTCAACGGGCTGGCCGTGTCCTCCATCTCGGGAGGCATCGATGGAATGCTGCAGCTGGGACCCAGGGGAAGGTGTAAGCCCCGGATCATTCACATGCAGATGAGAAAGACATGGGGGAGATGGGAAGTCCTCAGTGGCTTTCAGCCTCAGAGGATCCGGAGGGCAGGTCTGGAGCGAGGTAGAAATACCTTCAGCCATGCTTCCACTCATCTCGAAAGAGAACTAACTCTGAAAACGTCGTTATGGTAGAGCCTAGGCAGCTGGAACTCTGGTGGCCAGGTTCCGCTTGCGCAGGACCCTGCCCGTTGCTGGGTGTAGTTGTTTGTTTGGCGTGTATGTAATGGTGATATTGGGACTTATAGTCCAGAAAAGCCCGCCATCGATCGCCCAATGGCTAATGGAGAGAGATAATGAGATGTTTGTACTCTTCAAGCAGCTGATCACGGAGAAAGACTGCAATGCGTACCTCCTTTAGGCGCCGAGTCACTATACGAACATTGACGGGAGCGCAAGACGCATAGTAATCGGGATGAAAACTCAGAGACTCGGCGAGAAGTGATCAAAAGTTGTTGATCGGACAGATTCAGATACTAACACGAGGCACGTAGCCTGCCGGATACCAGACAGGCGCCTATATCAGTTTGATCATACAAACTGCGTGTTTTTGCAGTTGTCGAGGTGTCAGTAGATTTGGATAGAAGATCACGCCGACACTTTTTTGATCCCTTGCCTGTCATGCCGCCTTTCACACCGCTCGACGGACCGCCCACGTGCAGACCGCTACCGCGATGCGGGTTCGGCATAAAGCCGGCAGGAAGCCGAGCGGCTTTGGCTGACCTCAAGTGTTCGCCAGCTCTCCGTCCCTCCATCCTCCCTCCCTCACCGTCCAGTTTCCTGTCTGCCTTCTCGCGTCTTCAAAATGAGCGTCATTCTCTGCACCGGTAAGCGACTCTGGATCTTAACTGTCTCATTAGGTCCTCACCTCCTTCGAGTAATTGACTAACCAATGTTCCACAAATTTGCGACCACCAGCGGGTTACGATCACACTATTCGGTATGAATATGAGGAACACCGCTTGTGCACCAGGCGCCACCGTACTGACCACTTTTAGCTTCTGGGAGGCGCTGTCTGGAATTTGCTCGCGCACAATTCAGCATCCAGATTCGCAAGTGAACCGTCTATGTATTACCCCCGACAAACGGTACCTGGCCGCCGCTGGACACAACAATGTCAAATTATATGACATCAAATCTACCAACCCCAACCCGGTCATGACATTCGATGGCCATACGAATAACATCACGGGCGTTGCTTTTCACTGCGAGGGAAAATGGATGGTCACTAGCTCCGAGGATGGAACGGTCAAGGTGTGGGACACGCGCACCGGCAGCCTGCAGCGCAACTACGCCCATAAGGCCCCCGTCAACGACGTTGTCATTCATCCCAACCAAGGCGAACTCATCAGCGGAGATCGCGCTGGCATTGTCCGTGTCTGGGACCTGGGAGAGAGCGTCTGCACCCACCAGCTGATCCCCGAAGACGACGTCGCGGTACATAGTGTGAGCGTCGCCAGTGATGGCTCCCTCCTTTGCGCAGGCAACAAAAAGGTACCAACCCACCCGCCTTGCTCGCAGCTCGCAGAGCCAGCGCAGCATGCTAAGTAACTGAAATCCCAGGGCAACGTTTACATCTGGCGCATGATCCAAGACGCCGAGCTCACCCGCATTGTCCCCATCTGCACCTTCCAAGCGCATAAAGACTACCTCACCCGCGTCCTCCTTTCGCCAGACGTCAAGCACCTGGCAACCTGCTCAGCCGACCACACCGCCAAAGTATGGAACCTCGACCTCGACTATCCGCCAGCGAAAATGGCCGCCGCGAAAGCCAAGGCCCAAGCGCTCGCGGCGCCCGAATCGGCCTCTTCACCTCCGACATCGACGCCAGACAGTCAGGACCCACTATCTCCCAACAGCACCAAATCCGAGATCGAGATCAACCCCCTCAGTCTCTTTAATGGCACACCGCCGATCGTCAACAACGAACCCCAGCAGAGCTTTCCCGTCCAGCCGGACGGCCCCCCAATGGATCCCGCGACGGGCACACTCTTCCTCGAAACCACGCTCGCGAACCACCAGCGCTGGGTCTGGGATTGCGCCTTCTCCGCGGACTCCGCGTACCTCGTCACTGTGTCCAGCGACCACTACGCGCGGCTGTGGGAGTTGGCATCGGGTCAGATCATTCGGCAATATAGCGGCCACCATCGCGGGGCGGTCTGCGTGGCATTGAATGATTACTCCGAACCTCGGTAGGATCTTTGATCTGCCAATGCAAATCAGGCGAAGGTAGTCCCACAATCACAACGGGATATGTTTTTCATCGCGCGTCCCATCCGTTTCGTTGCCATCGTTCGTATCTAATTAGGGGGTGGGCTTCTTGTGGGTTAGCATGGCGCTAGGGATCGATTTCGAGCTGATTTGAATTTGACTTTGACTTCGAATGTAATTGGGGACGGGCGTTCTATTTTGCCTGCTATTAGTTGGGAGTTTTCAGGAGCTGTGTGCGGTCATCTTTATTTCTCCCTTTCTGTCCCATCCTCTCTGCGTTTTCCTTTTGGAGTGCTGAACACGAGTTTGCGATTCAAATACCACTTGCAAATTCATTGACTTGAGAAAGGGTTGGAGGGGCATCTACTAGGTCTGTAGAATTATGTTCGCAAGATTAGATCGATACAACATAACCATGGTATCATTCTCCATTCTCATAGCACCACCAACAAAAAAAAAGAAAAGCTTCACGGCTTCCAAAAGAAACAGAAAAATTAAGTCGCAATTTGTAGAAGACGAAAGTAGATCAAGGCCCCAACGATCCCGCCCCCGGATATTGTAACAAACGACCACGCTACACCCCACCCTTGGCTGGCGATCCTAGCGTATATAACCCTTCTTCAAATAACAGTGGTACAACACCCACGCTGAAGTCCCTCCGCTCCGAGGCTATTAACCCAGCGCAAACCATGTCACACTGACAACAACGTCCAGACCCCTCTCCTCGGCGCCGGGGTATTTGAACGTCCACATGCCGTCACGGTTGACGTCCCAGAAGGCGCCCGAAGCGGAGTGCATCCCGCGCTTGCCGGCGTTGGTGTGGGTGCCGTCCGCGGCGGCGGACTTGTCGATTAGACCCTGTTGCACGATGGTGCTGTTCACGACGAACCGGTAGGGGGGCGACGAGGAGGCGGTGGAAGGGGCGGTGGCGGTGATGAGGGCTTTGAGGATAGTATTCTGGAGGTAGTCATCAAGGTTAGGCAGGAGGTCTTGCGCTCACTGTGCGTCTCTTGTGGGCGCGAGGGGAGTAGAGGGGGGGGATAAGGCAGACGTACAATGATGTGCGAGTTCCAGTCTGCGACGCGCGAGTGTTCATATTCCGTTACATCTTTGAGGGCGGAGTCGCAAGACTATTGGGAGCGAAGCGGTTAGTGTATGTTGTTGCCCAGCGGAAGACCGGTCGATTGGTATGCGATAGGAGGGTGGTATTGCGATAGGAGCTCCGAGACGATGTCCTCACGGGAGAAGAACGACTTGCTCATTTCCGCGGACATCGATCAGGCACGTACCTCGGTGGCTATCTTGGTCAATTCGGGAATAGGGACGGGCTAGAGGTCAATCATCAGCATGGGTTCATGTAGGGTCCTGCGAGCCGGCGGTGACAGCCAGCCCGAATACAAGCCATCCTTGGAGGAATAAGGAGGCGTACAGAAGTCGTCGGAACGGTGTCGACAGCCATTGTGATTGAGCAGGTTGACGAAAGCGGTTGTTGAGGGCAGTTTGCTTGTCTTCAGAGGAGGCCGATTAGCGTAGTTCGGAAGAGAGTAAAGCTAGAAGCTCTTGTCTGGGTCGAGACGGTGGGCACGACCACGGGACACTGGAGAGGTGATTGTGGGGGGAAATGAGGGACAGGGAAGCCAGAAATGTGGCTCCGAGAAACGGGGGGTGTCCAGACTCTCTCTCTTGCGAACGAGAGGGGAAATAAGGCTGCCGCGTACTAACCAAATGCGAGGGGTCAATTATCGAATGCAGGAACACGCAAAGGTATCAAGATAATGAAGGGCTGAAGCAAGTTAGAAGAGAGAGATCCTTCCACGTTGTTGTTATCGGGGGGAGCGTTTGGATGTTTGGAAGCAAGCAACTTACTTGAGGCGGCATCATGAGTGTGGCTTGGCAGCTGTTGGTTGGTTGAGTCTAACAGTCCGCTATGCCGCAACGGGACAGGCCGAAGAGCTACTCGCCCAATAGGGCATAGCTCAGTCACCACCGCCACAGCTCTCGGCGCCACGATGATCCGATGTGGGCCTGAGGCAATCAATCACAGTGAGCAGCAGGGGCACGTGCGCGCTACCCGGCGGTGTGATCTGGCAGAACACAGGCGCGCGCCACCGCTACGGCCACAACGGGGAAGGTGTCGGCCATCAGAGGCGCGGGGGGCTCGTCCCGAGTTCGAATCACCGCCCTTCCTCTTATTACAGTCTCATATTACATCAATTCCGCCGTCTATCTCGCTTCAATCTGTCTAGCTAGAAAAAACTAGCCAGCGCTATCTTAGTCTAGCCCAGTCGTCTGGTCTCCTCGTGTGTCAAACGACAACCCTCAATTGAAGCTCTTTCCTGTTTCTTTTTTCCTTCTCCCTCTTCTCCTACTTTTCCTCATCTTTTACTCTTCCCTCAATCGCAGCATAGCTCCCATATCCTCCCTCCCTTGCGGATTCAAACTACAGACATATTCCTAAATTCTACCACTCAATACCTCCTATCTTCCCAACACAATGTCAAGCCAACCCCTCCTCCAAACCGCCCCTGGTAAGTGAAATCATGCAATAATTTTACCCCAGCAGCAATCAATGGTACTTCGTGCCCAGCTTGCTAACCTTCTCACAAAGGCAAGCGCATTGCCCTGCCCACGCGTGTCGAGCCCAAGGTCTTCTTCGCCAACGAACGTACCTTCCTCTCCTGGCTCAACTTCACCGTCATCCTGGGCGGTCTGGCGGTCGGGCTCCTGAACTTCGGCGACCGCATCGGCCGCATCTCCGCGGGGCTGTTCACCATCATCGCCATGGCGGCCATGATCTATGCCCTGGTGACCTTCCACTGGCGGGCGCAGAGTATACGCAAGCGCGGCCAGAGCGGCATTGACGACCGGTTCGGACCTACCGTGCTGGCCCTGGCGCTCCTGGCCGCCGTTGTCGTCAACTTCATTCTGCGTATGACGCAAAACTAAGGAAATATCGTTTCAGGGGCTGTTGTTCTCCTTGGGGGAAAGGTTAGGATGGATGATGAGATGCGACGAGATGAGGTTCGGGGTTTAGCGAGCTTGGTTTGGGGGTCCGATATGAACGAAAACACGTTATGCGGAATGAGTTAAGTAGAGAAAGTAGATTCTATTTTCTGTCGATGTCGGTGCTGGTCACTGATTTTTCGTCGATGGCGTTGGCAATGTTGTTTTCTTGATTGATATATGTTGTGCTGTGCGCTAATTTGGCCCCCGGGTGGTTTGCGTTACTGTTTGTTATGTGTGTATGTTGGCGAGATGTAAATTGGTCTCAATGCACTGCATTATCTGTCATGCTATACAAAGCGCTAAAAAGAAGGTACCAGGTATCTCAGTTGAGATTGACAGGATTTGAGAATGATTGGGCAAAAGGTGTGGCCAATGGTACCTGCTACGAGTATTCTGATTTTCTCATTGGTCACTGATCATTTTAACGGCCTGACTATGTGTTATCATGAGCTTTGCCCAGTGCCCCGTGCCCTGATGTTTGGGTACTTCCTCTCCGACCTGTCCAGCCGTAGCTATGGCCCACGATGCAAGGTTTATATCATGAAGAACGTCGCCTGGCCGGCATTGTGAGCGCTTGCAACTGTCTGGTATGTAATTGGTGTTGCTCCAGATGAGATACGAGTCTTTTCACCACAGCTTAGACATAAGAACAACATCTAGACAATCTGGTTCGCTCATTAATGCGATTATGTATCAAGTTAGGGTATCTAACAGCTCCAGGCTAACGAGAGGCACCAAGGATTTGAAAATATACACAAGAATCATAGTTCAGTCGCTCAAAAACAAAGTCCAGAGCAAAGTGACTTTATCACCATGAAACTGAAACCATAAAAGCCATCAGTGTGCCGGGCAACGGCGGGAGTTAGGCACGATTGAAAGTATCCCGCAGATCAACAGCAGTTTCACCAACTGAAACGACCGACGCATCTATCGAAATAAAACGCCAGAATCCCGTCCTTCACGATGATCCTACCCGATCATGGTCGCCTAGCGCGATGTGTTCTTGGTTTCTGTATCCGCTTTAGACCCTTGGCTGCGCAACCTTCTGCGGGATGCGGGGGGAGAGACTTGAGGACGTTGGAGATAATCAAGTAGGTATACAGGACGTTAACTAGATATGGCGCAACTGATCATCACACAAAGCATGGCACCAACACGTGTATGACTATTCTATTGTGAGATTAGCTTAAGAGAGGCTCCGGTTAATTATGGATTGTGAGGGCCTTCTGGCTTCGTCTTGCGTAACTTTGGGAATGTGTTTGTGGGAGACGGCGAGTCATGAAAGTACCGAGGACCTTTTAAATGCTGGTTGCGACAACGGGCTTTGAGGATTGAGTGCTAGCTCTATTAGTTCCAGGGTCTAAATAGTTGTTGGGCCAATGCAAAACTTGCTCTATTCAAATTCAATAGAATTCTCTAGGCCATAACCGTGCGCATCTGCCGGATGGCATCCAATTCGTTGATCCCAGGATTAGATAGAGAGAGGGAGAGAAGGAAGAGAACGCGCGGTCAAAAATACAGCTACAAACAGTTCCAAGTTACACCATGGACCCTGACCATTGAACGTTATTCTAGAACATAGCCCAAAGCAAACTAGACTGTCCACATTCTCGGAGAAGGATTCGTGGGTGCAGACCCCTCCAGGAAGAGCGCCTCCAAACGCATGGACAAGCCAAGCACTAGATTATGCCGCCGAGATCATAGTGAACTCAATTGGGAGACTATATTGGTCGAAGTGGAGCACGGAGCAAAGGACGGCGGAGGTGACGACGGACGAGAGTGGATGATGTAACGACACGGTGGGCAAACGGACGATCAGGTCGATCTGTCATACGAGGGGGGAAGACGGGAAGGGAAGGGTGGACAGTAAGAAAGACAATGACCATGTGTGACAAAGCTAGGTCAGGATAACGTAATCGTCAACCGAGCGAGCCACGCAAGCGAGCGAGCCACCCCCCTGAATCCTCCCACCTCCGAGAAACGAAGCAATTCAACCATCAATTTTACCACCAAAAATGCCGAAATCATCAAAAGAGCGGGTGTATCAAGAGGGCCAAATCCTCCTCGCCATTGAGGCTATAAAAACCGGTCAATCTCGCTCAGTTCGTACAGCTGCGGTGGAATTTAAT